GGGAAGTTGATTTTGAAAAAGTTCCAACTTTGATTATGACGGGTGAGGAGGATGGTGGAATGTCGATTAGACTTCAACAATTGGAAGCGAAGAGATTGAAAGATGTTCCGAATGTGGAGTTTAAGATATTGCCTAATCTGGGACATTTTTTACAAAGAGAACAACCGGAACAAGTTGCTAGAATGGCCATTGAATTTTTTGAAAAGTATTCTGCCTGATTGAGACAGTTTATATATATTTTTTATGCCCTTGTATACTAACGTTTAAATAGTTTAATGGATATGACATGACGATTCTATTTGTCTATAGACCGGATCTTTATGAGACCCTTTAAGGTGTTCTCTTTTCAACTTTTATTAAAAGATATATATAATTACTAATTATTATGTATTATTAGTAGTACTTACCAGAAGTAAGATCTTTTCACTCTTCGCATCACTATCAATATCATCTTTTAATGATTTATTCAATTTATTAATCTTCGCTTCTTCTTCTTGTAATCTCTTTCTCTCCTTTCTTCTTTGTTTTTTAGTTTCAAATTCATGCCATTCCCCTTTTAATTCCTTCAAAAACATCAATGGTTCAGGTTGAGGATCCTCCTTAAAATAAGCATGTTGTAATGCTTCTTCAGCAGTTGGACGATTCTTCGGATTTAATTCCAATAATTTCTCCGCTAAATCAAAACTTGATCTTGTCATCAATGATTCATATTTTGATTTAAATTTATTAACAACATTAATTTTTGGTTTTAACATTTCAAACCAAGGTAATTTTTCAATTTCTGGCCATGATTTGAGTGTGGGGGTACCCATTATACTAAAAATTTTAAATAATTGATTTACTTCATCATATCCTTGAAATATTGCATTCTTACAATATAATTCAATTAAAAGACATCCAACTCCCCAAATATCAACTTCTCTTCCATAATCGGTTGCACCCAATAATAGTTCAGGTGGTCTATACCATATTGTAATTACTCTATTTGTATAATCAGGTGATTCTCCCGTATTCAATATCTTCATCGTTCTAGCTAATCCAAAATCAGCAATTTTTAATCTTCCAATATTATCAATCAATATATTAGACCCCTTAATATCACGATGTATGACTCTTTTTTTATGTAAATAATTCAAACCCTGTATCAATTGTTTAAATATAAATTTCCGATGACATTCACTCAATTTCAAATCAGGATGGGATAATAACCCAGTTAAATCATGATCTAAATAATCAAAAATCATATAGATTTGATTATGTTCAACCATCATCTCCAATAATCCAACCACATTCTCATGATCAAATGATGATAATAATTTAATCTCCCGAATTGCGGTTATGGGGAACCCTTCACGTTCAGTTTCTAATCGTAATCGTTTCATAGCCACATATTCGTTAGTTTGGGTATGTTTTGCCTTGTATACTTTCCCATAGGTCCCTTCTCCAACTTGTTGAATCCTTTGATATATTGATGGGGCTTTATTTATCCGAATTGAATAAATTTGAGATTGTTTTAACAATTTAGATTTTTCAGGTATGAATGAAGATCGTTCATCATAATACCCACCACCAGTAGTACTATTTCCAATTCGTCTGGGGCCTTTTGGGGGGAGTCTGATTGTGGATGGTCCTGGTCCATTTGAATATCCCGACCCACCACGATATTGGGAATATTCATCCACTTCTCGTCTTTTTCTATAACTTGATGGTCCGGAGGGTAAACTTCTCTTTATCCCCGATGTCAATCCCAGTCCTGATCTTGATGTTCCTCTTTCATCATTCCTTTCATTACGGTTTTCATTTCTATCTGTGCTAGGAGCCTTGGCACCAATTGAAGGCACTGATGAAGATGAGTCTGACGATGATGTAGTTGTAGTTGTCGTTGTTCCTGTTGGTGCTGGCGCTTTTGGACCCCTAGGTGGTGGTTTATAGGTATCTGGACGATAATTATCCCGTTCTCCATATCTTCTAGGGGCTGGTGGGACATAATAATCACGGTCTTTATATGATGAGGAAGAAGATGTTGTTGTTCTATATCCTCCTCCTCCAGTATTTCCACCTCCTTGAGAACTTGGACCTGATGGTGGTGCTCCTGGTGCTCCAGGTCTATGAAAATCACGAGTAGAACGGGGTCCTTTTGGTGGTGGTCTATATCTGTCTGACATTATGAATGATGATTATTCTTCTCTTTGATTGAATTAAGACAAGGAAGTAAAATAAGAAGCTTCTTATATAACAAAGTTTTTTTGGTTCTTTTTTTTCCAACTGTTTCTGGTTAAGCATCTTCTGTTTTTGTTCTGTCAATTGTCATTGTCAGTCGCCGCGCAATAAATAAAAATTAAAAGGTTACCCGGAGAGTGCAAGGCACATACTTTAAATCAACAAATCATCATTCTTTCAACTTTGCATGATTCATCAGGAATTTTAAAAAGTAAGATAGATCCTTAGTAGATAATATCATTTCAATATTCTTTCAAGGGAACACCAGCTGAAAAAAGCGATTCTCTGCAATAAATATTGCAAAAGAAATACAAGGAAAGAGTTTTAAAAGAAGCTGGTGATTACTTAACAAAGTAAGCACGAATCAAAAGAGAAAATTTTATACTGGGGATATATTACTGAACTAGGATATCATCCTATTGTAGTTGAAGATTCAGTAAATATGCCCAGTTATTTGGAAAGCGTATGCTGATTGGAAAAAATGGGATGGTAGTGTGAAATCATTCCCGATAGTGAGTTCCGTATTGGGAAATAAACTTAAATGAATTGTTAGCAGTTATTGGATATTGTTGGGTATTTCGGATTGGCCATAAGTAGCTCTGAGTAAAATTATTCGTTCAACATTGTCACTCGAATTATTAGGAAAATAAGGATCTCCAACGTAATATTCAGAACAACTTAACATACTTTTTGGTCAGAACATGTGATTGGTCTCTACTTCCGACTAGCCTAGTCATTTCAATGACGATTAATCAACATTCTCTTACTTAGGGACAATAGTAAAATTTGCTGAGTGTCCAAATTTGACTACAATCAATTAGACGAAATATAAAAACACCCTATAGGAAAAACATTCCAATCAATAGATCAACATTTCTCTCATTTCAACATCCCTCTTAGTACTATATCCTCGTTCAGTTGCTATTTATCATTCCTTACCTATATACAACGTTCAAGACTAAGGATAAATGACCAGAGAGCGGGGGGCAACGCTTGTTGTTGTCCATTTTGATTTTTTTTTTGCCTGCCTCTTAGAATATTTCAGTATCCGGGTAATCTTAACTTCGGTCAAACTCACAGTCTCGGCTTTGTCTCTCTCTCTCTCTCTCTCTTTCTCGCCACTGAAATGTTAAACAATAAAATTGTAAATTATAAAATGTCAGACGCAAAATCAAACGAGATAAAAATAAAAATAAATTTATAAAACCATTTTCTTAGGTTTTAATTTAAAGGGCAAACCTATAATTCTACCACTTACTTACTTACCATAAGGTAACTTCCACCAATTAGATCACTTGTAATAATATATGTTAATGGTATGTACATTCCCATTCGATATTCTCCACAATCAACCCCTATCCATGGATACTAACTAACATGTCCCCCCGTAATAGTTAGGTAAAATAGCTCATATTGGAATTGATTTATGTATAGTTTCCGGTTTTTTAGCAGGAGTTCATAGATCAACTGGATTAACTCCCAATTTAAATACCATTGAAAATGAACAATTGAAATATTATGTTACTAAGTATTTAGATATTGGTGAATCAATGTTTGATTTTAGTGTTGGTTATTTTAATAGTTCAACTCATTTCCTGAGAAATAATAGAAGTGATAAGTAGCTTCTTTATTGTTGTATGTGTACTATTATTATATATATGTGTACTAGCTAATGTATATATACTTATTATCATCTACACGTCTACCGTAGTGTTAAATTGCCACTTAAAATTTCACTTGCCCTCGGGAATACGTGGGGGAGGGAAAGGGTGGTCCCAATATTGTCCCTATAATTTTTTTTTTCTTTGTTCTCTCAGTAAAGAATATAACCAGACTGATTGTGATTGATAAATTATTAAATATATTAAATAAACTATTAAGAAACACAAACACTAGAGAAAACGTTACTTGTAAATAATTAATTATATAAAAGAAAAACAACAGAGAACATAAAGCTAATAATAATCATAATAATAATAAAAACATCTATTCAACGGTAACTGATTTAGCCAAATTACGAGGGAAATCGACATCAATACCTCTATTAACAGCCAACCAGTAACTTATTAATTGTAATGGGATAACATTCAATAATCCTTGTAAACAATCAACAGTTTGTGGAACTTCTAAAGAAGTATGAACTTTATCATTATCAAGAATTGCATCCCCTTCATTACAAATGACAATTGGTCTACCATCTCTTGCAATAACTTGTTCAATAGCAGACATAACTTTGGGGAATAAAGAATCTCTAGTTGCAAATGCAATAATTGGTAATTTATTATCAACTAATGCCAATACACCATGTTTTAATTCACCAGCTAAAACCCCTTCGGAATGCATATATGAAATTTCTTTAATCTTTAATGCACCTTCTAATGCAGTAGCAAATTGATAACCTCTACCTAATAATAATAAAGATTTTTGATCATTTAAAGTATCATTACATAAATCTTTAATTCTTTGTTCTAATTTTAAAACTTCTTTAATTTGTGCTGGGATTTTTTGTAATCCTTTAATAATTTCTTCATGTCTTGCTGTTCTTGATTTTGAATCATTTGATAAAGAAAGTGCAAACATAACTAATGCAATATATTGTGAAGTATAAGCTTTAGTAGAAGCNGAATCATTTGATAAAGAAAGTGCAAACATAACTAATGCAATATATTGTGAAGTATAAGCTTTAGTAGAAGCAACCCCAATTTCAGGTCCTGCATTAATATGAACCCCACAGTGAGTTTGTCGAGACATAGAAGACCCAACAGAATTAACAATACCAACAGTTAATGCCCCTCTTTCTAAACAATATTGTAAAGCTAAAATTGAATCAGCAGTTTCACCAGATTGTGATACAAATACACAAGTATCATCTCTGAAAACTGGAGATCTACGATCCAAGAAATCAGAAGCTAATTCAACTGAAACGGGGATTTCAGTCAATTCTTCAAAAATTGATCTGGTGGCTAAACATGAATGATATGATGTTCCACATGCAATCATAATAATTCTTCTACATCTTCTAATAGTAGGCAAAAAAGATTTTAATCCACCCAAAGTGACAACACAATTTTCAAAATCAATTCTACCTCTCATGGTATTAAAAGTAGAATCAGGTTGTTCAAAAATTTCCTTTTGCATAAAATGTTTATAAGGACCCTTCATAATTTCATTCAATTCCATTTCTAAAGTTTGAATTGGTCTAACAGTAGATTCACCAGCATTCTTGGTACTGGCACGATGTATATGTAATTCTCCATCATATATATGAGCAATATCATCATCTTCTAAAAATAAAACTTTTTTAGTATGTTGAATAACTGATGCAGGATCAGAACTTAAAAAGAATTCAATTGGCATGGGGATATTATCTTCAGATAAGAAAGCTCTTGATTGAGAAGTTCTTAAATTTTGTTCACCTGGTGCAACTGGTAATAATCCCAATTCATTTTGTTGAGGAAGATGATGAGATGGACGACCATTTCCATTTTGAGTACTAGTACCTTTATTAGCTTCTGGAAATTCAACATCAACAAAATCAACTTTCAATTTACGTTCAGTTTTAACCCCAACTAATAATGGAGAACCCTTTCTAGTACCACAAACTTCACCAGGATAATGAATAGATTTAACCAATAAACCATAAGAACCTTCCAATTCATATAAAACTTGTTTAGTCAATTCATTTAAATCGATATTTTCATTACCAGCTTTAATATTAGAATCATAAACATGTTTAAATAATTTAGCAATACATTCAGTATCAGTTTCGGATTCAAATACAAACCCTTTAGATAATAATAATTCTCTCAATGCAGCAAAATTGGTAATAATACCATTATGAACAACAATAAATTCACCAGTTGGATCAGATCTATGAGGATGACAATTTTCAACTTTTGGTGGACCATGAGTTGCCCATCTAGTATGAGCAATTCCAACATGATTATCAAATATAGTGGTACGATCAATACCATCATCAATAATCTTTTGTTTTAAAACTTTAACTTTTCCAGGAGTCTTGACAATAATTGCTGGAGAATGATCATCACCATCAACGGCAATACCAGCAGAATCATATCCTCTATATTCTAATCTTTGTAATCCATCTATAAGAGTGTCCATAATTTCACCTCTTGATTTATCAACTAAAAAGTTGACATAACCGAAAATTCCACTATAAAAGACATTTGTTAGTAAAATACTGGCCATATTAAATTGCTATGCAATAAAAAAAACAGACACCTTCTCTCCCTTATCTTTCCCTCCAATTGGTACAACTTAGCCTAGTTAATGGAATTATTAGCTGGTCATTTTGTTGGATGTTCTTGTTTAATTGTTGTTGTTGCGGAGGGATGGATGGAGTAAGGTAGGGGGGTAACGTTGTCTGTTTATATATTTGAATCAGTTGTAAATCTCTACATACCACATGATATATGATATTGTTTCTTTAAAAAAAAATTGACTGTCTGTTGTAAAAAAAAAGAGAAAAGAGACAAAAGAGAAAGAAAATTGAATTTTAAGGAAAAACTTATTCAATTTAAATTATAAAGTAGGAAACAGTAAGAAAAGTGTAAGAAACAAAAAATTGACAGTTTTCTAAACTCAGACACTCAGACACAAAAATAAATAAATACACCGCCCATTTTTTCATTCCTTTTTATTTTTTAATCCTTTTTTTTTTAAGTGTGGAACGCAGTATGAATTATACACTTTACAATTAAACGACCCGTTCTATTTTTTTTTCTAAATTTAGAACCTACAACTAGAAAAATATGACTTAATACTTGGCATATCAAATTATACTTCATCCATCATCGTCAATCACAAACAATTTGGCTGTGTAACTTTCTTTCTTTGTATCATAAAAAACAAGACATAGATAGTTAGTGAATACTTCTATTTATAGCAATCATGGCTCGAGAGAATGCTGCAAAATTAATTTTAACCTAATTGAGATAAATTAAAAATATTAAACTGATTTTTAAAACAATAAAGCCATGATCTTTAGTGTTTGAATTACTTATATACAGGAACTAACTTTTTTATATGTCAATAATAAAATGTAACACTGGAGATTAATGTTTCAATTTTCTTTATATTTTACAATAAATACTAGTACTGTGCATCATGAATAATTATCAGCCGTATAATAACACCTCTCATTCTTTGAATTATAATTCAATAATAACGATACTGTTGCTTTCTTTTTTATTGGAGGAATTGTTTCATAATTAAAAAAAACGGTGTTCACTTCTGATGAAATTTTGCACTAATTTAATTTAAAGTTCCATTTGCGTTTCATTTTTTATTAACTCATCTCTCTTTCTCTCATAGTTTTTTCTTTAACAATACAATTTTTTTGTTTCAGATAATTAATTACACAAAAGCTTCAATAACCGTTATTCCCACCCATTCATTTCGAGAGAAATCATTGACTTCTAAAAATAGCAATGTTTCTTCTTCATTCTTCGGACTTGGGAAGATTTTGATTGATTCACATACCTATTGGAACTCTTATGTTGTCAATACAAGGAGAATGACATCACGGTATTTTTGTTTACCAGCCAGGTCCCCTATGCGTGTTTTTTTCTTGGGAATGGAGTGCATCTGCAAACATCCTAACGAGTGTTTTTGAACTAAAATGCCAGATCGAACTTAAGATTTCATTGATTGTCATCACGTAATGGCTGACCCCTCAGTATAGATTTTTTTACTGGCCCCTTTCGTTTAGTATGCAGAATGTGTACATTTCCAATTGGAAGTCTACCTTTTATAGTCACCGAAGAATTGGGAATCGTCCACTTCTACATATGAATTCAATGAATTCATTACTGCTAATACTAATGAGAAATCTTCTAATATAAATTGTAGTTACTGGTGATTCATAGCCTCGAGTATTTTCTTCAATTGCATTTTTAGTCACAACGTGAGAAAGACCCCAGATGAAAACTTTGCAGCAATTTTTTAACCAATATTTAAACAAACCGGCAAAAAAATAAAACGGTCAAACGAGCCGAAGGATTCATCAATCCTTCTTTATCTACTTGAACAACTCTTCCAGAACCCGAGGCTTTTCCTTTCTGCACTAAGCCATTCTTATAGGTTATTTAATACATTTGTTGATCATAATTGACCAAATCTGCAAAATGACATCACGTGATATAAACGTGATTAATTTTTTCGGGGTCGGGCGTGTAGCCTAGCAATCCATCTCCAAATGAAACACTGGTATGTTACCCTCCTTTCTTATGATTTAAATCAATCCAGTTCTCATCTTTAATACATATTTATATATACACAAGATTATTTCCCCATACTCCCCTTCGCAGATAATAATTAATTCCATTACAAACAATATTTATACCAATTAGAGTCTTGCCCTTTCCCCGATGAGCAGATTATTATTACCCAGCAGGATCTTTTCCAAACAAGCATTATCCCTTGTCACCCCCCTTAAATCAAGACTTCCTCGGACGACCACAATCTCATTCGTTCGTTTCAACTCCAATCCACCATCATCATTCTCATCCAATATCGACATCGAAAGAGTCCCTCCCAAATCACCATCATCAAGCTCACCCACAACACATTCGCCATCAGTCCAGAAGTCCCATCAACCAATTAAACGAGTTAAAGCCACCCCTCAAAACAAGAAAAAAGCCGCTCAGAACCTTCGTCGCACAAACCCATCCTTCCAAAATGAATCAACTAGTTATATACTATCATTATTACATGAAAATCGTGAAACTTCTTCATATCCAGGAGCATCGAAACCATTAGAAAAATATTTATCTTCAGTTACATCAGTTACCGTGGGGGAATCGATTAATTTTGAGAAATTATTGCCATGTATTCAAGGATATGATTATCAAATAATCATCCCGGAAGAAGTCATAAATATAACTTGTCATGATGTTAGTTCTGATCAACCGGGTAATCTTATGATATTATCAAATGGGACTTTAGTGGGTTGGAATCTTGATGAAGATGAAATTCTTGTTAAATTCTTACCGATTATTAAATCTTCAATCGAGAGTAGATATGAGGTATTTGAGAGTGAGGATTTAGATTGGATTGAATTGAAATCATTACCGAAATCCCCATTAAATAATGGGAATTCTTACTTGCATGGAGAGATTATGATTATTCAAGGTATTTCTCAAGAAAAAAGGATATTAGATATGGCAGCCTTTGCTGTCGGGATATCGAGATCGACAAGATTATCGATTTTGGAAGATCAATTAGAAGAACATTTATCTATCGCCAAAGAAAATTCAGAAATTTTAGCCAATGGATATCAAATCACAGCATCAGAACATGAATTTTTGAAATTGACGGGGAAATTGTTTTTATTAAGAGGGAAATTGAATTTATATAGTGAATTAATTGATACTCCTGATTTATATTGGGGTGAACCAACTTTAGAAAAGATTTATAATTCAGTATCGGCAATACTTGATATAAATTCAAGAATTGCAATTTTGAATCGGAAATTAGATTATGCAACTGAAGAACAACGAGCATTTTTAAGTGTTTTAAATGAAAAGAAAAGTACAAGATTAGAATTGATTATTATTTTATTGATTTTGGTAGAAGTGTTGTTTGAAATTTTTCATTTTTATGAAAAATATGAAGAGAAAAAGGAAGCTAAAAAGGGCGAAATTGAATAACTGGGAGTATGAATTAAGTAAAATCGATTCTTGTAAATAGTTACTTAACTTTATCATGTATTTATTAGAAAATTTAGAAACCAATGGTTATTGTCTGAAATGTGATCGAAGGGTCAACGTGGAGACGTAATTTATTCTTCGTATAAATTACCGTTTTATATATGACAGACCAGGGACCCGGGAAGTGTTCGGACAACACCAACTTAGAAGTATTTCCCGGGAAGAGGGGGTGAGCTAGGAAACAAAAATGAATCTTCCTCGATGTTAAATTGACCAGTTAGCTGCGTAAGTTACAGACTGCTGCATTTTACCTTCACAGGGAAGTAAGTCACTGCGTAGTGAAAGATCTCATGTAATTACAAACATTTGGAAAAATCGAAGATCTTTGATGAAAATCGCATGTGAGGGAGGGGGGATACATGACACTTGGAGAAATATCTCGCTGTTTTCATACCCAAAATAAAGTCATACGATGTCACAGGCTCTCGTCATTTCCAAGTTTCGATTAGAGGTAATAAAGTGGAACGATGTGGCGAACTCTTGTCCTTCCAGGCCATAGAACCAACCTCCAGCTCATCGTTGAATCAAGCCTTTGTGAGTAACCTTCCCAAACTATTTCCCACAATATGCCCCTCAAAAAGCATACTTGGCGTATAGAAAGGGTCTTATGGGCTGATTTAATTCGTCTTTTTACTTGCTTATCGAAGTAATAATTACCAAGGGCAGGGGTTGGCAAGAATTTTTCTTCATTTCGACTATCTTAATTGGATCGTATTAAGTTTGCAACTGAAAAAAGCAAAAACAAAAACAGAGATACATTGATTCAATGGAATCAGTTGCAAAATTGCAAAATCCGTTTCTTTCCCTTGCAAATGCCATTTCAATTCATTACCTCGCTAACTCTATACGCCATAAGCGAAAAAGTAAACACACAACTGCAGCCAAAAATTGGCCGCAAAACCTGTCAATTTGTACGTAACTCTAATATGGAAAAGAACGGCAAAAAGCAATTTTATATTTTTCTATTCGGAAAATTGCGGAATCGGTTAATCTAAAAAATTTCGATAAGCGCGTTATATGCACACTGGAAAAAAATTACGGAAAAGTTGTTCCTTTAGATAAGGCATTTTTTCATTGGATGTTCTTTTATGTTCATTCCCTGAAAGCACACAAAAAAAGTTGAGTCTTTGGTTTCGGTTAGCGTAGGGTGTAGGACGTGAAGAGTATCAGCTGACTATTGATCTCAAAACCAGGAGTCGCGTAATAAAGAGATGAGAACCAGAATTAGCAAAACCAGAATTCTGATGACAATTGCTTATTCGTAATGAGAAAAATTCCATTCTAATTAAAGATGAATTGTGGAGAAGATAAATAATTGGGACTATCGAATGATCTGGCTATGTTTCACCTTATCATCATCATCATATACGCAATTTCATATTTTTGATCTCCTTCGTTAAAGCTGCTTTGTATTACGTGTGAAAAGTTTTTTGATAGCAAATAATAAACTCACATGAAATGGGTCTGCATATAATGCCCTCTTTTTTTTGCAACTGAGATAAGCCTCAAGGTCCAACCTGTAAAATATCCGATACTAAACTGTAATTATCAGATTACATTTTATGATTTAATTGGTCTGATTAAAGATAATGGAACTAACCTGTAAATCAAAAAAGAAATTACAATCCTGTCAATTATTTTTTAAGCTTTAGGATGCAAAAACAATATTTTTATCAAAACAGTTCAAAAAAGAAAGACATTTTCAGAATGATAGCGTTTTAAGTTTGATGATGGATAGTATCCTGGACGGTAAGGAAGCTTAAATACAACATGTCAGAAGTATGTCCACATGTTCTAGTTTCAGGATATGTAAGAAAACTGTCATTAGGATTGGAGTGGTAGTCTTGTTTTGGATGGTAAAAATGTGTGAAGGGATTGAGAACCCGACGTGCAGGTGATGCAAAAATCAGTAAGATTTTAGATGTCGCCTGCTCATTATCTCTGTCTAATAAATTAATTATTATTTTATTTTATAAACCCGGAAGCATAATTTCTTCGATGGATGATTCATTCTCTTTTATCTCTCTCATATGTAATTTAATTAATAATAATAAAATTTTCTTATACAATATACAATGAATGTGGTTTTGGATATTATCCGGCTTTATATAAAACATTTTCAATCTGCACCTTTCTTTTTCACTCTTTTATTTGTTTTTCAATTATTTATTAATTATAGCTTTTCATTTTCATTCACTTTTTTTTATACTTTATCACTCATACAACTACCCTTCTAGACTAACAAACTAACCCACCCATAGATACTACAACCCAATATGTCAGAAGGAATAATAACAAAAGTCTTATCAAGACGAGAATTATTCACCCAAGATGCACAATATAATCAAAGCTTTGTGCTTCTATTCACAATAGCTTCATCTGTGATCTGGATCATGATACCCGGTTTGGCATTTCTTTATTCTGGGTTAGCAAGAAGAAAGTCAGCATTAGCAATGATTTGGATAGTTATAATGTCATCATTCATTGGAGTATTCCAATGGTATTTTTGGGGTTATTCATTAGCCTTTTCAAGTACTTCAAATGGATTTATTGGAGATTTACATTATTTTGGATTTAGAAATTTATTAGGAGCTACAACTACCGAATCTGATTATCCTGAAATTGCCTTTGGATTATTTCAATTACAATTCTTATTAGTCACATTAGCTATTTTAGCTGGTGGATGTATTGCTGAAAGAGGAAGATTCTTACCTGCCATGGTTTTCTTATTCTGTTGGGCCACCGTTGTCTATTGTCCAGTTGTTAATTGGATTTGGGGTGGTGGATGGGCCGCTAATTATAAATCAGGTGTATTGGATTATGCTGGTGGTGGACCAGTTGAAATTCTTTCCGGTGTTTCTGCATTTGTATATTCCGCATTTTTGGGTAGAAGAAATGAAACTTTAATGATTAATTATCGTCCTCATAATATTTCCACAATCTTTTTAGGTACTTCCTTATTGTATGTCGGTTGGTTATTCTTTAATGGATTCTCATGTGGTAATCCAAGTTTAAAAGTTGCTTATAGTATGATGAATACTCATATCTGTGGCGCATTTGGTGCTATTTCTTGGTGTCTTTTGGATTTCAGATTAGAAAATAAATGGTCCATGGTTGCTGTCTGTTCTGGTTGTATTTCCGGTTTAGTTGCTGCCACTCCATCTTCAGGTTGTATTCCACTTTGGGCTTCTGTTATCTTAGGTATAACCGCAGGTGTTGTTTGTAACTTGTCCACTAAGATTAAATACTTATGTCGTGTTGATGATTCCCTTGATGTGTTAGCTGAGCACGGAATCGCTGGTGTTGTTGGATTATTGTTTAATGCCCTTTTTGGTTCTGCAACCGTTCTTGGTTATGATAACGTTACTGATCATGAAGGTGGTTGGCTCGATCAAAATTGGAAACAATTATATATTCAAATTGTTTATATCCTTGCTACCGCTGCCTATTCTGCTGTTGTCACTGCCATCTTATGTTTTGTCATCAACAAAATTCCAGGATTACACCTTAGAATTGATTATAATGCTGAAGAAGTTGGTATTGATGAAGATCAAATTGGTGAATTCGCCTATGATTATGTTGAAGTCAGAAGAGACTTCTTAGATTGGGGTAATCCAACCGTTAATCCAACTTTACAAAACCTGATTATTGATCAACACGCAAGTATGGTAGTTGACGGAACTCATTTAACTATGGTATCATCCAGAAGACCTGAAGTATACGAAGCAACTTCATTAGCATCACATCATGAAAATATCACCGACGAAAAGGTTGATCTTGAGCATGACCCACAACCATATACTCCAAGAGAAAAGCAAGATCATCATAACCAACATAATCAACAACATACTGAGGTAGATACCTCATCCAGCAGTCAATCTTAAAAGCGACAGCAACATCAAAAAGCAAAATGCTAAAAATTAACAAAAACAAAAAAAGTAATAGTTACGGATAATAGATTTCATTTTGAGAGTGTTTTTTTTATTTATAAAATGGTTTGGTTTCTTTCCCCCTTAGTTTCAGTTTTTAATTCTTTGTTTATAAGACTTTGGTTCTTCTTTTAATCTAATTTTTTTATATATAGTATGGATTCAATTTAAAAGATAGTTTGTGTTTTTATGGAATAACTTTCATTATCTGAATTGTAGTAGACTTGCAGATCGAATCTGGGGTAATTGGAAAATCTGTCAAATCAAATAGGGTGATGAATTACATCTTTAAGAGAGACGGAATCGGTGGAGAATAAAAATTTGAAAAAAAAAAATGGGGAAAATCCAGCACGTGATAATACTCACGTGATTAAATAATCATGTGACTTGAGTCAGGTGACTTGTCCATTTTCAGGGACATCACAGTGCATCTAACCATGGTGCATATGAAATGAATTGGAATGTAGTCTAGATGCATGGAAGTCATAACTCAAATCCCGGTTAGCGGGATATTGTGGGGGTTGATAAGTGAGGTTATGGAATTACTGTAGTACATATTTGTCTCATATTACCCTCCGATAAGCTGAGAATATATTAGGGAACAGCCCTAACGAAGCTTAGGCTAAGACTCTTATAGTACTATTGAGATTTTTAACAAATTAAATACAAATCAATAGTAATATCTCCTTTAAACAAATTTCCAAGTTTTGAGATAAATATTAACATATTGTACGTAAAATCTTGTTAAATGTATTCCGTTCGTCCATTCTTCGCCGTTAACGGACTTTACTTCCGGAATCGAAGTTTATTTATTTTTCTTTGAATTTTTTCTTTGAATTTTGCGGGTGGTTTGATTGTCTTGCGATTTTTTTTTTTTCAGCTGACCGAAAGGTGCATTGACTCATACGCAAATTCCAAAAATTTTTCATTTAACTTTAAATCATTCCGGGGGGTTTAAAACTTTCAATTCTTTTCTTTCTTTCTTCTTCTTCTTCTTCCTCTTTAATCACTTTCAAGTTTTCAGCTTTAATAGCCTTTTTGTATATCCTTCCTTCCTTCATAAAACTTAATTACAAGAATAATATCAAACGAAATGATCTCTCGTAATTTAAGATCCATAAGAAATTGTCAAAGGACATCAAATCTTATTAAGATTTCAGCAAGATCAATCACAAAAACAGTCAGAGCTCCTGCTGCCGCTAGTGCTGCTGCTGCTGTAAGACCACAACCATCTCCTGCCTTTAACGCAGAAACAAATGGAAATGGAGCTTCTAATCGTCATAATTTCGCTACTGCAACCACTGCTCGTCCCCAAAAAATCAAACCAGCAATGGATGACTCATTCATTGGTTTAACCGGTGGTGAAATCTTTCACGAAATGATGTTGAGACATAATGTTGATACTGTGTTTGGTTATGCAGGTGGTGCCATTTTACCTGTTTTCGATGCCATTTATAACTCAGATAAATTTAAATTCGTCTTACCTAGACATGAACAAGGTGCTGGTCACATGGCTGAAGGTTATGCAAAGGCAAGTGGAAAACCAGGTGTTGTTTTAGTTACCTCCGGTCCTGGTGCTACCAATGTCGTCACCCCAATGCAAGATGCTTTAATGGATGGTGTTCCATTGGTTGTGTTTTCTGGTCAAGTCCCAACTTCTGCAATTGGTACCGATGCCTTCCAAGAAGCTGATATGATTGGTATTTCGAGACCATGTACTAAATGGAACGTTATGGTTAAGAATGTAGCTGAATTACCAAGACGTATAAATGAAGCTTTCGAAATTGCTACTTCTGGTAGACCAGGTCCAGTTTTAGTTGATTTACCAAAGGATGTTACTGGATCTATCTTAAAAGAAGCTATCCCAATTAACACTACTTTACCATCAAATGCATTGAGTCAAATCACTAGAAAAGCAGCAAATGAATTCACTGCTCAAGCTATCAGAAGATCAGCTGATATTTTAAACAAAGCCAAGAAACCCATTCTTTATGTTGGTGGTGGTATTTTAAATAGTGAAGATGGTACTCAATTATTGAAAGAATTAGCTGAAAAGGCCAGTATTCCAGTCACTACTACTTTACAAGGTTTAGGTACTTTTGATCAAAGAGATCCAAAATCCTTAGATATGTTAGGTATGCACGGTTCTGCGGCTGCCAATATTGCCATGCAAAATGCTGACTGTATTATCGCTCTTGGTGCTAGATTCGATGATAGAGTTACTGGTAACATTGCCAAATTTGCCCCAGAAGCAAAATTAGCTGCCTCTGAAGGTAGAGGTGGTATTCTTCATTTTGAAATCTCACCAAAGAATATTAACAAGGTTGTTGAAGCTACTGAAGCTGTTGAAGGTGATGTCGCAACTAACTTGAAATCATTCATTCCATTAGTGAATTCAGTTGAATCTAGACCAGAATGGTTAGGGCAAGTTCAAGCTTGGAAAGAAAAATACCCATATGCTTATCAAGAAGAAACTCCAGGTTCCCTTATTAAACCACAAACTTTAATTCGTGAAATCTCCAAACAAGCAATGACTTATGACAAAGAAGTTATCTATACTACCGGGGTTGGTCAACATCAAATGTGGGCCGCTCAACATGTTACTTGGACCAAACCAAGAACCATGATCACTTCTGGTGGTTTAGGTACTATGGGTTTCGGATTACCTGCTGCCATTGGTGCCCAAGTTGCCAAACCAGATGCATTTGTTATTGATATTGATGGAGATGCTTCTTTCAATATGACTTTAATGGAATTATCATCTGCTGTTCAAGCTGGTGCTCCAATTAAAGTATGTGTTTTAAATAATGAAGAACAAGGTATGGTTACTCAATGGCAATCACTTTTCTACGAACATAGATATTCTCATACTCATCAATCAAATCCAAACTTTATGAAATTAGCTGATGCTATGGGTCTTCATGGTATTCGAATTGAAACTCAAGAACAATTAGTTCCTGGTATTAAAGAATTCTTGGATTGTAAAGGTCCTGTTCTTTTGGAAGTTCTTGTTGAAAAGAAAGTTCCTGTTTTACCTATGGTTCCTGCTGGTAAGGCCCTTGATGATTTCATTATTTGGGATCCTGAACTTGAAAAACAACAAAATGATTTAAGAAGAGAAAGAACTGGAGGGAAATATTAAGTTTAAAGACATTAATCTACCAACTTCAACGTTTTAGAATTTTTTGCATTTAAATAGTCTTTTTATTTCGGTTTTTATATTTTGTTACAGTCTGCTTTTGTATGCTTGTGTTAAAGTTTGATTTTTTTTTTGTGTTTTTATAGTGAGAATTGTTTGGTTTCGTTTCTTGTGAATAAGATTTTAGTAAACTTTTATTTATATTTATATATCTATTAATTAGTATCGGTCAAAGAAAACCCATTGTTAAATATTAGAACAGTTTTGTATTAAATCGAACTATAAATTTAATAGCTCTGTAAATACACAGATATACAGATATACAAGCGGGAGCGAGAGGGCCAGTGTAAGAAACTTATTGGCTGCGAAAACTTGTTTTTGTAAACGGTGGAGCGGACTCATTCACATTTTTTGACCTTGTTGTGCGATTGTACCCAACGCCGATCATACACCTCCAACCTTGGATCTTTAAAATTGAGATCAATATACGTTTTCTTATAACGAACATAAAACTCACACATTTCCACGATATCATCAATACAAGGCTTTTCAAAGAAATCCACCCCTAACCAATTGAGCGAAGTGGTCCATTCCACCAAGTTGAACCTATACCCTTCACATTTTTCCAACGCTAATACAGCCAACAGTGGACTTAGGGAAAGAAGGCATCCACGGTTTTCATAGATACGTCCAGGATTGCAATACCACAAACCGAGACATCTTAAGTTTTTGAGCCTTTGAAAGTCACCGTCTATGGATGTCAATGGCGCCAGCAATCTAAGGTTTATAAGACTAGGTGGTAATTGCGAGGTGTCTAAATGTGTCATGGCTGTATGCAATGTTAGATTTGATATCCCTTGAAATCTCTCTAGGTGCATGTTTGCAAAGGATGTGTTATCTATGGGGAAGTCTAATTCCACATTTCGAAGTCTATAAAAGTTCTTAAATGATTCATGTAATGGCTCCGCATGGGCTGCATGAACGCTTAGGTTTTCCAAGCAACACGGCAAATTATTCAATATATTCAGGTTAAGGTGAAAACAAGCTACCCTAAAATTTCTTAGATATATTGGAAATTCAAATGAGGGTGAGATGCTGTTAATCAGAGTCTCAACAATTGTGAGATCTTCTAGCTCATTTGGTACCTTCATGGCAAAACCTGCACTTGACTTTATCCCACTCAAGTTAATTCGCCTTATGGCAGTTAGATGGCTAAAGTCGGCCTCCAGTAACAACCAATCATGGAGGTATCCTAAACATGACTGTTCATTCAGTAGACTCAACGTTTTGAGCTTTCTTAACTTCAATAAATTGCAGGTATGGAAAGCTTCCTTCAGCAAATAAGCATTTCTTGTTGCTAAGACTTCGCAATTCTCGGGAAATTGAATGCCTTCCAAACTAATCAAGTCAAGGCTCTCAAAGAAAAATACCTTCAAATGCAATGGAAGATGTAACTTTTCAAAATTGGCTATCTTAGGAATATTGAGTAACACCAATCTAGATATTATATCGGGCATCTTCCAAGTATGGTTTATTGCTATGTATCCATAACCATCTAAATGGAATTCCACTAATTTTTTGGGTAACTTAACCCTATAGTCAACGATAAACCTTTTCTCATGATCGAAGAATTCTTGGTGTTGCGGAATAAACTCTTCATCTATCCTATACAAGTAAGGATCAATTCGAACTACTAATTTCTTTAGGGAATTTGGGAGTACCGTATTAATAAAACAGTCATAACAAAATTTTGGTGAGGATCCGTACTCTATTATCAACGTATTCAAATAGTCAAATGCATCAAAATGAGTAAACCCCAACATGCTACAATTCCGTAATTGTAGGGTTTTCAATCCTTTAGGAAGTTCAATGCTATCAAATCCATCAAAATATCCGTCTTTAAAAGAAATATGTTTCACGTGGTTAGCCGACTCCAATTTCAATTTCTTAACACTATCATTTCCCATCCAGGTTTTAAGTTCAATATAGGTTAAAAACTCCGGCAACTCTACTTTATGTATCTCATCCCCGTTAAGTACCCCAGCTTCGAATGATAAACTTCGAAAGTGACCCCGTGGGGTGGGAATACAATCCACCTCTACCAATCCGACCTTATCAATAACATCCCTAAAAGATTCTAAGTATGTCTCATCTTCCACTGGGAACAAGTCTTCATCGGGTCGCTTTGTCCACCATGCTCTATAGATGAGATGAGGTACTTTCCTCAAAGATATCATTTCATTGTCAGGTATTGGATGGAGAGTGCAAATAATAACTCTTTCGGCACTTTCTACTACTCCCTTATAAAGATTATTGAATCTTATGAGCGAATCTGCATTTTCAAAAGCTATCTGAGAAGGGCTAAAATGGGGATGCGTATGAAAAAACGACCGCAACTCATCAAAATTCCAAAAGTTCACAAACTTCTCAAAATCTAACTCAAAGGGCGATTTGGACTCATCCAATATGTTATAATAGCAAGGATCTCCTTCTGGTGGCAGGCGAGCCTGATATCTTGGGAAATGTGATATATTTCTATAATAGGCTCTAAAAGCAAAGTGACTGATCCATTCCGGGGAATTTTTCAAGTAGCCCAACCAATCAAGCGGAAGTGAATCAATTATAATCTGAATGATTTCAGGTGGGAGATCTGAAAACTGCATGTTCATGTACCTTGATGTCGCTCTTGTCAATAATCAATTTGCATTTTCCGTGTGGGGAGTGTTTCTCCATGTGGTTTATCAATCATCATTCAAATCCACTGAAATTGCAAAAAATTAAATTGAAACTTGCACGACTTACTTTCTGTTTGGTTCCTGAAACTTTGAATGTGTGGGGGAATCAATTTGTTTTAATCCCTGTCTAACCTTATCGTTTTTTTCTGGCATCGCATCCACCAAAGTACAGAAGCCCCCTGTCGAATATTGGCTTTCTGCTAACAAACTTAAAAAGAATGGACCTTTGTAAATTACCTAAAGAAATTATTCAACTTATAATTGATTTCTTACCACGTGATGATTGGAAGAAATTGGTTGAATTAGACAATTGGGTTGGTTCTTATACTTTCAGGAAGTTTTATGAAAAGATAACCTTGGTTAATGATCCTTATGCATATTCCTTATCAACATGTTATACTGGTATGCGAACACCCAAAGCTGAACCCTTTTTTGGTAATAAAGTCAATTCTGGGTGTGTATTTGGTTCAATGTATGCATTTTCCCAATTCATTGAGGATTACCCTGAATTTATACCCGCAGAAATTACATTCCATAGTTTACAATTACTTATATCACTTTTAATGACAAATTTGACATTCTTGCAAAAAGTAGAGAAAATTAGGTTTAATCAAGTGTATGAACAGAGCCCACAGCTTGCAAGTACCTTAGCGCAATTGTTTGCTATGATTCAGAAATATGATTTGAATTATTATAGTGAAGTATTTGATAGTGAAGTTGATAGATGGCTAGACAATATAAAATTTCCTACCAGAATACGAAATATCGAAGTTCCTGAGGGCACTATAATCGATTTTGAGAAGTTTTTTAGGCAGCATCCGAATCTAGATTCCTTGGTAACAAGAAATCTCTATCAATGCGATAAAGATGTTTTTCCCGAATCATTAACATACGTTGGGTATGTATTATTTCCAGGAGTGAACACAACAGTTGAATTACCACAAACAATTAAGCACGTCAAGCTCAAATGCCTAGAGGATGCCCCGACATTTTCTAAAGATCTCGATTTGGCAGCCAGTGAAGGATTGGAATCGTTGGCTATCACAGGATGTTGGATTGATGAGCCTATTAGGTTGCCTGAAAATTTGAAATCCTTTAGGTATGACGAATGTTTATGCAATTGTCATTTTAATGATTTATTTGTGGGTCCAGAGCATATAACTAGATTAGATATTCATGGTTCTTTCGGATTGACGCTTTATTATTCCTTGTTTTATGAGGCAACGTTTCCTGAAACTTTGCAGGAATTCTATTTTGAGAATACGAATATAATACAGGTCATGACTCCGGACATGTGGGGGGATATTGATATGAGTGCTTGTGTTTTAGAACATCCGTTTATTAAGGATGATAAAGTATTCAAAATTGATCATCACTTCAAACTTCCGAAAAGTTTGAAAGTCTTGTACTTGCATAGTCCCTTTACTACGATTGATTCAACTTGGAGAATTCCTGATAATGTAAGCCGTTTAAGTTTGCTCTCAATTCAATACATGATGGATTTTGCCAATTTCCATATGCCGAAAGGATTGAAATACTTTTTCCTAGAGGCAATTCATGGTTTTACATATAATGACGAAAGTACTAACTATGTTTATTTCCCTCAGGGAATTGAAACATTTGTATATTCCGGTTCACCCATAAAGAGTCCCGACTCCAATCTATTGGAATTGCCCAGCCTTAAGAAAATAGTATTTGGGAGCAATCTTGTATCTCCTAATATAAAAGACAGAGTAACATTTGATGGAATTCCGCTTGGAGAGACTGATTTTTCAAAAATGACGAATTTAGAAACATTTGAAATGAACATCCAACCAATATTAGGCGAGCTAAATATGAAATTTCCAAATAACTTACATATCCTCAAATTTGCATTATGTAAGATTGACAGCATATCCCCCACATTTCAATTTCCTTCCAATTTGAGGGAGCTTTCGTTTGAATGTGTCAACTTTGATCTTGAAATGTTGAATAGGTTACCTCAAACCTTAGAAATAATAGACTTTACGAATTGTCGTTGCGCTGAATCGGATTTACTTGATTTAAACTTACCCTATTTAATTCGATTGAATATGAATAATTGTGAATTGTCACAAAGCACGTTTGAGAAGCTAAAGCTCAAAAAATTTTCGAGATTGAAAGAAGTTTGTTTACTGAATAACAAGTTTGATAGGATTGATCTTTCCGCTTTTCCAGAAACATTAACGAACTTATCATTATTTAGATGTACGGAAGTCGTGACTGCCAGTAGCGAAACTAATCTTCCAAACTTACGTTTTCTTGATATCTCAAGCAATCAAGTTGGAATTATAAAAGACCTGTCGGAACTAGAACCAAGATTCCATATTCCTAGGAAGCTACACACTTTATCAATGAAAAATTGTGGAATTTCAAATGCTGAATTTGCAATCTGGCCAAAGAAATTGGGTAAGTTATGTTTGGAGCTCAACAAAATTGATCCACAAGCAGTCCATTCATTGTGTATGAAATATCATTCAGTAGCACAATTTGAGGGGATTCATGTGACTGATTTCTTCCCCGGATCTAAGTACGGAATTTATGCCAATTTCATAGCAAGTAGAGTTTTATTTGTTCAGGAGTTCGGAGACGTGGCTGAGCCGGTACCTCGTAGACCAACATAGCCTTTATAGACGTATATCTCGTAGAATAAAGTTAAAGTATACCGGATTTATCCTTATTTCCAAGAGAGGTTATCTCCGGATGAAACTCCAGCTTTTTTGTAGTTGCCTCATGCTTATTTCCATTATGGTTTCCCTATTAGGCAACTTCCGAAGTCCGATCTGATAAGGACAATAGAGCTCTCCGAATATAGGAATTTAAATCTTTTCCGGACTCGGACGTCTAGAGTTAGCTGTATCTGGAGAGTATTGAACTCTACAGTTTCCGAGACGCTATAGCGTTGTACAAAAGTGTGAAGCGGTGGTACCGCTTCCAGGAAAGTGTCCCATAATTTTTATTTTCTTTAATTTAGCATGACCTTTTGGAGATACAAGTTCTTATTTAGAGGTTCGGAAACAAAAATGTTAATTCCAAGCTGCAGTATCTAAACGTTTTATTGTTGAAAATGACATCCTTTCACCTTCGGGACAAAAGCCCTATTTATTGTGTCAACGGGTTGTCGGAATCTATCAGAAAAGTTCCGTTCCATAAAGCCTCTTTTTCGCCCCGTCTTGTAATAATCTTCGATGACGACCCTAGAAAAATTTGCAGCCGTTTTGAATGACTATAAATATGAGCGGATTGTTATCTTAACTTGACAGTTGTTGACTATTGTTTCTAACCAAATCGTAATGTCAAAACCTAAAGTTCCATCCTTATCTTGGGTTGATTGGAAGCAAACTCTTCATGGCTTTTGGCCAGGAAAACCCAAATTCACAGAAGATCAGTATCCAAGCTTAAAAGGAAAGGTTGTTCTTGTAACTGGTGCTAATTCGGGTGTCGGTTATGAAACGATTAAATCCTTAGCAGGATCCACTAAAGCTAAGATCTATGCTTTCTGTCGAAATGAACAGAAAGCCACCGAAGCATTCAAGAAACTTAAGGTCGAACTTGAGAAAGAATATAAAGTTGTAAACAGAGAAATTCATTTTATTCAATGTGACTTGGGAGACTTAACTGCTATCAAGCCTGCTGTCGAGGAGTTCCTTAGTAAAGAAAGTCGCCTTGATATTATTATTCACAATGCCGGGGTAATGATGCCACCTCCAGGAAGCAAGACAAAGCAAGGATTTGAGTTGCAATTGGGTACTAATGTCTTAGGACCACATCTTTTACAGAGACTTTTAGATCCTATTTTCATTGAAACTTCTCAAAAAAATAATAAGGGGGAATCGAGAATTGTGTGGGTTTCATCTACTGCTCACCTTATGGCTCCGTTGGGTGGATTGTATTGGGAAGATTTGAATTTTGAAACCACAAAGAAATATAGCATGCGCACTAAAGCCATGATATACGGTCAAAGCAAAGCAGGAAATATTATTCAAGCAAGGACTTGGCCAATGAAGCACGACGCGCCGAACGTTATTAGTTCGTCTCTTTGTCCTGGTTATTTAAGTACCGGCCTTCAAAGATATGCCAGTCGTTCGGAAAAATTCATTTACAAGTATTTGCTTCATAACCAAAGGTATGGCGCCTACACTGAATTGTTTGCAGCTTTGTCTCCAGATGTTAAAAATCGTTCCCATAGTATTTCCTTTGGTTCTCCATCGCACGTAAGAAAAGATTTGGAAGATGAAGAAGCCAATGAAAAAGCTTGGAACTTTTTCAATAAAGTCACTGACAATTATTTGTAGTTTGTATTAAATAGGAACCAGTACCTTTAGCTAATATATTGTAAGGATATTCTACTTGATAAGATCTCAAGACCGCAGCTTGAGGAACTCGGAGGCATGGGGTAATAGCTGTTCTCGAATTTAGTGGCACTTCATTGTTTCAGTGAGAGATACTTCTCTGTAAATGTTTCTAAATCAAAATGTCCTTTATATCAATCCTTTTCGGTGCATGATGGAGCCGTAAACACGCTTATCTATTTAGGCTCGGACCTGCACTGAGAGAGCATCTAGTTGTACCTACTATTGTTAACAAAAATTGCAGTAAAAAAATTTGTTGCAACTTCAACCGATAAAAAAATACTTTCGTTTTCTAATCTTTTTTTAACGAAACCTTACTACCAACAACTCCACAACTTCAAGGGAAGTGGCATTTATCCGATTTTCTTTGTTTATGCATTGAAAATTAACGCATCCAAAAGGTTAACAGAAAATTTGTAATAAACAAATGTTGGCTTTTAATAAATAAATCATATTTCGGAGAAAGCAAAGGAAGAGAAAAGCCTCACCAAGTTCTAAGTGGGTGACGGAACTTTTCAACCATTCCGTTCCACCAAATTTCTTTTTTTTTTTCGCTTCCGCTAACCGCACCCTAAAAAATATTTTTCTGTCATAAGACACTCGAATCAATATAAATATCGAGACGACTCCTAACCAAAATACATATCCTTTACTACTATAAACATTAACAAAAACCACAAACAGAAACTATATATAACAAATGTCTAAGCCTAACGTGCCATCTTTATCCTGGTCTGATTGGAAGCAAGTCCTTCACGGATTTTGGCCCTCCAAACCAACTTTCAAAGAAGATCAATATCCAAGCTTAGAAGGAAAAGTTGTTATTGTCACAGGTGGTAATTCTGGAATCGGGTATCAAACAGCTAAGTCATTAGCTGGTTCCACAAAAGCTAAAATCTATATATTTTGTCGTAGCAAGGAAAAGGCTTTAGAAGCTATCAGGAAAATGCAATTAGAACTTGCACAAGAGTACAATGTTGCAGAAAGAGAAATCAATTTTATTCAATGCGACTTGGGAGACTTGGAATCTATTAAACCCGCAGTTGAAGATTTTCTTAGTAAAGAAAGTCGTCTCGATATTATTATTCATAATGCAGGTGTAATGATGCCACCTCCAGGAAGCAAGACAAAGCAAGGTTTTGAATTACAATTGGGTACCAATGTATTGGGAACACACTTATTACAAAGATTATTAGATCCAATATTCATTAAAACATCTCAAGAAAACAAGAAGGGAGAATCAAGAATAGTGTGGGTTGCATCTACAGCTCATCAATTGGCACCACTTGGGGGATTTCATTGGGAAGATTTAAATTTTGAGACTATTAAGAATTTCACCTCCCAAACAAAGGGAACACTTTACGGACAAAGTAAAGCTGGTAATATTATACAAGCTAGAACGTGGCCATTGAAACACGATGCCCCAAATGTCATTAGTTCATCTGTTTGTCCTGGATATTTAAGTACCGAGTTACAGAGATATGCCAGTTGGACTGAAAAATTAATTTACAGATACGTGTTATATGATCAACGATACGGAGCTTATACTGAGTTATTTGCGGCTTTGTCTCCAGACGTACAAAATCGTTCTCATAGCATTTCCTTTGGTACCCCTTCACATGTGAGAAAGGATTTAGAAGATGAGGGAGCAAACGAAAAGGCTTGGACTTACTTCGATAAGGTCACTGACCATTATTTATAGTTTATAGGTTGAACAAAAGAAATTTAAATAAAAAGGACGTTTTGATTTTGAAAGAATGATGGCTCTGATAATAAAAACACTTGCAGCTAAACTTGTGGCAAATTCTTGTCGCTGAAAAAATTTTGCAACCAAGCTAAATTTTGAAAAGCTCCATTTTAGAAAGTCTTATGTTATTACCTAACGAATTGCATAAATACTTACTTCAGCACGAATGAACAATTAGAACACCCATTACTCTTCCTTTAACTCTAATGAGATCTGACAAACAGCTGATCGTAACCTACGTGAAAAGTGAAAAGAAATTTCCTGTGAGATAACGGGCTTTCAAAAAATGGGACTTTTAAATCCGTTAACGCCTAATTGTTACATCTCGCTCTTACTGTGGTCGCTTCTTAAGCTATAAGATAACGTCCTTCCCTATACACCTACTAATTTATGTTGCTTATATGAGGTTTTTTGAATCATTGGCTGATGCATTTTTTTGTTCCTCTATTTGTATATCTGTTTATTATATTTCTGTATGTTATTATGTATAAGAACTAGAATAAATGGTATTCTCAGAAAAAAAAAAAAANTTTTGATGTCTAACATAAGAGTCAAACGCTCTACCGATTGAGCTAGCCAGGCTTCTGGGTATTTTGTTATTTTCCGAAATTTTATAACTTTTCAAAATATCACGTGAATTTTCGAATTTTCAAATGCAAATGGTTCTATCAATTCTTATTAAACCAAAGTACACATGGCATAAGAAGATAACTAGGATAAGTTGATATGGTTTTCCTAAGAGCAATGGTTTTTTTCTTTTCACAGACGAGAAATAATGACCGAAAAGTGTTTTGTACCACGTGATCAGGTCAGGTGATATTGGTCACCTGACACAACTGATAAACTATAGTTCGAAGATTGAAGTTCTAACTAATGAATCAGTTTATCACCTTTTCCAAATTATGATCTTATCTCTTACCAAACTATACTTTGTGAGATTTTGCTGTTATGTGCACCATCGACAAGGCAATGTAGAGGAACTTCTATGTTCTTGTGAATGTGTTAAAGCAAATCTAACCATCCTTTTCCTTTTCATTCTGTTAGCTGGATGTTTGTCGTCACCTCTTCAACTACTCTATTCTTTAACTCTTACGTTTGTCTCTTGTTGCAAATGTGGAATCTGTGTGTTTTAGTAGACTCATAACTTGAAGTAAATTGGCTGCAAAATTTTTCTGGAAGGATTTTTTCGCAATTTATTCTGCTATCAAAATAAAAGATCAGATCCTTTTGCAAGTGTTTCTAGTACCTTGTTGAGAGTTTTACTGTCTTTAGGTAAGCTGAGTTCCCTATAATAAGAGAAATCAACAAAACTCTAAATGATTACAATTCAAAATTCTGCAAAACTGTACTAAAGAAGTTTATTTTCCATTTTGCAATAACATGAAGGCATTGAGATAACGCGCTTATGAAATCCAACTAAGGATTACAGGTCTTGTAAAATTATACTTCTAATTAATACATAAATGGTCACAAATACACAAGCCATAAACTACCTAAAAATACATATATACACTCAAAGACAAATAAATAAGCTCTAAAGAGAATGGTCTCCAATCTGATGATGATGATTTCCTTGTCCATTAGTTCCCCACGGTTTCTCAGGAGTGGAATTTCCTCTACTTCCACCAGTGGTATGAGTCGGCCAAGGTAACATCATAGGCAATGATCCAAGATGTTGTTGTTGCAGGGGAGTTCCTTGAGTTGATGACCTTAAGCCAATCAAGTCATTGATAATACCTCTTTCTTTCTTCTCTAATTCCTCGTTTGATGCAGATTTTGATATTAGATGGTTTTCTGTAAGGTTCTGATGATGATGATCCATAAAGTCAAACTTAGTAATTGATGGGATTTTTGAAAGGGAGGTGAAGGAGTTTGAATTTGAATAGAAGGGGAGTTGTGGAAGTCTTGTACTTGACGGTGGCCGGGTAATCGAGGGCAACACCTTATTCTGGTCATTATGGTGATGGTGATGATGATGATGGACTTGTGTTGGGGTTGGGAGCGAGTGGGGAAGGACAGATGGTATAGCAGACGACTGTGGAGTACTTTGGTCCAAGACTTTCATACTTTTGTATTTAATAAATTTCAAGATCTTTAAATACTTTAAATCTTCATCCATTTCTTCATCGTCCCAATCGATTTCATCGTCATCATCATCATCTTCGTCATCGTATTCATGAGATTTTAAGATTTCTTCCTTCAATTCATCATTTATTAATTTTTCAAACAATCTATCTTGTTTCGATTTCCATTGATTTTCCTTTTTATCCCCATTTTGAATAACTCCAAGTTTATAGTTTATGAATACATTAATAAACAAATCTACCGATCTCCATAACAATAAAATAGAATCTCTGTTTACCTCCATACTTTCCTTTGCATATCTCAATTGACATAGCAAAAGATATAACATCTGCAATATGATTGACTTCTTCAAATTGATAATTGTCATTGATAAACCGTTTAATATGAAGTTAAATGGAGATACAGGGATAATTCTAACAGTTGGCTCGCCTACAGTTTTAGGACGATTAATTTTTCTTCTTTTCATAGAAAAGTCATTAATAATAATTCCGTCATGGTCCATATCATGATGAAGACCCAAGCCATGTCTACTTCCTAAGCCACTCATTCCATGATGCATTGTAGGATTTCTTTGTTCTTCCAGTTTTGTAATATGGATAAAAATCATTATGAAATAATTCAATACTTCTGATGAAATGGCTTCAATTTCTTGATATAAATTAAAATTCAATTCTTTATCAATTATAAAATTCAAATAATTCATGGAACGAATCACGGCATAATGGAAATTCAATTGAATCTTTATCAATTGTGAAGATGTATGGATATCTAACACCCCAGTGTTTAAGAAATTCAAAATTCCAATCTCAGTAATACCAATTTCATCTCTTTTATCATTCTGCGGGGTGGACGAGTTGGACGAGGCTGGTCTCATATCGTGGTAGAGATTATTTTCAGTAATATTCAATAAGTCTGGCAATCCCATTTCCGATTGCAATGGTAATAGATTGATTTTCTTATCCTTTAAAGACATTCTCCAGTTTGATAAATTTTTGTCAATGATCAAAAATTGATTGAAATTATAATTCAAGTTCCCATCATTCCCATCTCCATCGTCTTCATTTAATATCCAATCTAACCTATGAGAACTCGAAGGGTGGTCCTTTTTCTTCTTGTTTTGCTTTCTGAGATATTGGTAATAGTTTGGCGAGAATGATGATGGGATAACAATATTCATTAGATTCAAAAATTCAATGCTTGGCTTTAGTAAATTGTCAAACAAATCATCATTACCATCTAACAACAAAGACAACTTTTCCGGAGTCAATTGGAAATATCTGTCTATAGTAACAGGATTAATCACGGTAGTATTCAAACTTGGTTTGAAACCGAATTTCAAATTAAAGCACTTTAACAAGATTTTGAAGACCCAGAAAATCTTGACACGGTTCCGACGCTGTTGTTTTGATAATGATAAATCATTAAAGAATAGGTTCTTGGAATTTAAGTTGATACCCAAGACACCAATAAAGGCATTGATTAAGGAGGATAAAACCAATGATTTTTCCTTGTTATTTGTTAACAAAGAATAATGCAAGAATAATAAATATGTCTGTAAGTGATTGACACTTATATGAAATTGATTGAAATACGGTAATAAGTCATATATCGATGTCAAAATGGATGGGCTTTTATCCTTTGCATTAATTGGCAACATATACTTTGGATTATTATGATTCAATAACAAATTCAAGTTTATAGTTGGATCGGTTATCATTATAATTACATAAATTTGTACAATGATCATGAAATACGCATTAACGATTTCATAATCGTTAACATTCGACAAGTTGAACCCATTTATCGTTGAGTCATCGTAGGTGAAAATGAATGGATACATAGTATGAAAAGCATTATATGACTGCATGAATTGTTTGTAATCGAAGATAGGGACAAGAATGTTATAATTCAAGAAGAATTGTACGATTTGGTTGTCTAATTCTCGTTTTGACGCAAATAATCTCTTTAAATTGTTAACAAGTTTGATAAACAATTCATACGAATCTGTTGGAAGCTTTTCTTGAGGACCTTCCTGATTAGGCTCGGGAGACTTTTTCTGAGCAGTTAAAGGGTTGTATATTAGATCCATGTCTACATTTGATAATTGATTCATTTTTTGGTATGATGGATTGTAAAGGTATGCATTTGGGTCATTTAGCAAATAGTTATGAGTATTTGTAATTTTCAAAAATGGTAAGTTTAAATCAATTAATAAATGGTTAAATTGGGATTCAAAGTTAAGATTGTCATTACCGATAATTATGCCTTTGTTGTCAATATTAAAAATCTGTTCAATAGGGTTATTAATCTGCACTGATTGATTTGTTTGAAACTTTACAGCAGTGGTACCACTAGTAGTATCAGTGGTTGCCCCTGCACCGCCATTCTTTGCATCAGTTCCTGTTTCATGAGCGTGCGCACTAGTGGAAGTATTATGGCTGGCGTCACCACTGTGTTCCAATTGTTCCTTCAACTCTTGATTTTCCCTTTCCAACTCCTTTAATTTAAATTCCAAATTTTCAGTATATCCCTTGGGGAAAGCTCTCCTAGTAAGTTTGTCACTTGTTTTGCATTCAAAATCTACCTTCTTACAATTACTACAAGGGTATTGTCCATCACATTTGATTTTCTTGATTCTACATCTATCACATGCTTGAGATATTCGAACACCACTAGAAGTGCTGATTAATTTCAAGTTTGACTTGGAGGTTTCTTTGGGATGTTTATGTTTCGTCATAGTCGTTGTTGTTGCAGTGCTGCGCCGTATCTCGGGATTTGCTACCTTTTATGTGAGCTTGTATGCCTTGCGAATATAACTATAGATGTTTGTGTTCTTCGATGGCCCTTCTTTCTGGGTAGATTGCACCTCTCTTAAAGGATATGATATCTCTTGTAATTTTACAGATCTCTGGTAAGATCTTTTAAATGTTTACTTTATAAAGAAACAGTAAAGAAAACGAAAAAAATATCAAATGAAAGTGAAAATGGAAAGAAGGAAGTTTTTTTGGTTTGTTTTGATGATTTAACCCCCGGGTAAACTACAGAAAGAAAGAAAAAAAAACTTTTATTTCCCCAGAAAACGACATTCCCCATTTTGAACCCTCTCTAAAATCCGAGGAAGGAATTTATGTCGGCATTAAATGTCGTGGAAACAGGTTTTGCTGCGTTAAAGACCGAATATGTGACGCTTTATTAAACAATGGACGCTGGCGATTTATGTGACAAAAATGTTCGTAGACTTAAAGAAGTATGCAATATTCGGAAGATATTTGGAGGTATTTTTGCAAATGTGCATACAAACGAATCTTTCTCGGGGAATTGTACCTGGGCCTGGAATTCCGCTGAATACTTCGGAGTCATATTGACGCTGGTTCCAACGGTGTGATGTGTATGATGTCATTGTGAATGTGTGTAAGTGAGTATTTGTAAGCTTAAAAGCATTATTTTTAGAGCTTTGACCATCTAAATCAGCTTTACCATATAACCCGTGAACATTCCACTTATTTTATAATCATTTAAAGATCTATATATATATATATTGAACAATTTGCTCTGTTTTGAGATATATCAATCAGAGCAGGGTTCTCGTTATAGTTGTATCTCTAATTATATAGTTTTCCTAATAGATATAAGATAAGGAAAACCTTTGAATTTTCATTGTTCCGTTGAACGTTTTGTTCATTGATCAATCAAACGTGAAATTGACAGTTTGCAACAATAAGCTTCATCTACTCTTTACCATATATATTAACCATTTAAATATATTAAATCCACAGCATTGCCCTTATCTCAATATTGACTTCACTCATTCGATGATAAGTATATGCAAGTATGACAGATTTTCAGGGAGGGGCAATTTACAAAACACGGCTAAAGGATCGCGCGGGTTTCAAGTAGTACAAGTGAACAATTTCAAACAAGAACACCCGTGGTTTACTTTATCACTTGTGGTCGTCTTGGTAATTTGTGCTACAAGTACATTTTGGATTGTCAATAGTGAGGCTCATAAAAGGACAATTATGTCCGAAGCTCTCGAAAACTTACAATTGCACAAGGGCATTTTATTACGTAATCAACTGATCGTTATCAAGAGCCCAATTAGGAAGGTGTCTCTTCCCCTCCACAATTCACATGAATCATTCTGCCTGTCATTTTGATTTGTCATTGTCTTAATCATTGTTACATAAATATGACAGCTTTCCCATCTTTAAAATTTCTTAATATACTTTTCTTCCTTCGTTAAACCAACCAATCTTTTACATACAATGAAATACAACTTATTTTTCGCTAATCCACAGGAAGAAGAACTTCAAGAACAACCTAAAAAAGAGGAAAAACAAATCGATATAATACCCTCTTCAGAATTACAGCCTGAAATTAAAGATGAGCATCATGAAGATGAGGAAACTAATAGACAAAAATCTTCGAAGGAATGCCTTTTTCAATCCTCTGATAACCTAATAATCAGTCTTTAGGTGCTATAATCGGATACTTCGACCGAGAAATAAATATAGTAAATAATCCATTCGATTATGTCTATATGCTGGTTCAGAACAAACACTCTATAAATACGTTTAATGTAAAATACTTTTAATAAATACTATATCTTCTTCACTCAACTCATCCCAATTAACCTCATCATATCTTGATAATGCTTCAAGGTCTTGTAAATCATTCACAATTTCAAATAGAATTTCTTGACCGACAAGTATCTTAATCTTAGGAGATTTGTGCTTGGTTAATAACCAGAATAATCTATCGTCAATCCTTTGCTTTAATGATGTGTCAACTTTCGATAAATAGTAAAATATTCTAAGAACCGTGGTGACTCGTGTAAGATTTCCTGTGTTTATATGCAAGTTGTAACACTTTATAAATAAGCCATTATAGTCGATCCCAGACGGGAATCGGAAATTGGCTGTCAATAACTTAAGGAACAAATTCAATGTCATTGTTATACATTTTAGCGTTCGAGAAGGACTATTTTTATCCAATTTAAGAAAGCTAGTCAATATTCTAAAGTCGTCCAAATTAGGTTGAAATCTTAATAGCTCATTAAATGCATCATTTATAATCTGTTGATTACCGGTAAATGAACCCACTGAAAAGACTAGTCCTTTCCAAAATTCTTCTCTTTCCCTTCCCTCTTGTAATTCTCCATAATAATTAAATAGCTCACTCCAGTAATGGTCTTTAAGTGAAATCTCGTCGATCGTGTCACGATCCAATAAATACAATAACTCAAACAGTCTATGTCTAATTCTATCCATCAATTCTCCTGATAGTCTAATCAATTTTAGTTTAATCATGTCATTGCCAAAAAAATATTCAATATTATTCCCAACTAATCTAATCATAGCCAATCTAATCTTCGACCCAACGTCTCCCTGTTCTGTAGTAGTATAGTCATCAAATAAGTCATATAATGATGCCACATTCAAGTTATGAAACTGGAAATTATCACTCAAGTTGTTTATCAAATTTGACCTAATTTCCGCATCGACTTTTTCATTTCTCATAATTTTCACAATCATACTCAATTCAACCTGAGAGAAATGTCGATAGTTGAATAAGCAGTTCGATAGTGTACTGGAAAATTGAACATGGTCGAATAACGAATCTTCTGGAATGGTATCGAGTTTCGAAAACAACACTTGGAATTCTGAGGTATACTCGCTCTTATTCATAATTTTGAATAAGTTGTCCCAGTCTGAATCTGTAGGAAACTTGTAGGATATAAGAAACTTCAAATATCCCAATATCATTGCTTCCTTGGTTTCGCTGTATGTAAAATTTGCAAAGGTTGAGTGAAGCAACTCGGTAGGAACCTCGGGAAAATCAAATAATATGTGCCATCTATTGGCTCGAACTAATTTGTTCGTTATGGTACCAATATCATATTCTTGACGAGGTGATAACTCCAATTCACGTGGTTGTTGAAGTAATTTACATAGATATTTCCCATTTCCATCGTATTCGCTGATATGATCCACTAATCCTTCAATCAAGAAAGATAGATCAATTTTCGAGTACAATAGGTCTATAACCTGATATGATACCGTCTTATTCACAAGGCTCAATTCATTGAATACCTCCATTATTCCTATAATCGTTTCACCTCTGGTATGATCATCTCCGATCGGAACAATAATATTTCCGAATCTTCCCAATAGTTCTTGTAAAACTGCGATACTGCACCTTTTCAATGTCAAGTCTTGATCGAATACCAATACTCTTAATAAATCCAGGAAAATCCCAACTATCTTTGACGGTGGGGGGCTTTTGGTCGTACGACAAATTGTCCAGATTATAAATGTCGATGAATCGCGTAGCTGAGTACCTAAATTAAAAGAAAGTCTTCTAATCTTAATAAACAAACAATAATGACAGATATCTAAAAGCTGTGAGACATACCGTTCAGGAAGACTTTTAGTTAGGGTAATATATCCCAAAGTGAGTAATATAGAATGGGTTTTGGCTATATTAATGTCATCGTAATTTTGGGGAAGCTCGAGCTGGTCAATAACGTACTTGATTAATTGATCCTGATAATTGGTTGCTGAAAAGGATAATTGTTTGATAATTGCGCTTAAGCTTTTGGCGAAGGCATAACGTAGGTTTGTATCAAATTGATTTATCATATTGTTCATAATATCATTAATTAAGTTATTAACAATATCTTGGACTTGTGGATATGACCCAGTTTTGATATAATAAATTGCCAATTTGCTCAATATTTTGATCAGATAAAGGATATTCAAGACAGATTGATGTGAAGGGGAAAATAATAAATCATCAATTATAAGGTGATATATGACTGAAAGTTGTTCTTCGCATAGTTGTTTACGTTTTAGTAGTTTGTTGATACACAAGTAATAACCTAATTTTGACGTGTCGGATTCATTTAGCCAATTGACCTTTGTGTGTTCAAAATACTTGTCCAAAAGAGCTTGACAATCACCTCTACTAAGTAATCTTGATAAAAGAATCAGCGAAATGACTTGATTTTTGGATCCGTTATTATATTTCCGCAAATTCCTTTGGCCAATTTCATATAATTTATTCAGCAAATCAGGATCAATATTGTTAAAATTAAAAGGAACCAAGACAAGATTGCATAGCCAGATCAAACATAAAAATATCTCGAATTCATTGGTCAATTCAGAACTTAGCCTAATTAACTTGTTAATTATATATAAATCACTTGAGAAATACAAAGCAACTTGTTTAAATTGTCGGATCTTAGCAAAATTGTAAACGATCTCCCCAATTGATGATTTTATGATGGAATATTTCGATGATAAATACAAATTGGTCAATGATTCAATGTACTCCGCAAGATGTGCCTCTAAGAGCTTTGGCCTAGGTTCGAATTCATTGATGAAATTGACTATCCTAACAGTAAGCTTATTGGTTAATGGAATTATATCGACTGCCGAAGTTGATGAAGAAGTCGATATCTTTACTAACTCGCAAATGCATGTTCTGATCTCATGATGAAGCTGGTCACTTTTCTTAATTATTAACTGCTCCTTAAACTCATCCATCAGTGTTCATGGGTTGCCGCTTTTCTCTAAAATTGGTCTGTTAAGAAGATTGTCTATAACAAATGAGTTTCTACAACCAATTTCTAAATCCTATGGAAACAATCTGTATTATTTTTACAACCGTTTTGAACCAATTTACACGACTTATTTTCTTTTCATGCCCAACAGAAAATTTTTCAACTTCAGTCAATATGAATGATTAATGATTTCCTTAATAGCGATCTTAATATTGTGACCAAATAACCTCCAAATATGTCCTCCATTGATGCAGCCAAACAGTTGTTTTTCAAGATCACTCAACATAGATCAGTTATAGGTATGCCTCGAAAGCTTCGTAGGACAGTAAGATCCCTTGGATTGAATCACAGAGATGTCACCGTCTATCAAACTATCAGTCCCAGTACCGCAGTTAAATTAAGTAAGGTAAAGGAATTAGTTAAGGTTGAATTGGCTGACCAAAAATTGAGTAGAAGGGAAGTCAACTTGACTAGAAAATATAAGCCTGGATTTCTGGTTGTAAAATCAGATGCTTAAATGTATCAATCTTCCCATATGTATTAAATGATTACTTATACATCCAATAGGTAAAGGGGACTTTGAGAGATGGCTTATTTGAAGTTACGGGAATGAACCGGATAATACTGGCTGGCTGGCTGTTTAAGAATAAATCATATTATATATCCTTCCTGCCGTGATTGGTGCTATCTAGACATAATTTAAACTTGTATATAATGTATATTACGAAATGGGAAAACTCCCATAAATGAACAGGATTTGATTACCCTTAAAGGATTACAATTTTAGTGATATCATATCGTTAGCGGCGTAACAGGTATAAGCACATGATATTATCGAGTCACGTGACCACGCATATTTTAATTGGACTTTTATTTACATAATGATTAGTTAACAAGTAATTATTCTCAGACAAGTACGATCCTAAGTATGGTCTCTAGATATTTATTGGATTTTATTTGTGTGCTTACTAGGTATTTCTGAAACTACTTTCACACCTCATCTGATTGGCTCGCTCTTGAAAATTTTTAGTCTCGATGATTTTACCGCATGCAGGTCAAAGCCCGCCGAATAAAAAAATGTAACATTTACTTGAAACTCTGCTTACTAAAGTCTTATATAAAACAACCAACATTTTCTAATTATAACTGATACCTCAAGTATCTTATTTCATATTTGTTTCAAATTTGGTTTTGTATATATACACCCCAAACCAACCACCGAATTGGAACCCACATACTTTTTGTTCAATTCATAATTTTTTCAGAATTTTCAAGATATATTTACTATTTATCACAACATAATGTTTCAATATATAAAAGCAACGCAAAGAAATAGGGTAACTAATCAATTATTCACATCTACATTCGCCATATGTTTTATGTTGGTTGGAGCCAATTCATTAATCCCATGTCCAGTCGACAGTGTTCATGGTAATGACTCAATAGTTGATGAAAGGTTGGTTAAACATGAAGAATTGAGAAAGAAGAATGCTGAAAGCAAAGGAGAAATATGATTCTTGGGGTACCAAACGAAAGGAAGAAGGTATGGTCATTTCAATATTAGTGGAAAATGAAGGAATGACGATATCTATATCCCTTGTGTAAATTCTTCTCAAAAAGTTACACCTTCATTCATTTATTGCATTTTTTTCAATTCAAGGGGCAATTCATACTTGACAATAATAATTTTGCCCTTCGGTACGGTTTTTGTTTGTCTTATTATTTGCATTTCATGCCTGGGTTTATATGACGTTGGTGGTTGGTTCATACGTTTTTAGTTTGCTTTTCACAAATGATTTATGCACATTAGTTTACTTTTAACTTTTACATAGTATAATTTTTCAATATTACGATTTATATGTATTGTGACATTACTTTGGGGGGTATACTTCCTGGTTTCTAGATGCCCACGGTTTAATGGCAGCAATTTCTGGAAGCAGTCTCTGTTTTTGCAGTAATTTTTTCTATTGTCCAATCAAATGTCGCGCGTTTGCGTTCCGCCGCACATATCGCTAAGAACTTGGGGTTGCAGTTGAATTCACATATACAATTCTGACGGAATTCTTATGAGGCTAGTTATAAGCTTGCAGGGTTTAACTAGCTCTGGACTAGTTTGGATCCTGTAAGGATCTGGTTTTGAATTCTTCAGTTATAGGTTCTTCCTTGCAAAAGTCAGAAGCGTGCTGGATTTCACATCGAATTCCTACATCGTAGGTCAGCATAAAAGGCAGTATTGTAGTCACGACCTACTTGAACCAATCAATTACTTAGTCGTATGTATGAAAACTTTTGATGCTGGATGCATCCTTTAACTGATGATTTGTTGTCTGTTATTTCCCAGTGGTCTGAGGGATTTCATTATAGAATTCAAATTCTTTTAAATTGCAGATTTACTAGCATAATAGCTATAATACACCCGTATTTGGGTTCATTCACTCGGTAAGTTGTTCTGTATCTAAAAGCTAGCAGGTAGCATATTATGATGTGTTGCAAATTTTTGGCTTTGGGACCGAAAAAATTATGGGAGCGCTGCTTTCCTAATTTGGAAAGATCGTAAACAATTTAGAAATGAAATGCATTTATAATTGGGAGGAAACCCCAAATTTCTTGATCTTTCCAAATTCATAAACTAAACCAAAGCTTAAGAAGAAATGCATTCAGCAGTACATCTGGCAGTGTCATTGGATTATTCATTTCCTAAGCCGTACCAACATTCTCGTCATAATTATCATGTTAGCGGCATACCCTCTGATATTATTCTTAGTAAGAACTTAAAGATATCAGATGAGCCTACACCAACAGCACCCAAATATTCAAAGATACCCATTAGTAAGATATTCAGAACCAATACCCTTAGTGAAGATCCATTGGATAATATTCTTGAACAAAGCAAACGAATTATTAGTAACTACAAGCTTGAGTTACCGTATAAGGTCCAGTCAGACAATGCAAGCACTCCCAAAAAGAACAACGACACGGCTCAGCAAACTACAATAAGATCTAAACGTAAAAGACAAATTTCTCAGGATGATAAAATAGAAATATTGAAAAACGAAATTGAAAATGCAACTTCCAGTAAGCTCAATACGCCAATCCCCAATAAGACGATTTTCTTTTCACCCTCAAGTTCAGTAAAGAGAGATTTGAAACAATCTACTCCAGTCTCAGTCCGAAATGATGCACAATTGAACATGGAAAGGCCATCAAAGAAATTTCTTAGGTTGGATAAAGCAATAGTTGTAAAGGATCATCAACAAAAGGAAACTGGAGATCAGGTAGAATATCATTCGGAAGAAGTTGACGACTCTCATTATGACGAGTTGGCATGTCACGCTGATAATATCTTGCGAATGGCTGTTGATTCAACCATGTTGGGATCCACTTTTGATGGGTCTTTTTCGATCAACAATACATTTGCAAATTATTCAATATTAGATGATAAAGATGATTATGACAGGAGTGTGCTTGAGATTTTGCAATCTAGACAGGAGAGAAGATTGGATAAATCCAAATTCATAAATATTGAAATTAATGCCGACGATATTAAAGCAGCAGTACATGGAATGTGAAGAGTCTTGGTTCGTTTCTCCGTATCTCATCTATCTATGTATATGTTTTATGCACGCAATCCAAAACGGATGCCTTTATTATATTGCTTGCTCTCTAGTAAACATAAGCTTTGAGCGTTGGCTGGGAATCGATATCTTTAGATCCCTTCATTGTTAGCCAATGAGACTGAAAAATTTCGTTACCTCTTCCTCACGGGCCCTTGTAGAATGAAAAAAAAAAATTGTACTGCCAATGAGGGTTGCTCTTCAATGAGCTGAAGCTTCAATTAGATTAACACATATAAATTAAAACACAATGCTTAGAAGGTCTGTTCATAAACGATTGTTGGCAACATCAGCCGACGCTTCAGCCAAGCAACAACAACAACAACAATATAATGTTTTTGATAGATCAGCGAAGTTACTACAACGTTCCAAAACTCCAAAATTGAATATAGAGTTATCTCGAAAAAAGGAGTATTTAAGGGATGAAGTTGCCAGAAAGACTATTGAGAGATTGGCATTCATAACTAGACCATTTACAAGAGTATTGGATTTTGGATCACATGGTGGTAATCTTTTGAAGAATTTGTGCTCACCTGATGAAGAGATACCTCAAGAACTGACTACAGACAAAGCAGTAGTTGAAATGGCGAAGCAATTGATAAAGGATAAGGAAACTGTTAGATCAAAGATAGAGGAATTAGTCATGTTTGATTCCAGTAAAGAATTACTTAATAGAGATATTGCTGAGCCATACAATAACGTATTTAAAGGTGTTGTAAGAAGATATGTTGGGGACGAAGAAGCATTCAGCCACCCATGTCTAGAAGAATCGAACCAATATGATGCAGTGATATCGAACTTAAGTTTGCATTGGATCAATGATCTTCCAGGGGCCTTAGCTAATATCAATCGTGTTTTGAAACCAGACGGATTGTTTATGGCTACCCTTTTTGGGGGAGACACTCTTTATGAATTAAGAACGTCGTTACAATTGGCTGAGCTTGAAAGACGAGGTGGTATGTCACCTAGAGTATCACCATTAGTCCGGTTGAACGATGTAGGATCTCTTTTGAACCGTGCAGGATTTTCTATGTTGACTATTGATGCGGAAGATATTGTTGTTGGTGGTTTTCCTGATATTGTTGCCATATGTGAAGATTTGCAAGCCATGGGAGAACAAAACGCTATTTTATCAAGATCTAATTATTTGCCTAGAGATGTGTTATTAGCTGCCAACGAGATTTATAAGACTTTGCATGGGGAAAAGAATGGAAATGAAATAACATTACCTGCAACCTTTAATGTTATATTTATGATTGGATGGAAAAAGAGTGCTGATCAACCCCAACCATTAGCGAGAGGAACAGGTCAAGTCAGCTTGAAGGACGTTTTGTAAATATATAATTTGTATAAACGGTAATAGGATCAACTTTCCACTCTAAGAAAACATAGGATCGGCTATAAAGGTTCTACCATTCGCTTTTGCAGTCGGATACTCGGTATTAGGGGTATAAATCCCTTCAAGTGATTATGAAGACAATAAGAAGGAAGTGAGGTACCGAGGACTTGTGTAATTATCGCCTTCGGGATATCTCCGCGGCTGAGCCGACACCCCACACAAAAAAAGCTACACAAATTAAGCTTTTTGGAATCATATGATTTTTTTCTTTTTGTTCTACCCTCAAAACTACATTTTATTTTTAGTACGGGGATCTTCTATTCTACTACGACGGCATGTGTAAATTATTGTAAAGGGGGGCGAAAAAATGACACATTTCTCATTCTTTAGTGGTACGGGGGGTGGGGAGGAAGAACTTAAAGTTTAGCGCAAGACTCATTCTTAGAGATTTTGAATCACCACACGGAACAAATTTGAAAATCCGAAATTTTTACCAATTAGTTTCAGAATCAATTTTTCTCCACTTTTTACTTTATCTATTTATAACTTCTTTTACAACACACTTAGAATAACTAGTACGAGCTACACTATTAAACACCAAGAGAACATATCCAGAATAGAGGCCACTACTACAAAAGAACAACCCCCACGCAAAACAGAAATAAAGTAAAAAAAATGGGATTCTACAGATCAAATTCGTCATCAGATGCTCCTAGATTGAAGCAACAAGTGGTATTGCCAACTTATAAGTTGGATTCCAACTTGGTTCTTTTACCTGGTATCATTTATAATGTAGCTTTTTCAAGGTTTAAGGCTGCTGCATTATTATACAGATTTAAGGATTTAGTTTCACAAATTTCTATCGTTAATAATTTACTTAACGAATATGATTTTGATAGCCGCGAAGGTGTTAAATCTCCAACAGGTCAAGTGCAACAAGATCCGGAATCTTCAAATCCAAGTAAGATTTCAAGAGAAGCTATTGAGGGAATCTCTCTGTTTTTCCGTTATGAGACACTTTCCAAAACAGCTGGTATGACTGAGGATCAAATTGCTGGCCCTGGTAGTGAATTTGAATGGTTGACTGTTGCAATTATTCCTAATTTGGACAAAATTAAAAGCCCTCAAAATTATTCTTCAGAGGGTTCTAACGTTGTTACTGCTGTGAGAATCATTGGAATTGTTGATGATACAACTAACATTAAGTTAACATTGCAAGCAATTACCAGATGTGTCAAAGTTGACAAAAAGAACACTAGAAGTAATGAACAGTTAGTGGAAATTGATTGGTCTTATCGTGTCCGTGATTTGAAAGCAAACATGAGGACATTACAAGATAATGCAGGCAAGTTATTCAAATCGATTGATAAGTTCCTTGGTGATTATCGCCAGGCTCTTAATAATCCTGCCAATAAAAACAGGACAAACTTATCATTAACCAGCAAGACTACTGATGAAACTAACAAGAACAATCCAGTTAATTTGGATAATAATCCTGACTTATTAACACTTAACCCCTTGGCGAATGCTTTGTATTTACAATTGGCGGGTTCAAAAGATTTCAGCAAGGCATTCTTAAGCTTACAAAAATTATATTCGCAGTATTCTTCAGGAGAAGATCTTGTAATCGACAATAAGTCATACTTAAGACTTATGGACTTAACTTGTGGTATTTTACCTTTTCCAAACTATGAAAAGTTGAACATATTAAATAAGTATAGGAACAGCGAAAGAGCTATTGAAATCAATGAAATGATTGTCAGATTAATGCAAATATTTGAAAACTTGAGACAAAACACTTCATTTGTGAATCATTGGTTTCATAATGAAGCAACCAATATCCAAAAAGCTAACGTTGTTGCGAATGAATTGAAATCCATTAGGATATTATTGGAAGGTATGACTAATAGAGAAAGGGCTGAAGGAAAGAATCCTCGTCCTGCAAGATTACCTGGAAGACCACCTCATCGCCGTGTGGCTGGAACTCCTGAAGATGACTATGAGGATGACGATGAGGATGATGAATTGAAAGCAATAACCAATTTCATAAGAAATAAATTACCAGGAATCTCGTCATTGTCATCTGATTCAAAGAGGCTTATTGTGAAGGATTTCAAGAGAATAAAGTCTTCGGCAAACTCCCCAGGAGGTGGTAATTCCGACTATCATGTTCTTCGCAATTATTTGGAAATTGTTATGGATATTCCTTGGGACAAGTATGTAACCAAATTCAAATCAAATAAAGAAATTGACCTCAAATTAGCTAAGAAGCAATTGGATGACGACCATTATGGATTAGAACATGTAAAGAAGAGATTGATCCAATATTTGGTTGTTTTGAAATTATTAGGAATAAATGCCGAACGCGAAATTGCACATTTAAAGAATGAAAAGAAGTTAATCCAATCGAATAATAGTAGTGCTTTGAAAACTGATCAAGAACTTAAGGATGCAGGAAGTAATAGTATCGTTATTGCAAATCATGACGAAACTTATCATGTTCGTCAAAAGGCAAAACAATCATTCAACAAGACAATCAATGAAAGCAAGCTTGATAAGATAAGTGATGAGTCTATTGAAATTTCCAGACAGAATAAGTCTCCAATCATCATGTTGGCTGGTCCACCAGGTACTGGTAAGACTTCTTTAGCTAAGTCAATTGCTACTGCGTTAGGAAGAAATTTCCAAAGAATCTCGCTTGGTGGTATCAAAGATGAAAGTGAAATCAGAGGTCATAGAAGAACTTACGTAGGTGCCATGCCAGGGTTGATTATTCAGGCATTGAGAAAGGCTAGGTCTATGAATCCCGTCATTTTGTTGGATGAAATTGACAAAGTTGTTGGAGGCAATTCTGGACTTAATAAGTTTAATGGTGATCCCTCTGCTGCTTTATTGGAAGTATTAGATCCTGAACAGAACAATACTTTTATCGATCATTATTTAGGGTTCCCTATTGATTTGAGTCAAGTTATTTTCATTTGTACTGCGAATGAACCTCATCAAATGGCAAGACCGTTATTGGACAGGTTGGAAATGATTCAAATCGGTGCATATGATTATAATGAAAAGCTCGTCATTGGACGTAAATACTTATTGCCTAGACAAGTCAAGAGAAATGGTTTCCCTGTCGCTGGTAAGATAGAGGAATTCGTGAATATTGATGAAGCAGCATTGAAGAAAATTATCATTGACTATACTCGTGAGGCCGGGGTTAGAAACCTTGAAAGGAAATTGGGTACTCTTTGCCGGTTTAAGGCAGTTGAATACTGTGAATCTATCGGTAATCCAGATACTACATACTCTCCAAATATTGAAGAATGTGATTTACCAATATATTTAGGTGTTCCTTTTGGAAACAGCGATTTTACAGCCGCTGAAGGTACAACAATTGGCAATTCTAAAGTGGGGGTTGTGAATGGATTGTCATACAATTCCGAAGGTTCAGGCTCCGTTTTAGTTTTTGAAAGTATTGGTTTCGATAGAAGACTCAGTAATCCAAATGCCTCAGGTGACGGTGCAACGTTAAACATGACAGGAAGATTAGGAGAAGTTCTTATGGAAAGTGGTAAGATTGGATTGATCTTTATTAAACTGATGATATATAAGAATTTGCTTAAAATCGCCAATAGAGATGATAAGTATTTGTTAGAAAGATTCAATAACACTGATATTCATATGCATGTCCCAATGGGGTCAATCTCAAAAGATGGGCCTTCTGCAGGTATCACCATGGCTTTGCTGTTTTTGTCGGTATTGTTGGACAAACCTGTTCCTTCTGATATTGCCATGACTGGTGAAATTACGCTTAGAGGTTTGGTCTTACCTATTGGAGGAGTGAAGGAAAAATTATTAGGTGCTCATTTGAATGTTGCAATTAAAAAGATGATAGTTCCTCGTGAAAATAGAAAGGATTTGATTGAAGAATATAGTAGAAGTATAGAGGAAGTTGGAGAGGTTGTTGATCAAAATTTGGTAAATGAATTGTTAAAAGACAATGAGGAACATGATTTCAAGATGACTCAAGTCGAACAGTTCTACCAAAACAGGTACGGTATTCAAATATTCTATGCTCGTGAGTTTTACGATGTAATCAGAATTGTCTGGGAAGATGATGATTTATTGTCAAATCATACATCGAGTGGCTTACTTGAATATCATTTATAGGCACGTTAATTCCATTTGATTAACATTTATAAAAAAAAATACATTAAATTTAGCATTTATTAATCTATAGACTATTGTACACTCAAGCTCATTAGGTTCTTTTCTTCTTACCAAATGCCTGGCTGTTTCCTTCACTAGAACCTAAACCTCTCTTCTTACCTTCTTTAGCAAAATACTCCTTTTTACGTTCTCTTTCTTTGTCTTTCCTTAATTCTTCCTTTTTGGCGATAGTCTTCAATTTTTCTTTGAATTTTTCATCCTTCTTAGTCCTTCTCTTTGCTTCCTTCTCTTTTCTAATAGTGGCAATCTTTTGCATCAAATCTCTTGCTTTCTTTTCTTCTCCACCTAAAACGACAGCTCTCTTGGACATATAAGTCTTCTTCTTTTGTGGCTTCATTTGATGGATTTGAGATTTGAATGGCAATGTTTCTTTAATAGATTTTGGGACTCTCAAAGGATTGAATCTTCTTTCTGCTCTTTCAATCTTTTTATAAGCACTATCATTGTTCAAAGGAGTGGCAATATTTTGTGCGGCTCTAACTTGACCAGTCAATCTCATACCCTTCCATTCAGAATGCTTTCCTTGCAATAAGGAAGTAACAGGATTATAAAACTTCTTGACTTTAACTGGATACCAAGTCTTCAAAAAGACAGTGTCAGACATCAAGATTTTATCTTCAAAAGTAGCTCTGAAATGACCATCAGGTTTAGAAAGTGCACGCTTTATTTCTCCTCGTATACCTGAAACAGTTCTGATTTGAGCACCTTCAAATTTAGCAACTTCTAAAGCATTTGAAAACATATCTTTTACAAAGGCCGTGTTACGGAAAATTTTATATGGATAACCAACCAATTTTAATTTCTTGACAATTTCAACTGATGAATTCAAATCTTCAACAATACCAGTTGCAGCAACTCTAAAAGCACCAGTAGTAGATTGATTATCGACAAGGTTGAACCCAACGAAAGTAGTATTTGGTGCAACTAAAGGACCATAGAAGGAAGCAAAACAGTATGCATGTTCTGGAGTATATTTCAACATTCTATTTCTGGTTCTAGAATCTGAAGTGGTATAGATAGGGATGGTTTGGAATCTTCTCCAACCCAAAGACAAAATTAAAGGATCTTGAGATTTCAAGATCTTCTTGTGCCAACGATGCCTTCTAATTCTGACATTCATAATACCAAATCTTGACTCAGTTGGTAATAACCCACCTAAGACAATTGGGTACTCTGGTTGTAAGTTGTCAACAAATTCACAAGGGAGCTTATCAAAAACAATCTTGACATATGAACCAGCTTTGTATCCTTCGATTTTGATTCTTGTATTTTGATCCATTTCTTCAAATTCAGCCTTATTAATTTCCAACTGTTTAGCCATTTTATTCTTTTGGAACTCATACCATGTCTCAGCTTCGTTGTCAGCTTCTGGGTCTTCTTGATATTCTTCCTCTTCGAATTGCATTTTCAATTTAGCCTTCTTGGCAGCATTTAATTGTCTCTTTTCTTCCACTGTCATATTTTCATCCTCTGCAGCTTCTTCTTCGTTATCTTCGCTGAGTTCAGCTTTTTCCTCTTCGGCTTCAAAGTCGGCGAAATCGCTACCTTCTTCTTCATCCCCATCCTCGTCAGAACCAGCTTTAGCCTGTCCTTCATCTCCTTCGGCTTCTAAATCTTCAAAATCTCCGTACAATTCTTCTTCATCGTCATCTTCATCGCTTCCATCTTCTTGCTTATCTGCGTCGTTCAACTTTGGAGCAACTAAGAGTCTAGATTTTAAGATTTTATATCCATTTTCATACTCGTCGTCGCTATTCTCCTCGTCTATGCTGTTGGCATCGAATTTTGCTTTAAGATCTTCAACTGAAGGATATACTGGTTTCATAGTATCCAAATCTTCTGCAATTTCTTTTATATCCTTCTTCCTAAAGAAATCGTCATCATCTTGCTCGATATCCTCTTCTTCATCTTCGTCATCCTCGTCCCCAATCCATCTTTTAATAACATCAGCAGGTTCTATGTTGGGTAAATAAAGTAATTTGTTGATATCCCATTTTCTACGAACAGATCCTGCTAATCTCGAAGCAGTTGCTCTATAGTCTTCATCTTCATCTGAAGACAATGAAGTATCTTCGACAAATTCCAATTCGCTTTCTTTGTATTTGTCATTTCCGAAATCAACTTCAACCATACGAGGCTCGTCTTCTTCGTCAAAATCTTCGTTGTCTGATTCTTCATTGTCAAATTCATCATCTTCAGTGATTGACTTCCCATACACACGAGCTTTTCTCAATGACTTTCTACCTGTGTTTTTTCTAGTATCTTCGTCTTCTTCTTCCTCATCTAAATCAGATAATAACCCGCCATCTTCTTCATCTTCCTCGTCGTTATCAACTTCATTAAGGGCCCTTGAACTAGAAAATAATTGTAAACCAGGTCCTTCTTCCATCCTTTCTGTCATGGTCTTTGCAACATCTTGTAAATCAGTAACTAATTTTTCACCTTCTCCCATTTCTCCGTCTCCAGCTTCTTTATTGAAACTTTCTTTACCAATATCAATGTATACAGCATCTTTATCTACAAGAACACCTCCAACATCAGACATTGGAGCATATATGATCTTCTGTTTATCTTCTAATCTCTTTCTTCTTCTTGTGGTCTTTGCTAATGGTTCTCCTGATTCGGCTGCAGCTTTTGCCCGTTCTCGTTCGATTTCTTCGAGTCTTTGTTCAAAGTATGGAGTAGGACATGGATCAGGTAATTTTTCTACCGAGTGGACATAATGATCACCAACACCGGCAATGTGGATATGAGCACCTGATGAAGGTAATGGAGTCCCGTGGAGATATCCGTAAACAGCGATTTTTCTGTCGCATTTAGGATTTTCAGCAATTAATTGAGGATGTGTTAAATCGGTGATTCTATCTGCTAAAAGATATGGGTGTTCATTTCTCCATTTAAGTGGTCTGAACTTCATGACTGATATAAATCTACTTAAATTAAGGATTTCTCTATCTGGATAACGACCATTTATAACCCCGGAAAGATAAAACAATTTTGCACCTTGATAAACTTCAGTCCAAAATCTATGCTTTAACCTTTTCTTAGACGTACGTAACGTGGATTGAGACTTGAATAAATCCAAATGAGTGGCAACACCAAGCACTCTTGGCATACCGTGATGTTGAGCAATATTTAAGAATTCCATAGTTTCCATTTCTAATCCATAATTCCCATCAATTAATAACAAAACCAAATCTGCGATCTTAGCTATATCAATCATTGAATTCAAATCATTATTTCCCTCAATAAAAGTCAATCTCCTTCTTTTCCCACTGACGACCGTGATTGGACCTTTCACTTCAGTTAAAGTAGTTTTAGTTAATCTACGAATAAGTGACTTTATTAATGTAGTTTTCCCAGTTCCTGGAGGACCGACAACTGCAACTATCACTGGAGGTGGGTCGTCATCAGGTGTACGATCAACCATAGGGACATGTAACTTCTTTTCATTCACATCATGAGTTCTTCTTGCCATACGTTCCAACTTTCTTGGTGCAGAAACGGCAAAAGCTTTTATGTTTTGGCCATTCTGGTGAAGCTTCTTCTTGGCGGTAGTTCTATTCGAACCGCCTCTATGGGCCTTGTTCGATTGTTGTTGAGCGTCCATAAAGGGTGTGTGTTGGTTCTTAAAGTACTGGAAATCAAATGATTTGCAAACACTGATAAATTTTTAAATGGACGCATCTCTCGCATCTCATCATGAAAGAAAAAAAATCGAGATCCGACTTCTTTTATCACGTGATACAATCTCGGAATTTTAACAAAATATTTTTGTTTTGTTTTGGCTGCTAAAACTGATTTGCAGTTTTCTTATTTTTTGATATTTGTGCAAATTAAAATGTTGTTGCACCCATATAACTTTTATTAAGCTTGGCAAAGGCAAACATGCTCTTAAATACATATGAAACGAATAATATCAAAATGTTGTATATTGTTCCTTCTAATACCCTTAGTTATATCAACTTGGCATTTTACCAATCACAAAATATGTCATCCAAATCATCCATTTTTAACCACTTTACCATTCACAGGATTCAAAGTGACTCGACAATACAAGATTTCAGGAATAATCCTGCCTATATCCATGCATTTCCTTACACTTTCACATTGCGACCATGGACAAGTGGATTATCAAAAGACAATTAGAATAGAATCTCTGGGTCATGTGGATTGGGATAAACCTTTTTGTATGTTGAAACCAAAATTAGGGGAGATGTTAACATTGCCAAGTTATGATATAATTGGAAATCCTGAATTTAAACAAGAAGAAGATCTTGAATCATATCTGGATGTCAAATCGTTTATGAAACAAAAATATAAAAAATTGAATAATTTAGTTAGAAAGAAAATTGATTTAAAATTAGAAAGAAAGACCAATGGGAAAAGTCTAGAATATACTGGTAAGAATAAATATTATCATAATCAAGATTTATTATCGCGAGATCCTCAAAGTTCATTAGAATGGGAATCAAGAAATCTTGTATGTTATAAAATGGCAAGAAGGAAGAAATATGCCAAAAGAAGAATCTCATTTTATATGCCACATACATTTGTTGGTGGATTATTTGAATGCTATGTACCTCCAAATATTAAGAAACAAATATTTCAAGAATTCACATCTCTGGATTTATTAGCCCATCTGTTTGATTTTAAATGTGATCCACAATTATCAAGACCAATATTCCCATTAATTGCAGAAGATTCAACTTCTCAATGGTTTGAAAATAAGCTTTATAATATTTTCAATCCAGGAATAGTTCAAACAATTCCTTATCTAACAACTCTGACTCCATTAAATCTTCGGTTTTCTAGTTTGGAGACTTCAGATATGTATAAAGATAGTTGGGCCACTAAAATTGAAGTAAATGAAGATTATGTTTATACAGAAGCTGATATTCATTTAGTTTCCCAAGCAGTGGCAAAACTGGCAGATTTGTTGAATAAATTAATATCACCCATTGATTTCAATGGAGTTGTGAAGTCTTACAATAAAGCAAATGAGAGAGAAAATCCAGAATCTAGTCCCAAATTTCCAGAGGAATTTGATTCCATCTTAAAGACCCTTCCATTTGAAGAAAAACTTAACTTTTGGTTTTCGTATCTTGATGATAAACTAACGAAAAAGTATTTAAGTGAGATTGAAAAGTTATGGGATAAGCTTGTATAGCCGTTTAATATGTAGTTTTAAAATATTTCTCCGAAAAATAATTGATAACGTTTTCACTAAAATCTAATGTACAAAATAACAAACCTAAAAACCTAACTAAAAAATAATAATACCGTTCTTTTCAACTGTTCAAATAAGTCTAGCTGGACTCTTTTCAATATCACTAGATCCACTAGATTCATGTCTCTCCAAGATTTCAATATCTTGTGGTTCATTCTCTTTGTTAACCAAAGTCTCACTCATCCGTACACCACTAACTGGCCTTTCTGACCTGCCTCTCTTGGAAAGTTTTCTAACAATCTTATCTTTAAGACGTGATCCTAATCCTTTATTCTCCTCCATTTCAATTTCATCATCGATATGAGGGGAGATATATCCGGTTGAGACATTGTTTAATTTATACATTTCACGCTCCCAATCAAGTGCATGATCTTGAGCAGCGATTCCCAATGCAGCCAATTCATTTTCTTCATTAGCACCACTACTACTTGCTTCTCCATTACTTGAATCTCTCTTTTCTGTTCTTTTGATTGAAGATTTACGTTGGAATGAAAATCTATCATCACGAACTGGTGCGAATCTTGCATCTGGATTTTTGGAAATTACCGACAAGACAATAAAAGTAATGATTAAAAGTAAAAGCACTAATGAAAACCCAGCATTTAAAATAAAAAATATCCAACCCATAATAGAACCAACTGAAGCTGGTTGTCCAAAAATATCTGAAAAAAATAAAAATAAAAATGAATTGATGGTGGTTACAATTGCAATCATATAATTGGTGATATTTGTTGGTTTGTTCAAATATGGTCCTTCATAGATAAGATAAATTGTATAAGCTAAATCAAATATGAAAACTGGGAATACGGAAACTTTACCTGCTGATTGAGTAAATGCAATAAAAATTGATTTAAGAAGGATATGAGCAATTTGTACAAGTCCAAAATAATATTTCTCGGCTCTGAACATAGTATAGCAAAATCCAAATTTATTTAAAATATTTGCATCTCCATATAATAAAGCTGCTGGGTTATCAAACTTTTTCTTTGATTCACGGGCATATTTCAAAACGTTGTAGTATGACCATGATAAAACAGCGGCAAGCAATAATAAGAAAAGAACTGCAAGGACAATAACTGCTGGGGAATCTTGTTTTGTGAATTCCCAAAATGAAAAAATGGTCAATTGTGTAAGACCAATACAAATATATCTCAAGACAGAACCTTTAAGTAAATGATTAAATCCAGTATTGAACATCGAGAATGAACGGTTAATTTTATTGAAACGTTTCAATAAGATAATGGCTGATTTAGCAAGAACCAAAACGACGACAAGCAAATATCCAACAAGGATAAAGAATGTATATCCTGTGACTACAATTGAAGTTGGTTCAATCTTTGAGTTATACCCAATTCTTTCAATACCTCTAAGAACAATCAAAGTCTTGTTTGACTGAAGCGCATAGTCAAGGCTTCTTTTAGCGAATCTTTCTAAACCTCTCTTTTGAACTAATATTTGTTGTACAACTCCTTTCAAATAAGTGGTTGGCTTACCTCCAGTAGCTTGGATATACCATCTAAATATATCTTGCATAAATTCGATTCTAATCAAACCCATTGACCAAGCTAAATTTTCAGACCAAGAACTGGCAATTGGTGGGACACGTTCAACAGCTTGCATTGAAACAACAACCACACTTTGGAAATAAAGGAACAAAGAAATTGAATTTGCTGCAATATGAGATGCGGCATTTGAATTTCCAAAAGTTGATAATATAGCAGCAATTAATAATCCTAAGCCTGCAACTACAGCAGTAGCCCATTTAACTCCAGTTTGACTAATTGTTTTCCCGTTTGTGAAGGAAGATTGGATACATGACAATTGCTCACCTGTAGACTGGTCCAAAACTAGAACTTTAACAACAGCATCAATATCTGGGACTTCATAAGCGATTCCTGGAATCTGATCGGCATATTCTTTACTAATATATTCAATCGAATCAACTTGAAGTGGCCCTGGGTAAACAGGACAAAACTGTTTCCAACCTAAACTACATAAATCAATATCTTTTTCAATAATTAAAAACCCATAAGCATATACTTCAACATGAGCTGTTACATAAGTATTTAAGGATGAAGTTAAATCCAAATTATATCTTAAAGATCTATCATCAGGATTGAAAGTGACATTAAAATAAGATGGAGATATTTGAGAATTATCCATACATTGAACTAATGAATTTGCAGAAAGTAATCTTTGTGCATTAGTGGTTGTGGTGATTGCAATAACCAATAGCAATAACTTTGATAGGTTTAATAGCATTTATGTGTAAGTCTAATAATAGCAACAGTTGGTTGTAAAAAAATAAAACAGATAATTAGTAGTGAATGAAGTTATTTAAAGTAGGGAAGTAAAAGTAACAACACTCTCTTTCTCTTTCAATAAATTTTAAAATACGATATGTGAATGATTATATAAATAAATATTCAAATAACAAGAAGAATAAAATCTTTCTCTGTAGTTTCCTGTTGATTAATGTAAAAAATGAACTTTTGACATTTTAAATTTAATTTTAAAATGGTTATTTATTTATTTATTTTTTAATGTTAAGCATTTTGCGCAATAATGGAAAGGAAGGGATAAATTTTTCTTAGCCTCATTGTGAAGTAATATAAAGTGAAGTGAGAAGAGAAAAAAATGAAATTTTTTTATTCATTACTAAAAATAAAATTTTATAAATAATAAATACCCTCGTGTTTGCTTTCGGATTTCATATATTTAAGATGGGACGCGTCATGTGACCTACTTAATTTTCAGAGCTTTTTCATTCGGTCGACTCCCGGTTATGAGATCATCGCTTTGGTCATTGGATACGTCTAAGGCTTATGAATGACTAAACATCATCACATGATCTTTGTCATCAATCATCAATTTTGTGGTGACTAGTGTCAACAGTAGATCACGTCTAATAAAGTATCGCGTACCCATGTTTACGTAGTTTACGGGGCCCGAATAGCTTTTAACGCACTAAATTATGAATTGGCTTTAACAATAAAATTTCCTGAACGAAATTTCAGAAAACAATGGGTTTTTTTGTCAAAGGAAAAAATCTAGAGAAAAGTACAATAAAAATGGTGCGGCTTCTTTGTTGCAAGGGTTCAAATAATATTTCTATAAACCTCGAGGTTTTCACGGAGTACTCCCTATTAGCTCTAAGTTTGTCTGATTGTTTAAGATTGAAAGATTCTCCTGCAAGGCTGAGTTTTCACCGAATTAAGGGGTTTTTTTTATCTGGGGTTTATGGATTTATTTAATTGTAAGTCATGAATCCAAATCAAATAGTTGTCAGGTCGATGTTGTAAGGGGGTTGCAAAAGTGAAAGCTATCCTACTATCATTAACAAAAAAATAAATAAGGGGGGTTTACCGAATGCCAAGATACTCCTAAATTTCTTGTATACTTGAACCAATCATTTGTAACCCCCCACAACCCTTCTGATTATGCAATTCTATGTACGTTGAAGTTAGCTGCTAATTGCTATAATACAATTTACAACTGTCTCATTTCTCCGTATCTCTGTTTGACTGTTTATACTTATGCATATTTTACAAAAGGGTCTCACACGTGTCTTTAACCAAGAATCCATTGGAGGTATAACTGGACTCAACGTCAATCTAATTTATCAAGCTGTTTCTACTTTTTTGGCAGTCAATCACATAAAACATTATCCGCAATGTAAAGATTTGTGAATGTCTCTGATATGAATAATCATACATTTAATTTTCCTATTTAATTAAAATTCACGATATTCTTATCAAAGGGAAGCTAGTTTCCCTAGCCGCGGAAAAGGTTCAGATCTAAATTATAAATACGAGTACAAATCGTCAAATGTTTGCAACCGACTGCCAAAAAAAAAAATTTCTTGGTATGGGGTGTTCCTCTTAAAATAAAAAAAAAATAGAAACTGGTAGCACCACCGATTTCGCAAACGATTTAAAGTTTTGGAGATCCTCTCCAAAACCAAAAAAAAAAAAAAAAAACACGCACGATTGATTCAGTTTACTTTAGCTAACCCTCCAAATCTGCCCATCATTGATATAGTACATGATTCTCCTTTGATATATTGTCACACATAATTCCGAGTCTCCGCCAATGTCAGATCTAGAATTGAAACCGAATCAACCAACATTTGTGGCTGAGAATCCACCTCAAGGACTTGGTGAAATTGAACTTGATGGGTTGCTTGCTCAAATTACCCAAGGAGATAAGGATATCAATAAATTGCATATATATCATGCAATATTTATCCTATCCAAAACTTTGCATTCTATTATCCAATTGCAACAAAATCCTGATTTATGTCATACTTTTAGAACTCAATTATTAAAAAAAATGGGGTTTAACGAAGATGATTTAATCAAAATCAGTGAAAACAAATATAAAATAAGTACCACTCCAATTCGTCGACCTGATAGTCCTTCACTTTCACCTCCCTTGAAGTTTGCCAAATTGAATAATCGTCCGAATTTTGAAGATGAAGGGTTCACTAATACCTATGATACAGTGGCTGATTATTTATTAAGAGAGGGTGGGAATCCTGATTCAATGTCAAAAGATGAATTGGAGGTTCAAATACCGGATTTACCACAAGATTATGAATCCGTATATGAAGATAATATCGATGATATCAAATATCATGATACTGATTCAAATGATAACAAAATTGATGCCCCATTTATCCCACTTGAACAATTATTACCTGATTTAAATTTAGATGTATTAAAAAATCCAATCACTGATATAAATCTTGATAATCTCAAATCAGAAATCTTGCGATCTACAAAACGTAGTCAAAATACTCATTTACTCAAAATATTTAATTTAATCAAAATCCCACCATTATCAATTGATGATTTCTTACTTAGAATCAAACAATATTCCCCGTCTATTTCGGTAAGTTCTTATATCCATTCTGCATTCATCATGTTCAAAATGACAATATTATTAGATTTGATACCCTTGACTATGAATAATGTATACAGGTTCATCGTGGCTTCAATTAGATGTTCTTCAAAGAATATTGAAGATATGTATCAAAGACAAAAAGTATTTGCGACAGTGGTAGGTGTAAGTTTAAAAGATTTATTTCGATTAGAGGTTGGCTTTTTATATCTTTGTGATTTTAAAGTAATAATTGGGGAATTAATGTTGAATAAATTTTTAAAAGATGAATTCAGTGATTTATGTTTATTCATGAAGGAAAATTTCCAAGAAGGATTATGATGATGATGACTGCATTTGCATAACGATTAATTGGCATATATAGCGTATAGTATTATATATAAAATGGCATTTATAGTAATGAGGACGAAAAAGTTAGAAGAGATTTACTTTAAAAGGGAAGTTGCAAGAGCAATGGTTTATCTGTTTGTAGACTCTACATGTAGTAGGTTGTTAGTTTGCGGGTCAGTTCTCTATTTAAGTAACTACATGCATGATATTTATGAATCACTTTCTGTTTTCAACCCATTGAGGCAAAATATTAGATTCTTCTTAATTAATCCTTCTGGCACAACCTGCCTTGGTCTTTTCTCTTGTTGAACAATTCATGAGCCTTTTCGTGGCTTCGACATCGAGCGAATTGGTTGCAAAAAAAAAAAATCGCAAACACTGTGTATTCATTGGTCTCCCACAGCCTGAAAACCCTTTCAACAAAAGTTCTGACAAGCAGTTTGACAACCCATTTTCCTCTATATTACATTCATGTATTCAAAGAGTCCAAAAAAGCAAAAAATATGCGATTTCTGTGGATCGAACACAGGACCTTCAGATTAAACTGTGACTGAATCTCTTCAGTCTGACGCTCTCCCAACTGAGCTAAAACCGCAACAAGAACCCATGGCGGGAGTCGAACCCGCAATCTTTTGATTAGAAGTCAAACGCGTTAACCATTACGCTACACGGGCTGCTTCGTTGTTTTGGAATTTTGGAAATTTTCCGGATGATTTTGAAACGCGTGACTTTCGCGTGATTTACGTATGATTTTCACGTGAATATCATGTGAAAGTCACTTGATGTGTCGTGCATCTTCCAAAAAAATTGCTTCTTCTTGTTATGACTTTTTTTGCAGCAATTCCCTACTTTGTGGATTAAAAAATTGGTGGATTCAAACTGAGAAGGAAATAAAGCTTCATAGATGGATAGAAGGTAGAAGTCTTCAGGGAACAAGAAAAAAGAATGCATGTGTTCAAAAATGATAAATTTGGCTCTATTCATTTGGTCTGAAATTTTGTTAAAAAACAACAGAAAATCATACCCGGTGGTTGCAAATGAAAATAAAAATACAAGGAAAGGATATAAATGAAATTATATTTATTGAAGGGATGAGAGAACCAATAAGAAAGCAGAATCCCATTCATTTTAGAAACAGCCAGCAATATAGAAACAGATTCAATATGAAAAAAAAAACGGAACAGGGTTCCCATTACTTTTTTTTTACTTCTATCACCTTCTACAAAATTCTTATACCTGCTGTGCTTCCTTTATCGTCATATTAGGATAGCAAAATGAAATAAGTAGCTAAAATCTGGAGAGCACAGCCTCTCAAATTATCAAGTACTGTAGGTAGTGTAATCATTAGATTTTGCTGGAACCTCCTTTTTATGCAAGTCAGAGCTGCCCGACAGATTCGATAGTGAATCTCCACAATCAAATCTCAGCCCATAATACCCTATCAGAATTCCTATTAGTCATATTTAGACTACACTGAGTCATACTCTGATAGACATAGCCGAGGTTTTGGTTAGATTGCGCATATCCTCTAATGTCCTGCTATTTGAGAATGTGACTCATTGAAAGTTAGGAGTCTTACGCTAAAAATCTTAGTCACCTAAGCTGTTCTTGCTGTGATTCTATTAGAAGTTTACGCTGATACAAATCTATGACCAATTCAAGTATTTGTCATTGCAACAAATGAGTCAAGATTTCACGGAAAAACAAAACAGCCAATGACAACGCGGAATTACTACTCAGAGACAGTTTACGAATACGATTCAATACTTCTTTAAATGACAACTACCCATCAGAAGACGTAGTAATATAGCTGATAAATAGCATTCATACAGTGACTGCAATCATAATAATAGAAACTTGATTTTGTGTAAATTGTCTAAATCTCTTGTCAATTAAACCACTTGTAGAACGCGAAAGAAAATTAATGTCATCCCTCATTCCAGATTTCAAACCAGTTGCCACCACCACCTAAAAAAAAAGATCATCCCCCAATCAAAAATCATAAAATCTACACGAGGGGTTAGTGTTGCACATACTGAATGTCATTTATTTACCTGCCGCGCTTTGTCATTTACTTAGTTATATAAATTCTACTGAGTCATTTCTTTTAGAGTTGTTTTCGTTTTTTTTGCATCTTTAACAAAAATTATCAAGTATAAAGTTTGATTCATATTCCTTTCATAATTTCAATATCAATATGATTCGTGTACGAAGAATACGAAAGACAACAATGATACGTTATCCTTATAAGGAAATACGGAGACTGTCGCATGCGTCCACAACGACTGCTAATACTGAAGATACTTCCATGCTTATCCCAACTCCATTAAAGTTCACCAACAGACAACTTAGACTTCAGTACTCCTCAATTGGATCAGACTTTATTCGATTGGCCCTGTATCGAAGATTTAAAGAATTGCTTAGGGATGAAAGTGGTGCTCTTATTAAAGCAGCAGTTCATGATTTATCCGCTTTCTTAAGAAAAGAATTACCCAAGAAGGATTCAATTCTCCATTGTGAGATGAAAAAGTCTTTAACCAATGAAAGTTCTAGACTTGAACTAATGATTCCCCTTGGATCCGGAACAAAAACAAGCGAAAGTATAAGAGAGTGGCTTTATGCTGCATTTGGATTTTTGACTGAGGAATGTTCAGAAGAGGAGGCAAATAAGATTGTTGACAATATTATTGAAATATACATAAATGAAAGGAACTCAAATATCAACACCTTATTCAACAGAAATGTCGTATTGAGCGAAAGGGACGAATTTACAATGCGTGCATTCAATGAATATATCGAGAAAGTCAAGGTACGAGATGATTTGTTATATGAGAGTGATTCCAGATATATTTCTTTCCGTGAGGTTTTTGATCAAAAGATATACCTACCAGATTTACCTAAAATACATGATCGCGAACTACTAGTAAAAGGATTAATGCATAAGGAATTCTATAGAATGATGTTAAATCCAGAACACCAGTTTGCCCAAACCATGACTACCGGAGGTTATGATTTAGACTTTAGAAACTATGGCATAGTGAGAAAGGAATTATCTGTTCTCGATGGATTGGGTGATTTCTATTTAAGTCTTGAAGCTTCTCGAATAACCTATCTCTTGTGCAGAAGTAATGGTAGGCAGGTTACCCAGAATGCATATCGATCATTGAAAATTATATTGGGTACAAACACGTTAATGTCAAAACTAACCAAGGCCTATAATTTGCATATCGGTTTAGGCGACCCCATAATTATGAACCAGTTGAAAACTGAATGGGTACCTTACACAATGACGGGTAAAATGCCTGATTATCAGAGTCTAGATGAAACCCGAATATACGAGGAAGAATTTATGGCTGATTTTTTTGAAATCTATGCTGGTGCCCTACTAAAGGAACAACCAGAGGTTGCAAAAAAGTTTATTCACGAGATTTTCTATGAGATATTGAAGGTAATATCCGAAAGTCTACCACCTGATATTCCTTACGGAATATGGTCTAGCATGATTATAGGAAGAGAAATCCGTGGTAGGGGCTTCCGAGAATCAGATATCGAATGAAAAACCCGATTTGTTTTCTTTAGAGTCATTTTATACTTTTCATTTTAGTTGATCAAATTAGAAAAATAAAAAGAATGAATATCTACAATTGTACTTTCACTTTTACTGACTGATTTCAAATTCACTATAATACATAATTAAAACAAAGTTATCTACGAAATAAATTCAAGCTATTATCCACCTATCTTCTTAACAAAGAGCTAAATAAGCCCACTTTCTTCTTTTTTGGTTGATCCTCTTTAACCAGCTTTAAACTGAGAAACTTACCATCCTCATTGCCAACCTCTTCTTCTTCACCATCACTGCTGCTACTGTCACCACTACTTTCTTCCTCTTCATCACTTGAAGGATTTCCCTCAGCGTTCTTCTTCTCAGTTGCCGTTCCTTGCGTTGCAGCTGCTCCTTCTTTATCTCTAACATCAGGTAAACCACGATTTGCTAAATCAGTCAAAGAATTTAATAACGGAGTCTTCAAAGCCGAAGCTGGAGCAGTTGGTTTCGGAGATGCCGTAGCACGTTTTTCAGTAACAGGTGTGTTTACCGAAGCTTGATTTGCAATAGATGATAATTTATCTTGAACATTGGAAACGGACGGAGTCGTGCTTGTGAAAAGAGGAGATTGTGACCTTCTAATTGTCGATGGGGCAGTTGCAATTAATCTTGGTTTCTTTGTTTTACTTCCTTCTTCACCTTCTGATTCAGATGATGATGCGTCTTCCTCACTTGATTCCCCAGATGATGAATCTTCTAATTCCCTCTTTCTTGAAGTACTGACTGTATCTTTCTCTTGCCCTGAACTACCACTCTTATTTAATGCAAATGCGGCTTTACTCCCCGAATTGGTTGGTGTTGCATTTTTCGCACCAGTTGGTTTGGATGGCCAAAGATCAAAGAATGAAATCTTACTTGCAAAAGAAGTTCCAGACTGCTTAGTTGGCGAATCCTCTTTGTTCCCTGGTGGTACAGTTCTAGTAAAAAAGGACGCAGGAGAAACCTTCCCTGGACCAGTCGCACTTGGAGGTCTACCATTGGAACTCACATCTGGTGATTTTGATTTTCCATTTTCATCAGCGCTAGGAGTTTTTGAAAGCTGTGGTCTATTCCTTGGATCTGTTGGAGAATTTGCAGGTTGTTTAGCTCTTGAATCAGCAGTTCGCAAAGGCGAAACTCTAGGGGTATTAACAAATGTTTCCTTTGGAAGCGATTTTTGATTTTCTTTTATTGGAGAATGGGCTCTAAAAACTGCAGATGGTGACATGGACATTCCCTTTGGTTTGAAGATATCTGGAATCGAAGAATCATTTAAGGCCAAATTGATAAGGGCAGAAGCGGGAGTTGGAGATGCTTTCTCTGACACAGGTGGAACTACCAGTTTTGAAGAATCTGAGATTGGAATATGTGATAAATTCTTTAATGGACTTACATCATTTGACTTATTGATAGGAGATGAAACTTGCTTATGACCATTTACAACATCTTTGTGTGCAGTTGATTTAGCTAATAACTCCCCAAAGGTCGATTGTCTCTGAGCTCCGAAAATCTTTTTGATGCTTTGGCGTGCGCTAGCATTCGTTTCCTTTTCATTATTTTCTTCATCACTGATTTCAATTACTTCACTGTCATTTGCTGAAGCGTTTTCAGATCCTGTAACTTTCATAGTTGACCCAACTCCTTGTACCGAGTCTGAAACCAGGTCCGAAATTGATATAGATTCATCGTCTGTCACAACATAGTCAATTTCAGCATCAACAAATAAATCCGGTCCTGAGGGAGGTGAATCATGTGGTTCTTCGATTGGTTCCCTTTCTTGGACAGTATCCTTGGCAACAGATTCTTCTGCAGGAATTGGTTGTGGCTGTTCTGGCTCCACGTCTGATACCAGGTCCTTTGGCAATGTCAATGTTGCAATCCTCGATTGTGAACCGCCCGATTCTTTGGTGGTTTTATTGGTCTTGTCAATTGAAAGTGTTACCATTTGAATCTGGTTCTTGTTACTGTCAGATTTGTCTTTTGTCTCAGTTTGCAAAGCATCATTTGTAACTTTAGAAATTGGCAGCTTTGATTTGAGAGTTGACTGAGTTTTTGCTACTTCAGATTGTTTATTGCTCGCAGTATTTGACGCATCAGCAGTATCTTTCGAAATTGGCCCCGTTGATTGCGGAAGTGGGGATTGATCCTTAGTGACTTCAGATTTACCATTGATCCCAGCCTCCACAGTATCAATAACAGTCTTGACAATTGGCAGCTTTGATTTCAAAGGAGATGGTGGATCATTATCAACTTTTAATTTATCAGGGATAGCGTTTGAAACTGGCAGTTTACTTTTTTTAGGAGATGCCGCGCGAGATGCCTTAGGAGTCAAAGATTCATGAGGTATAAATTCAATCAGGTAATTATAGTCCCTCTTATCCTTATCTACTAAAATTAATCTTGAATCCACGATTAAATTTTCATAATCACGCTTATCTTCATCTATTCCAGAAGCCAAGCCCTTAGGCATCACTTTCAAAGAGGAACCATCATCAGTTTGTAATGCTCTTAATGTTTGTTCAAAGCTTTTTAGTTTCAATTGTGTTCTTTCAAGTTTTCCTGCCTTCGTATCATCTATAATCTGGTATCCTGTTTCAATGGGAGTACTTTCATCGTCATCAATATGTACCACATCACTTGAACTATGCTTTTTTTCCTTCGAAAGTATCTGCTTCTTAACTTTTGATCCCTCAGACTTAGGCGTTACCTTGGGCTTAACTTCTTTTACTACGGGCGAACTTTTTTTTTTGGGGGAGGCTGGACTTTGACGCTTTTCTGATCTTTTTCTCTCATTTGTCCTTGAGGATGGCGGAGATGCCCGTGAAGAAAGCCGTCTTGCCTGTAAATCGTCAACATCTTTCAATGAGGTGGGTGCAGCCGCTCTTCTTGATCCTCTACCTAAACTTAAATCAACGTCAGCATCCACCATATTTACCGCAAGTCGTCTTAACACTGCTTCCAGTTTAGGATCAAGGAACTCAGGAGTAGCAGGTTTTGGTTTTGGATTTGGTTTATTGATTATCTCTTCAGTTCTTCCACGGGAGTTCGGAATTTTCAGTTTGAACATACGGAGTATTTCAGATTTAGCGAGGAAATCTTTACCTGCTTTCTTTTCGACAGTGATATCACTTTTTGATTTTGGAGGAGCTTGCTTTGATTCCAGTACTTTGGATTCAGCTCTGGTTAATTCAGGGGGGGTTGATACTTCTGATTCAACTTGTGTCATTTGTTCTGACTCAGATGCAACTGCACTTGACTCAGATGCAACAGCACTTTCTTGGCTTTCACTTGAAACAACAAAGGATTCATTCATTTCACTATAATCTAGATCCACTTCCGATATTTCTTCTTCTTCGGACTCAGAACTTTCCTCACTCTCTGGAACTGAATCGACAGAGGAATCTGAATCTAAAATACGTGACTTGGTACGGGTTCCATCTTTAGGAGGTCTTCCCCTTCCTCTGGAAATTATCTCTTTTTCTAATTGAGTTTGTGGAGGGATTGATAACATGCCTGAAGTTATTCTCTTACCATTACCCTCAGTGGTAGCAACAGCAGCAGCCGAGGGAACACCACCCTTCTTTTGTGGAATAGTTCTGTCTTCGGTTGTTTGTGGTGGTAAAAGTGCTACTGGAGATGACACTACATGATCTCCACGTTGTGGGGATGATACAGGACTATTTGGTTTTGAATGTTTAACAGGAAGATGACTATCAGCCTTATCAAAATATTCTTGAGTACGCTTCCGACTACTAATAAAATCAGAACCAGCAGTGAGAATTGGTGCATTATGAGGCACAGGTGTGGTCTCAGTAGCTTGCAAGCTTGTATTAAATGGTGATATACTTTTTCTTTTAAATTGATTTCTCACCGTAATTCTCAAAACGTCACCTGATTCAAAAACATCAGAAAGGGTATATTCTGGATCTAAATCACAAAGATTGGTATCTTGAAATCCTACAATCTGCAACGATTCTTCCTCTGGATATAACTTCTTGTATCTAGTTTCAACTTGTTGCTTCACATCATTAAGTTGGATTGTGGGATCTGCCAAATGTAAAAACCGTTTAGAAACCAATTTATCTAGCCTGTTGGTTGGTTCATGTGCAGAATACAACGGAATAATGACCACCTGTAACTTTAATTTACTCATCTTTACTTACGGGGACGGTACCTAGTATCAATCTTATTTCGCAAAGTGTACACCGGTCAACCTGTTGTTGTTGATGTTGTTATTGTTGTTGTCTCAGTTGGAATTTAAAAAAAGTTTTGTTTTGATGGGCAATCAAAAAAAGGGAGAACGAAAAAAAAAAGGCGGCCACAGGGCACATACAAAAATCCCATAATTTCAGAATAGGCTTTTTCTGAATGATACAGTAGAAAGTGTAGACATAGGAAACATATAAATTTGAAAGACATTTGGCGAACGCGTCTTATAGGATAAATTACAATTGGATTTGTATTGAAATGCTCGTGATGTTTTCAGAAGTAGATATTTCCGAAATAAGCGGACTGAGGAGTCCCGGAAGAGGGGTACTCTACAAACCGATGGAATCGAAAACAACTGAGGTGGTTTGTAGAAATGGAGCTAAACACAAGATACCAGAAATTACACCACTGATGAAAATGTGCTTAGTCATAGTACTAACTGGAAAAGGTGGAAGCAAGTTAGTTTTAGTGCAGATGTACAATGGATGGCCAAACCAAATAGAACTCCATATGAGGTGTTGGTTGCAAAAAAAAAATTAAAGACGCGTCTCTTAGAATAAACTATTGCAATAATAGTAACCCACAAATAAAGAAGTGGCACTCTATCTAATGAACGATTCAATCAATTAATTTATCATTTAATTGACTATGTACTGATAGGGAAATGCATTGGCATTAGAATCTTTCAAGTCTATTTTAAGAAATCTTGTTTGAGCAAGAAACAACAAAATAGTTGACCATAAAGATGGATTCCAGAATCTTATCTTGAACCATTTGTCTCGATGATGCTTTAAAGCAAATCTTGAGTAGGATAGGGTTTATTTGCCAAATGATTCATCCAAGCCCAGAATCATACACCATAAGCGCATGCCCTTTTGCAGCAAATTCTTGTTTTCTTAAAATCTCGGTTGCCAAATCGAAATCATTCAGTTTATCGACAATCTCATTGAGATCAGGTTTGTTCCATTTAGGTGCCCAACTAATTATTTCTCCATCCATGGTACCACAGTAATAAGTCGCACTAAAAGGTCCTGCATTTACCATTGAACAAGTTCTTCCTATATTTTTGCTTCCTTTTCTTGATAATCTTGTTTCCATTTTCCCATCTATTGTACGAAATACAAAGACTTCACTACTTTCAGAAGGGAAAAGTAAATATTGTAGCTCACTTTCTCCCTTGGGATTTAATAAAATAGGAATGGTCTGAGGGTACTTGTTTCTCGTTAAAGGTCCAAAGTTGATTAATTTATTAATTGGAGGGGCAAGTGAAGATATCATATCCCATACCCGAACTTTATCATCATTACCTGCAGTATATAGTATGGTCCCTGATTCATCCCATACTAATCCATTAACTGGCCCCAGATGAGCTTTAACAGAAGACTTTGTTAGATTGTCACTTGATGTATTTTGAATATTAGTTCGAAGCATATCTAATCGTGCTAAACAACTATTACTTCGTCGTATATCCCAGATCTTCACTTCTCCATCATACCCACCCGATGCTAACATATTGGAATTTATAGGATGCCATTTCACTACTAAAGTTTTGCCTTTGTGTCCCTGTAAAGTATGCAGACTAGAGGTGGATCTCAAATCCAATAAGCGAATAAAAGGTTGGTCACTACCAGTTGCAACTAAACCACTATCATCTTTTCCGGAAATATCAATTGAATAAACACGACTGTCTAAGTTAAAAGAATGTACTGGTGATAACTCATTGGTATCCCATATTTTCACCGTATGATCAAACGACAGACTAACAAACATCCCAGTATCATGTGGCCACCATTGAATTGTAGAAATCCCGAAACTGTGATGTGATTTACGAGGAATTGTGGCAATATTGGCAAATGTGCTAATTGGATTATCATAATCGAATGAATCATATAATGATGGATGATCAAACTTTTGGGCATCAATTTCATTTTCTTCTCTTTGAGTCTCTTCTTGCCTCAAGTCCCATAGCTTTATCGAGGAATCGGCACACCCACTTAATAAGAATCTATAATCCGAGGATTCTAGAGATAAAGAATTGACCAGGGCATTTTGATGGCAATTGCTGGGGAAGACTGAATGCTTCGCAGATTGATATAATTGTAAATAATAACTTTCTGTTATAGTTGCGGCGAATTGTAAAGGTGTTATATTTCCCAAAGTGCGATCTAGTAGAAGGGATTGCATATCATTGTCCAGTAGCAAAAAGTTGAATGATTCATGGGGAGAGATCCAGCAAGTTTAAGTTGAAGATACTCGAGATGAATTTTCCTGCATGTTATCTCCAACCTGAAAAATTTCTGGCACCTCCAACACACCCGCGGCACACCTCATTGAAAAAAATTTGCTGGCTATTAGATAAACTCTTTCCACTTCATAAGACTTATACTTTAATAGAAACCGTATATACAATGCTTGACATTAACGCATTCCTCGTTGAAAAGGGAGGTGAACCAGACAAGATCAAAGAATCTCAAAGAAAGAGAGGTGACTCAGTTGAGTTAGTTGATGAAATCATCGCTGAATATAAAGAATGGACAAAGATCAGATTCGAATTAGATGAACACAACAAACAACTTAATGCCATCCAAAAGGAAATCGGTAAAAAGTTTAAAGCTAAAGAAGATGCCAGTGAATTATTAGCCCAAAAGGAAAAATTAACTGTTGAAAAGAAGGAATTAATGGAAAAGGAAATTGCTGCCGATAAACAAGTTAAATTTAAAGTTAATCAAATTGGTAATATCGTTCATGAATCCGTTGTCGACTCTCAAGATGAAGAAAACAATGAACTTGTCAGAACTTGGGCCCCAGAAAACTATGAAGTTAAACAAGTTGCTGCTGCCACCGGTGCCCCAGCTAACTTATCCCACCACGAAATTTTATTAAGATTAGATGGTTATGATCCAGAAAGAGGTGTCAGAATAGTCGGACATCGTGGTTATTTCTTAAGGAACTATGGTGTCTTCTTAAATCAAGCTTTGATCAACTATGGTTTACATTTCTTATGCAAGAATGATTATACTCCATTACAAGCCCCAGTCATGATGAACAAAGAAGTTATGGCCAAGACTGCTCAATTATCCCAATTCGACGAAGAATTATATAAAGTTATGGACGGAGAAGACGAAAAGTATTTGATTGCCACTTCTGAACAACCAATCAGTGCTTACCATGCAGGTGAATGGTTTGAATCTCCTCAAGAACAATTACCAGTCAGATATGCCGGTTACTCCTCTTGTTTCCGTAGAGAAGCTGGTTCTCATGGTAAGGATGCTTGGGGTATTTTTAGAGTCCATGCTTTTGAAAAAGTTGAACAATTTGTTTTAACTGAACCCGAAAAATCATGGGAAGAATTTGACAGAATGATTGGTTTATCTGAACAATTCTACAAGTCTTTAGGTTTACCATACAGAGTTGTTGGTATTGTTTCTGGTGAATTGAATAATGCCGCTGCTAAGAAGTATGATTTAGAAGCTTGGTTCCCATACCAACAAGAATATAAGGAATTAGTCTCTTGTTCTAACTGTACTGATTACCAATCAAGAAACTTAGAAATCAGATGTGGTATTAAACAACAAAACCAAACTGAAAAGAAATACGTTCACTGTTTGAATTCTACCTTAAGTGCTACTCAAAGAGCTTTATGTTGTATTTTAGAAAACTACCAAACCGAAGATGGTTTAGTTATTCCAGAAGTCTTGAGAAAGTACATTCCTGGTGAACCAGAGTTCATTCCTTTCGTGAAGGAATTACCAAAGAACTCCACTTCTAACAAGAAGAAGGGTAAGAACTAATGACGTTTGTAGTATTTCAAAAGTAGATTCCGTAGAGTCATAATAAACGACAAATAAAATGTTTTCACAGTGTAGAAATGATGTCATCGATGGACAGGAAAAAAAAAATCTAGATTTGTTTGTACAATCTGATTTACTCGGAAACACGAGATTAACATCTCTCCTTCCTCTTTATCATTTATTTTCCATTTACCAAGTTAGTTATTCCGTTCAAACATGGTGCATACAGATAAGACAGCATACCCTCCTTCGAATCAACCAGAATTGAGGCAATCTTCAGACTCGGAACAGGAATGGGAGATACCGCGTGAAGAAAAGCAAAATAGTGACGAGGGTCAGTGTGGCCAATGCTGGAATGATTGTTGTGGAAACTGCTTTGGATGTTGCCTGAGTCAGACTATGTGTGTGAGGTCAGATAGAGAAATGATGGGTAATTTGCTAACAGTCCTTTGCTGTGGTGCCGCTGTTGGATATGGCGTTTCATCATAGAGGGGGCTGAGTCTACCGTTTTCCAATTTTGTGACACGGTACAAATTCAACAGTTACGGTTTGATTTGTATTATTATTTACATAGATAAAAACTGTCACTTAGGATGACGTGGCGTAACAGGCTTAGAGATCTCATCTTCGTAATCATTTCCAGAAAGAATTCAGAAAGAGACTTCAGCATTTGCTAAGGTACCGATTGGTTTTGTCTAGGTTATATAGAACGGTCTAAGAGACCTTTAATTTGATTGAAGCACCACGCGTGCATTTGATTCCATTTAGGATATAGAATACTGTATATAAATAAGCCATCTATTCTTTTATGGAACAGTCTACTTCAATGAAGTTTATAACCTATATAATGTAACAATTCACCACTTCTTAGTAGCAAAACTAACACAAAGCATCTAAACAACCTTCAGCACAACAACAACAGAGGATAGCTGCACAGGTACCACAGAATGCACTACAACAACCGCCTCCTTTTTCTTCTTCTTTAATGTAAACAGGTTGTGGTTGTTGTTGATAATAAACTGGCTGTTGTGGAGGGGGGTAGCCTTGTTGTGGATAACCTTGAGGTGGAGGAGGTCCTTGTTGATAATAAGACTATTAATATTTGTTAGTAAAAATTTCGACAAGTACTATAAGGGCTATCAATTAGGGGCTATCAATCCCACACGAGATTTCATCGAAATGACTTGCTCAGGTTAATCTTACATCTGTAATTCATTTTGCTGATGGCACAGTGAATGTAAAATATCATCAACAGAGATGAAAGCGTCAATCTCTATAGCCCATGCTTTTGTTTTGTTCTTATCATTGCCAATTAACACACGACCAATTTGCAACTTAGATACGAGGAAAGGGCACTAGACCAACGAACACGTGTAACCAGCCTTTCGAAACTATTCCGCAGGCAATAATTCAGCAATCTGTTCTTAATGACAACATACCATTTTCTGTTGAGTTATAACAATTGAAAGTACTTAAAGTAAAATTGGAAAACGATCAATTACAGGAAGAAGAAGAGAAGAGAAGAAGAAGAAAAACTTACAATCATAACAAAAAAAGATGAATACTTCGTGACTATTTAATAAACAAGAACTGAAACAAGATTTTTTTTTTCAGCCTCTTTGTGAAGTGAATTTTCTAATAATAGACAACTCTGCACTAACTTCATTTCTTTACGTGATTGGCTTAAGTTTGATTCGTGTCGGAATCACAAATCACACATTCTGCCAAGTAGATCTTGTAGTAAAGGGATTGGAGTCAACGAAACGTAAATGGTGCAGTAACCTCTGGTTTTATTGATGTAAATTATGAAGAATAAAACTTCAGTTAAAAATAACAGAAGAACAAACTTGCTCCCCCCTTTTTTTCCGAATTACACTTTTAATTGTTCATCTTTAATCGATCGTTAATTATAGGGAAGATCTTGAAACAGTTACTACCAAGAATTCTAAACTACAAATGGTCAATAATTACTAATGATGCATAAGTATGCCGTTTGTTGTGAATTGCCGCGTTTTTCCCGAGGCTGAGTACTTTTTGTATAGACTACAATGTAGAGAAGACACTCACGATTGTATCCAAGTCGAACTACCCGGCAATTATTTCTATATCTAGTAAATCACCTAATTAAGTTATTATCGAAATAACAATGGTACATATATATTTATTAACACATGAAAAACTAAACAGACCTTAAGAAGACATTATACAAAATTTATTGAATTATACAAAACACTTTATCTATGTTGTTGTCCTTCGACAAATGACATAGCCTCATCCTTATTAATCTCTGAAACTGTACTCACCTTATTACTAAACATAACTCCATAGAACTTATCAGCAACCTGCAACATTTCTGGTCTGAACGTGGTACAGATAAATTGCGCATTCAGAGCAAGTGATTTAATCAACGATGCAACGGCAGTACGATATTGAGTATCTAAATTAGCATCAATTTCATCAAATAAATAAAATGGTGCAGGGTCACAATTTTGAATAGCAAAAATTAAAGCAATTGCACAAAGCGACTTTTGACCTCCCGATAATTGTTCAATACGTTGTTGCTCATCATGTCTTGAATTGAATGACACCGAAATAGAAACCCCAGTGTAATTCTCTATAGACTCTTGAATTTCTGATTCAGAAGCAGATTCATCCCTATCACCAGCTTGAGATTGGTCTTCATCTTTTCTTTGCATAATTAAATTACCAACACCTTGAGGAACCAACTTCTCAAAGATCTCATGGAAAGCTTTGGATACTTGTTTGAAACTTTTCTTAATAGCATCATCTTTTTGTTGTTGCAAATTCCTGATCAAGCTCTCAATTGCTTCTCTTGAAGTTTCCAATTCCGTTCTTCTGGAAACCAATTCATCTCGCTGTTTAGTGAAAGTATTATACTGTTCCATAGCTTTCTTATTAATATGAGAATACTTAGACAATTCCTCATTAGCTTCATTCAATTGTTGAATTAACTCAGACGTCTTGAAACGATCATACTTTTCAGCTCGGAATGCTTCTTCAGGCAAAGCACCCAATTCGGCCATCTTCTTCCCAACCGCTTCTCTTTGATTGACCTTCAATGCTTTGGCACTAAGAACTTTATTTGTATCCTTTGAGGATTTCTCCAATTTTTTCATAAGTAAGATTTGTTGCTCATTTGACTTTTGCAATTCTGCTTCACTTCTTTGTATTTCATCATTTAATTGATTGAACTTATCTGTGGCGTCTTGGTTACGTGATTGTGCAGTATCTAGTTGGATTTGTAAGTGTTCAACTTCTTGCTCCAATTCATTGGTTTCTAAATCATGCATTGACCTCGAACCTAGTTGCAATTGATCTTGCTGGAGTTTAGCTAATTTAGGTTGATAACTATTGGTCAATTCAGATTCGATTTCAGCAATCGTGGATTCCAATTCAGCAGCCTCAGTGACGACTTTGTCCAATTTACCTTCAATTTCACTTATTTCAGAAGTTAAGTTCTCCAAAGATTGCAATTCTTCTTGAGATAAGACTTGAGTGAACCCGGAGTCTAGCTCCTGTTCATGTTGCTTCAAATTAATTGACAATGAATTCTTACTAGTATTAAGAGTTTCCAAATTGTACTTCAATGAACTTAATTCTTGTTCCAAATGGAACTTTTTATTTGTTATTTGAGATAATTGGATCTTAATTGGTTCTCTTTCACTATTCTTTTTATCCAAATCTCTAACATTTAATTGTAATTCATTATTCAAACTAGTTAATTTTTGATTTATGCCTTCAATTTCATTTCTTGTTTTAATCAAATCTTCTTCTGTCTTTTTCAATTCCTTTCTCTTTTTAGTTTGAATCTTCAAAGCATCAATTCTCGAATTCTTATAGTCACGATAACCACCAGATAAGACCCCTTTGGTATCAACTCTATCACCATCTAAAGTAATTGCATTCAAATTAAACCTCCTGGCTAACTCACTTCCCCTTGATAATTCACTTACTACAATAGCTTTTCCAAATACTTGTTTAATAGCTTTGCTCACATTTTCATCATGACGTAATCTTGAAATTAACGGGATACATTGAAATTCATTTGCATCAGGATATTCAATATCATTGACCAGGATTCTATTCAAGGGCATAAATGTGACTCGTCCACCTTTTGTTCTATGTAATTCTTCCATAATTAGCGCCGCAGTGGCATCTGTATCTACCACAATATGAAACAAAGAATTACCGGCGATTACTTCAGCAGCAGTTTTATATTTATCATTAACATTGAACAATTCCGCAACTGTTCCAAAGACTTTGTTTCCAAGATTGAGCTTTTCAACAATAGTTTTAACGGCGGCGATACCTTGAGCTTGTGCACGATCCATAGTTTGATTAACAAGATCAGTAGCATTGTTTAAATCATTAGTGATGGAATCGAAGACACTCTTTAATCTAATTTCATCCCTCCAAAGGATTTTTCTTTCATCTGTCAAATTAGTAATTTGTGATTTATGCTCAGCAATCTTTGTTTTTAATTCAGCAACGGATTGAATATAAGTCTCATCATTTAATTTTTGATTGAGGGTTTCGATTTGATCAGAAAGGTCTTCAAGAGTATGTTGACGAGCTTTGAGGTCATTGGTGATTTGATGAATATCTTGATCCTTTTCTTGAATTGCTTTCTTCAAATTGGAAATTTCTTTAGAAAGCCATGAATCTCTATTTTTCTTAGTTTTGAATTGCAGGAATCTAGTTTGTTTGGCATAAATTGCTCTTTGTTTAGAAGTTGCCTCGAGAAGCTTTTGTTTCAATTGTGATTCTTGTTCTTGTAATTTGAGTAATCGAGGTCTTGATTTTGAGATTTTAGATTCATGTTGCCTAATTAGGGATTCAAAACGTTCAATTTGACCTTTGATAACATCTTGCTTTTCCAGGGAGACTTCTCCGCTGTTACGTAGTTCATTCAATTTGATTTGCTTATCTGCAATAGCTTGCAACAATTGGTTAAGATCCAAATCAGTTTGTTCTTTCTCCATGGCAGTAACTTTCAAAGAGGTCTTCAAGTCTTTTATATTATCTTCTAATTGAACACATAATTTTTCTCTTGTTTGCAAACGATTGATATCATTCTGGGAATTTTCAACCAAATGTGCATATTGAAATTCAAGATCTTCGATAGCTGCAACTAATTCATCATCTTCTCTTCTAAAAATATTATATTCCAATATTTTCTTTTGTTTTTCAAAAGTTTGAAAATCTTTTAAATCATCACTTTCAATTTGTAAATCAGATAATCTACTAGCAATACTTTCCAAAGTTTCATCAATTCTCAGCTTTTTCAAATCAGATTGATTCATTTCTTTCATTGATTCCTTTAATTTATTTTCAAAAACTGTGGCACCACTGACTTCTTTTAACAAAGCTAATCTTTCATGATCTTTAGAATTAGTTAAACTAGTAATTCTACCCTGGGGTACAATATAATAAGGATTGGATCTCAGGAAACCTGCACTTTCTAACAAATTCATTATATCAGAACGAGTAGCTGATTTTCCGTCAAGTGAATAATCATCTTTCTTTAACCCAATTGTTCTTCTAATTGAAATCTCTGGTTTATTAATTGGGAATCTTCCATCAATATTATCAAAAATAATTTCAACATATGCAGACATAACAGTTCCCGAGCCTTCATGAATTAGCCCTTGACGCTCTTCTCTATTCATATGGGTATAAGCGTCACTTAATACAAATCTAATTGCAGCAAAGAAATTTGATTTCCCAGACCCATTACGACCAACAACAACATTATGATGAGGAGAAAGTAAATCGATAACTGTCCGGTTCTTATAAGTTTTGAAACCTTGGATAATGATTCGTTTGATGTACATGGTTGTAATTGTGCTCTTTCTAGATACACGGATAGGGTTCACTTCTTTTGGATGTTATGAAAGGAATCAAAAACAAATGTTGGTGGAGATTTGTTTACGCGTACGGTTTTTATTTCAATTGAAAATTTGTTTGGAGAGACGCGTTTTTTGTTCCAGAAAAATACAACAGCTGGTAGCGACTGTTGTTTATTGAATTTTCAGAGTTTAAGATCACGTGAAAGCATTTTATTGAATTCTATTTTAGAATGATATTTAAAGGAAGAATATCCCATATTCAATTTATATTATTTATATAAAAAATATTCTTATTGAAATATTCTTGTTGCTCTTGTTGGTAAATTGACATTAGGGTGTTCCGTCGCAATGTCCTTCATTGCGTATATATTTCATACCGATGTTTTGTATACTGGGGATGAAAATATATTTGCAGCGTAATTCAATGTGCAGGACACTGAAAGACTTTTCCATTCTGTCAGATCGGGGATTACCTTTTACATAACTTTTCTTCTAGGAATGTAAGGGAGGAGGGCAAGGAATAACTTCTATAGTTGAGTATTATATTCTTTATATTTAATTACTATATCATTATTAATAGATTAGAAAAGTCAAATGTTGAGTGATAAACAATTTAAACTTCCTATTCCGCCAGGAAGTCCAGGTAAAATAGAATCTCACCTCTTAACTGACGAAGAAGAGGATGACAAACTTCAAAATCCTCCATAAGACTAATATGAAGATGAAGACGAAACCCATGAAATGGACGACGTTGAAGTTCCTCCAAGCAATTCAATCGCTAGAAGTGCTGCTGGTATGAAAATGAAACCAACCAATCTTTTGTAGAAGTAACTCTTTACTAATTTAGATGTAGTTGCAGACGTATGCGAACGACCGTATACATATAATTAGAAGCAGAATATGTTTTTCAACTGTCGATTGCGGTATGTCACCCTTCAACCGACCCAATCTTTTTTATTATTTAATCATGAATGCTTAAACAATTCTAATAAAGATATAATTAATTACTACCGTTCGAAAAATAAAAAATTCAAGGGAATTTAAATAATTGTGGGCAGATCATCTCACCAAAGAAGTTTTTCCATGAAGATCTATCCAAGGCATCAAATTTCTCGAAGCGCCGACAGACGAATGCCAATTGAAAAATTTGCCACAATGCAACCTTATCAGTTAATTCTCCTCAACCTACTACATCACCACATCAATCTTTAGAAACTCATACATTACCGGATTTATTATCTGAATCATCTGATTCTTCCATTGATTCTATTCCAATTGATCAAACTGATTTTACCTCTCCTGATGGTGTTCTGTCCACTGAACCTGTATCGAATCCTATTATAGTTCAATCATCATCTGAATATTTTCCTTCCTTCAATGAGTCTGATACCACTGACGACACTTTTACTTCTGTATATGATCCACTTGATTTAGCTACTGATGCTCATGGATTGGCTGATTGAAAAATTAACTTGTGAGGGGAGAATAAACTATGTTGTTAACCAAGTTCTGGTGTATGAATAAAACCGCAAAAATAATGGAAATGCTTAGGTAATGAGACAGAATCATAAACGATTTCAAGTTCAGAATACACAAGTGAATTTTTCAAATACTGAAGGTGAATTGATTAGTGGTAGTGGGTATGTTGTAAAGAGCTGTTTAATGCACAGCTTGCTAGCACTTATAAGCAAACAATTGCGAGTGTTGATAAGGAAGGTTGGCAAGAAGCAATGAGTGAAGAAATGAGTGTACATACAGAGAATCATACATGGGATTTAGTTGATCTTCCATCTGGTAAAAGAGCTATTGGCTGTCGTTGGGTGTATACTAGAAAAGATAGTGGAAAATTAAAGGCAACACTTTTAGCTCAGGGTTTTAGCCAGATTGAAGGAGTTGATTATCTGGAGACTTTTGCACCTGTTATTCGTTCAGAATCTATTAAATTATTGTTAGCTCTTGCTGCCAGAACAAAGAGGGTGGTTCATCAAATGGATGTGACCACTGCATTTCTTAATGGATACTTGAACGAAGAAATCTATATGAGACAAGCTCCAGGTTTTGAACTTGATAATAAAGTGTATAAATTAGTCAAAAGTTTATATGGACTTAAACAAGCTCCAGCTGCTTGGAATAGAGTTATTAATCAGGTTTTAGAAAATGATGGCTTTAAAAGAATTAGAGCTGATTTAGGACAATATATTGAAGGAAGCATTTATGTTGGACTCTATGTTGATGACTTACTTATAGCTGGTGAAACAGAACAAGAAATTAATGTCATTAAAAATTTACTTGGTAAAAATTTTAAAATGAAGGATTTGAAAGTTCCAAAGAAGTTCGTAAGTATGAATCTAAATAAACTGAAAAATGGAATTAGTGTTTCTATGTAATGTAGTGGCTACACCCACACAGTCTTCATTGGAATTAGAACGTCCAAGATATTGTGATGCATCTGAATACAGATCATTAGTTGGAAAGTTGTTATTTGCAGCAAATGTTTGTCGTTTTAATATTTCTTATATAGTGGGCTTGTTATCACGTCATTTTCATCTTCCAGAAGAACGTCACTTACAGGCTGCTAAGCATGTTCTTAGATATCTAAAAGGTACTAGGAACTATGGCTTGAATTTTAATCAAAAACCTACAAGTATATAGTGATGCTGATTATGCTTCAACGTCTAAAGACAGAAAATCTATTAGTGGCTATATAATAAAGTTAGCTGGTGCACCTATGAGTTGGCGATCCAAGTAACAAACAACCGTGGCACTTTCGTCCACTGAGGCTGAATATATGGCTATGGCTGAAGCTGTGAAAGAAGGGCTTTGGTTAATACAAGTTTTTCAAGATACAAATGTAGATATTGAACTACCAGTTGTGATTTATGGAGATAATACATCAGCTTTTACATTAAGTGATCATCCAGTTTTTCATCCCAGAACAAAACATATCGATGTTAGATATCACATCTTAAGGGATCATATATTAAGGGGAGACATTGTATTCAAACATGTACCTACACAGTTTATGTTGGCGGACATGTTTACTAAAGGATTAGAACAGGTGAAGTTAAAAAGACTTATTGAATTGAGTGGTTTATATAAAGAAGACTTGCATTAACGGGAGATGTTGAGATGTGTGATAATGCAAGACTTCATTAATGAATTAATAATTATTAACCTACAATTATATATAATATCAAATACCCTTCAAGGAAGACAAATATCTAATATACCCTACAAGGATGCATTTCTAAGACGAATACCCTACAAGGAAGCAAAATCTTAATATACCCTACAAGGAAGAAGCACTATGGCATACATATAAGTATGGGGATACGAGCATTGTTCTTATTGTTGGGAAAATGTGAGTGGACCTTATTGTTCTAAATATGAAATTTGGCGTAAAGCCTCTTTAGAAAACCTTGGTGCAAATTTGACCTGTATATAGTGAACTAAGACAAATTTTATTAAGAAGAAAATGACATAAAAATACATATGCAGGACAAATTTGCACCAAAGTTTTCCAATGAGGTTTTTAAGCGAAATTTGCCACTGAGAATTCACACATCTAAAAAATCATTTTTATTCACACATTTAAAAGATTTGGCCGCTTCTCAATATTAAGGACTGCTCTTTCACGCCGCCCGAGATTTTTTTAAATGTGTGAATTCTCCTGAAAAGGAATTAAATCTTTAATAGCTTTTCTAAATTAACTAACTCTATAATATATTAATCTTATTCANGAAAAGGAATTAATCTTTAATAGCTTTTCTAAATTAACTAACTCTATAATATATTAATCTTATTCATTTATTATCTTAGCTATGTCTAACTCCGAAGAAAGAATGGCTGACTCCCTCCAAGACTTCAAGCAACTTAGAGAAACATGTAGGGACCTATTGGAATTTGTTGTTTGTTCAAGTTAAGGACCCTTACCAATTGTGTATGGGCATCAACCACCACTCAAGCAATGTGATTGCACCACCGGAATCTTAAACATATAAGGTTCTTACCTTTCAAAAAGAGTCATCATTCCCAGGGAAACAAATTGTCTATTTTAAACTTTTTGACGAAAAAAGAGAAAAAAGATAGCCGTGATTTTGCGTTTTCTTCGATATCTTCCTTTTTATTCTAAAATTGCTGCTTAAAAAGCCAGCCATATTCAATCTTGAGAACACATAAATCGAACATTTATTCTCGAAATTGGATATCAAGAGGATAGACGAAAGCTTATTTTAGCTGAGTGTGAAATGATCCTAAACTTGAGAAACATGATTGCATATTAATGTTTTCAACAGGGATGCGTTAGACTTTTTCGTTTGCTATTAATAGCGTGATATGCAAAAGAAACTCATTAATAATACTCCTTCAGACTAATATATAAGGCATTGAATATTCTCTGAGATTTGAAATTACAATTGTAAAGGTCCTTAGAGATTAAGTTCCTACAAAATGAAAGTAGCAACATTGACTACCCTTGCAAGCATATTTTCATTATGCTCAGCAGCGTTTATTCCAATTACAGAGCCAGTCCCAAAGGTACCAGATGATTGCACCACCAAACATGTGACCCAATGTAGCACCAAAGTCACAAACTTGTTCTTCTTTCAGATAACAAACACGGACTGTTCTGAAGTCCCACAAACTTCATGTCCAGCTCCCGCTCCAACTACACCAGATGCAACTCCAACCGAATGTTCGACCGTTTTTGAATCGTATTGCGACACTATTACATCTGTCACCTGGTTAAGTAAAAACACTAAGGTTAATGGGGATTGTTCCACAACAAGGTATACTTCGTGTTCTAGGAGAGACCAGAGATGTCTTTCTTCCACAAAGGTAGACTGTTCTACCACTTCTTGTGTTACCAGTTCCAGAATTGAATGTCCTACTACTGTACCAGAACCAGTTGAACCAGAACCAACCACTGAACCAGAACCAGTTGAACCAGAACCAACCACTGAACCAGAACCAGTTGAACCAGTTGAACCTGAACTAGTTGAACCAGTTGAACCAGAACCAATTGAACCAATTGAACCAGAACCAATTGAACCAATTGAACCAGTTGAACCTGAACTAGTTGAACCAATTGAACCTGAACCAGTTGAACCAGTTGAACCTGAACCAGTTGAACCAGTTGAACCTGAACTAGTTGAACCAGTTGAACCAGAACCAATTGAACCAGTTGAACCTGAACCAATTGAACCAGTTGAACCTGAACCAATTGAACCTGAACTAGTTGAACCAGTTGAACCAATTGAACCAATTGAACCTGAACCAATTGAACCTGAACCAGTTGAACCAGTTGAACCAGTTGAACTTGAACTAGTTGAACCAGTTGAACCTGAACCAGTTGAACCAGTTGAACTTGAACTAGTTGAACCAGTTGAACCAGAACTAGTTGAACCAGTTGAACCAGAACCAGTTGAACCTGAACTAGTTGAACCAGTTGAACCAGAACCAGTTGAACCTGAACCAGTTGAACCAGTTGAACCTGAACTAGTTGAACCAATTGAACCTGAACCAGTTGAACCAGTTGAACCAGAACCAATTGAACCAGTTGAACCTGAACTAGTTGAACCAGTTGAACCAACCACTGAAGCAGAACCAGTTATTCCAACCGAACCAACCACTGAACCAGAACCAGTTGTGCCAACTGAACCAACCACTGAACCAGAACCGGTTGAACCTGAAGCAATTGAACCAGAACCAGTTGTTCCACCTGAAGAGCCTACCGAAGATGGACCTGAAGAACCTGCTGAACCACTTGTTCCACCTGAAGAACCTACTGAAGATGGACCTGAAGAACCTACCGAACCAGTCGTATCACCTCAACCAACCACTGAAGACGGTCCTGAAGATACCAGAACATCATTGATAGAAGAAGAAGAAGGAGAAATTCCAGGCCCTTCTTCAGCCGTGATCACTGCAACTCCACTGGCGATCTATGATGGCGGTGCTGTTTCTATTCACATTAGAAAAGAATTCACCGGGTTCGTTGTTGCTGCTTTCTTAGCTTTGTTATAAGCTGATTTTGTGAATATTTATTACTATGCAAGATCCAAGGGTTACTACATTAAAACAAAAAATTGTTAATTATTCTTTCGGTATATCTACATTTTTGAATGTACTTTTCCATATGACTTTAAATGGATTGTAGTTTATGTTATTATTTCGTTTCGTTTACTTTAATATATTATTGTATTTTTTTATGTTTATTGTTCTCTTTAATAATTGTTAACATCTGTAAAAGTTATTTTGATCGTCCTTTTTGACTTGTCAAGGTCAAGATCGGTTTGTTTCACACTCTACAGTAGATGTAACTATTCATACTTATTTTTTTGGCAACCAGTAAGATAGAAATCCCATAAGATTATCAATTATGAAACTATCAGTGAGCGATACTTGTCCCACTCGTAACAATAGTCTACACATAGAAATGCACACAAAGATTTAACGTTTTATAATCGAACGCTTTTTGAATTGAATTATATATATATACAATAAAAACAATCATACCGTTGAGGATGCCACTTTCTATACTCATGGAAACAGCTATTTCTAATTAACCATAAAAATAAATAACAAAATAAATTTATACTCTATGAATTATTTTGAGAGATCAGATTATTTCACCTCCCGGTAAAACCATGAATTTATCAATTATTTGGAGGTTTATTTCAAAACAGCCAATAAACACACCAAAAATTATTGGCGGTGTTAGCTTACCTAGGTTAAAGCCTAGTCTCTTGGCTTCACGTGCTGATGCACATTTAACAATGTCATGTATACCAAACTGGTGAAATTCAAACTCATAATCGTGAAAGCCAGTAAATGCTTGAAATGGCGTTAAACCTTTGAGACTTACCTTTCAAATAAATCATCTTTAAAGAATGTGTTCCAATTTTGAAGGAATTCAAGGTTCGATCAACAAAAACCTTATTACGTGAGATGGTTGAGTATACCGTTTATGTCAAGAATCACACTCCATGTGATCGAGATCCAGAAGACATGGATGGACCCCTTACGAATTATTTGAGAACAATAGATACACTCCAGAGTATAGACAATTTGGTCTAGATGTTGTTGTAGCTTTACTGGACCCGCAAGAGGCTAATACATTGAAGGTGGCTCTCACAAGTTATATCCTTCTTCTGTTGCCTGTACTTTTATGGGGTATGGAGATGAGTAAAATGTTTTCAAAATACTCTTTATGGAAGAGGGTCATCCTATTAGACTTTTTGTGAATGTCGAGTTCCTTGGAATGATGGATAATATGGACAGATATTTTCAGATTCTTAATTGGCGGTTTCGGTGGGTCAAATGTTAGAGACTACGATATGCCATTGCTTGGTAGTCACCCAGATTTTAAGGATGAATTTCACAAAATTTGGTTCTGAGATGGTGGATACAACTCTTGTGATAGGAAACATAACGACCTTAGTACTCAAGGTGGATAGATGTAAGGACTAGGATGGCAGTTGATCCTTCACATCAACAAGATTCAACCATGCTTTCTCGCAAAATCTTTAAAAATGTTTATGCATAAAAATATGCATACAATTACCAAAAAATATTTATTCGAAAATATTCGCTTAAGGCAGTGGCTTAAATATAATTAAAAAAATAATTCTAGAGATATACGCTCTTTGAAATGGCTGCTTGAACTTGAATAAGTCTTGCGATTCTTTTTTTCTATGATTGGTATTGACTATTTCTTAGAGTTAACAAGGGGGTTTTGCATGTCCCTAAGGATGAATGGATCGGAATATGTATTTGGCTTAATTAGCAAGTAATGCTTAAATGTTGGGTGAGTGGAATAGGTCATTTATTTTACATATTATGTACATGTACTTTCATTTGTAGGATAATTAATATAAACTAATTTTAATTAGGACAGTTTAATAACAATCTTTGATTTCCATCATCAATGTTTTAAGATATTTATTAGATACACAAATGATAACACCTTAAATACTAATTCTTTTTGATACCTTGTTCTAATATACATATTTATAAATAAATTCATATTTAATTACATAATGCATTTCCTATGGATTTAAGCTTTTATTGATTTCTGTTCACTATCATTTGGTTTCTAAACAAAACCTTTATTCTCAAGTTAAAATCGACAACAAACAACAACCAGATGGATGGTCCTCTCCCTCTCTATCAGACCATTAGTAATTTCATAACATTGTTCTATATTCAATTCATTCATTTAATAGTTTTTTGACATTTCACTTTTTAGCCTTATTATCATCGAGTATATTTTTGTTTCTATAACAACTTATATTAAAATATTCAACTCGATTATTACCATCAATGCCGACGTTCGTTTCTCCAGAAATATATATGACTGCTCCTTATCAAGTGTATTTCATCTAACAATATTGGTGGTCTCCTCATTTATTGGATCACATATTCATTGTTACTAGATGTACACTGGATTCTGGAAAGTCAATGTATTCTCTTATAGGAATGGCTTGTGAAGGTTTAACAGACCAATTGAAATCTCCTTCCTTGAATTTTATATTCCATTTAGCTTCCATCTCTTCCTTAATAATAACCAGGAAAATATGTCTGTCTGGCTGTTTTGAGGGTAAATATTGTTACTTAGAGAAAATTTTATTCTTTAGCTCGTTGGGACACGAGCCTTTAGCTGCTTCCTCCATGTGAGCTGGTTGACTGTTGCTCCTTGGTATCTGCGGTGTAGTGGAACTTGGAACATGGCATTTAAGAATAGATTTATGTTATATAATATTCCACATAGTTTGGGTAAAGAAAGAAATTGCAAAAAATCAAATGAAAATTAAAAAAAAAGCCGTGCGGTTTAAACTCCACTTTTTAATTTTTGAGGGAAAAACTCAAATTTTATGTTCATCATCATCAGAGAGAGATCTCCAGATTTTCTTTTTATTCGTTTTTTAATCTATAAGAATTATTTATTCCAAATTCAGATTCATCTATTAACTAATTAGATAGTAAGAATAACAAGATAAGCACTGATCATGTCATCTACTCGTAATAGGTCTAAGAAAAGTCAAAAAGAATCAACTCCCACTCCATCTGCCAGATCTATGGCATCCATATTTCGTGGTGACAATGAAGAAGAAATAATTGAAAAAATTAAACAAATTGAAAAACCGTCAACTCCAGAAGAACAACCGGTTAAGCAAGCTATCAATGGTGATGATTCTGATGATATTGCCAATTCTCCATTCCCATTCAATTATATTTATCAAGCCCAAGACTTCTTGAATGATAATTTGAATTTTTTAAAAGCAGTTCAAATCTTTGTTGTTGGATTTTTCATTCAATTACTTTATCTTCAAAGAGATAAATTTATAAAATTAGATAAGAATTATTTATCGGTTGGATTCAATTGGATTGGTTTATCAGTTGCTTTGATTCTTAGTCATATTAGAGCTAAAGGAGAACTTCAATTACCTGATTTTAATCATGTTTATAGTATTTTATTACCATTATTATTAAACATTTTACATTATAGTCCTGATTGGTTTATGATTAATATTTCCCTTAATTATTTTATTATTGATAGATTAAATCCTTTATTTAATTTGGTTTCTGGTGTTATGTTTTATGAAATGTATAATGATCCAACAAGGAAATTTACTACCATGCAATTTGGTCAAGTTGCAGTCTTACACTTTTTCTTAAGTACAATTTTAAATTATATTAATGATGGTTGTATTGAAGAAGAAGAAATGCCTACTATTAAACAAGATGAATTGGTTACAGATCTGGATTATAATAAATCATTGAAGAAATCAGAAATTCAATTAATTTGTCTTTTACTTACAAATTTATTATTTAATCAAGAATTAATGGACGATATTTTACCTTTAGCTATTTTCCAAAAATTATATATAAGTTTCATGGCACCTGCCTTTGTATTATATCCTATTTATACTTATATTCCAGGATTAATCAATTTGGCATTATTTGGAGGGATGTTTTATGGATTAACCGTTTATCAATTAAATACTACCCTTGAAGAAAATGCGGTTACTTGGTTATATGAATATATTATGAATGATCCTCAAAAACTCCAATTGGTACAAATCTGGGCCATCGTTTCAGGAATCACAATCCCTACAGTATTCTACTTTGCTGATAAAATGTCTTTGAATATTCGTAGAAAAGTTTGGCATTTATTCATAATTGTTATGTTAACATATACTCCAATTATTCTTTTTGAAGAAATCGAATTCACAATGATTACATTACTTGGAACATTAATTGTTTTCCTCATTATTGAATTACTTAGATTTACTCAAATGACATTTATTGGGAAATATTTATTTAATAAACTTTTGAAATTCCAAGATTTTAAAGATTTGAAAGGACCATTAAACGTATCATATATTTATTTACTTGCTGGAGTCACCTTCCCAATAGTTTATGATTATATGTTACATCATGAACAGGTCAGTATAGTCAGATATATGGGAATCATATCTCTTGGAGTTGGAGATACTTGTGCATCTATCATTGGTAGAAAATGGGGTACATTCAAATGGAAAGGTTCAGATACTTCATTACAAGGTTCTGCAGCATTTGTTGTATCAACCTTAATTGCAATCTATGTTGTTGATTATGTGTTTACTGGAAGAGAAGAATACATTCCAATTCAAAATTGGGAAAATGTTCTTGTTTCAGTATTAACTAATGGTATATTAGAAGGAGTTGCAAGTATCAATGATAACTTGTTGATTCCAATTCTTTTACCTGCTAGTTTTGGAATCTTGAACCAATGTTATCCATAAGAGACATTTGCTTAAATAGATGTATTTTTATATAGGAGAGAGACTCTTGTTGTTAAAATGAACATTTTCTTTACCATCACTGTCCCGTTCTATTCTATTCTGTCCTGTGAAGGACCCCTAAACGATCGTCAAAAAATACTCCGTAGTAAAATGGCACGATAATTTTTTAATATTTTTTTTTTGCAACCTTAGACCGTTGTTGCTAATTGTTACATCACCACCACCAGGGACTTGAAAAAATTGAAAAAAAAAAATCGAATCACAGCCCACTTAACTGTAATCTCTTATCAACCATCCAACAAATCACCTTTTCACTCACCCACAATCACCTTATACCCCCAACTACCCGACCATCCAGGATGACCATAGAACGAGCACCAAAGACTCTCAAACGTTCTGAAATCATTGACTTGATTTCCCAAGGCAAAGCCATCGTCATATATAAGAACAATGTCCTCAATCTCACAAACTGGATTCCAAAACATCCAGGTGGTGACAAAGCAGTATATCATCTAGTTGGACGTGATGCCAGTGATGAGATGAATGCATATCATAGTGATGAAACTATTGCAATTTTCACCCGGTGGAAAATTGGACAAATTGATTATTATTGGGAGAATTTATTACCTCCTATTCAAGGGGCCATATATAATGAATCAAAAGGTGCGGGAGCATCCGTGGTAGATACTGTGAGACCCGTGGTTCCTCAGAATGAACTTGTCACTGAAGAGAATAAACATGTGTTGTTTCCGGTTGTTAATGAGAATAATAAGAAAGCAGTGATTGTTGATCCGAAGCTCATAAGTCAAAATTATGATAATAGTTTAACCCATCAAGATATTGTATCTATCCCACCTTTGGACTATAAAACCCAACAACACCTTCGTGATAAATATGATGAACTACATGAGATAATTATAAAGAATGGTTTTTATAAATGTGACTATTGGTCATATGTTAGAGAAGTCACCAAGATTGCATCACTTTTTATCTATTCCTTATGTTTCCTAAAACAAAACTACTTATTCCTTTCAGCCATCTTTATGGGAGCAGCATGGCATCAAGCAACATTCATAGCCCATGATGCTGGACATGTTTCGATCACCCACAATTATCAATTTGACAATTTGTTTGGAATGTTAATTGCCGATTGGTTTGGTGGATTGAGTCTTGGATGGTGGAAACGGAATCATAATGTCCATCATCTAGTCACGAACGATCCGGTTCATGATCCTGATATTCAACATTTACCTTTCTTCGCTGTGAGTTCACGATTCTTCCTGTCGGTTTATTCAACATATTATGAGAAATATTTACCATTTGATAAAGCATGTAAAAAACTCATTCCATTTCAACATTATTTATACTATCCCATGTTATGCTTTGGTAGATTTAATTTATATCGACTTTCTTGGGCCCATTTGATCAATGGTGATGGTCCACGTCATGGAAAAGCCGCTTGGTTTACATACTTTGAATTATTAGGATTATCATTCTTCTTCTATTGGTTCTTTTATCTCCTTGTCTTCAAATCCATTGACGGACCTTGGAATAGGTTTTATTATGTTATGATTAGTCATATGGCAACTATGTTGGTACATGTTCAAATCACCTTATCCCATTTCGCAATGTCGACATCTGATTTAGGTGTGAGTGAATCATTCCCATCAAGACAGCTTAGAACTACTATGGATGTAGATTGTCCCGAATGGTTTGATTTCTTTCATGGAGGATTACAATTCCAAGCTATTCATCATTTATTCCCTCGTTTACCCAGACATAATTTTAGAAGAGTCCAACCGTTGGTGATTAGGTTTTGTAAGGATGTGGGGTTGAGTTATTCGATTTATGGATTTGGAAAGGGGAATGATAAGGTTATTGGAAAACTTGCCGAGATTGCTAAACAATGTACAATACTATTGGATGCCACAAAGAATTATGATGGGGATTTATATTAGAATATAGCATAGATAGTTTTTTTATTCTTATTTTTTCATTATATTATGGTCAATTAATCCTTGTTCATCTAAGTATTTTATAAAGTCAATAATTTCATTATTTTCATTCAGTAATTGATCTTGAGCAACTAGATGTTTAAATAAGGAAGAACTAGAAACTGCCGTGTTTTTAGTTCTATTAGCGTATAATTTCGGAATAAGGACAGGTATTCCATTGATATTCCTCTTATAATGAGTCAGATCATGTTCATGAGAAGTAGCAATTGGATTAACTTCATTTACAATCTCATGAACATTCTTACATCGATTTCCAAATTTACATTTCCCATATCGTTGGAAAAATCGACATATATTCTTTGTTTTCTTGTCTCCTGTTCCTTCCTGCCCTTGCGGAGGAACTGGTCTTTTTCTAGAATTACCTTCAGGCTCAGTCTTCTGCCTGTCTGCTTGTTCTTTTTGATTTTGGGCTTGTTCTTCTTGTTGTTCTTGTTTTCGAGTAATATTCTTCTTAGACGGCCAGTTTTTCTTACGTTCTTCAATCCATTTAGCTATATCTTCTTCAGTTTGTAATGTAATTCTTGTTCCTGGTATGCATATTGGTTCATTTGATTTCGCTGATATGCCCACGCTCTCTTCTTCATTTATTTCTTGTTCCTCTTCTTGTTGAGGTTGTTTCGATGAGGTATCATCTTGAGAAGGATTTGTTTCTTGTGGTTGCGTGGAAGTGGGTGGAGTGACTTGATTAGGTAAATGAAGTGGTAAATCAAACATAAACGAGTCGGGTGAAGTCATTGTATTGGAATTGCTGTAGTTATAGGTCTATAAGAAGAATGCTGATTAATTTGAGAGATGAACAAATTGAGCCCTGCGATGATCTTCGTAGTTAATTTTATTCGCACTAAAAATATTATTTAATTATACATGTACAAATTTATAAAATACAACGTTACACTAAAGAAAGTCTACACTTCGAATTATTATTGGTATAATCATCTCTAATTGAAAGTGAAGTAGATTCAATATCAAATTTATCATCAATAAAATTATTATTACTATTGCTATTATTGAAAATTGGTGGTGGAATTAATTCATTTGATAAAATACGACATCTAGAATTTGTTAAAGTATTTGGATTATTTGATTTAAATACCAATGATTGATTAACTTCTTCAAAATTACCAAATTCTGGTGGTTGACATTTTTGAATAGTTGATGATAATCGAGTAGGTTTAATTAACTTTGAAAATGAATCTACATAACAATCATCTACTACAATTTCTGCTTCATAATCACTTTCAATATCTTCATAATTATCAGAAACAAGTCGTGTACGAAATGATAACGAAGAAGGTGCTGGAATGATATTAGTTTTATAAAGCATCTCTTCATCGTCATCTTCTGAATCTGAAATTATCGCATTTTCATCCGAATCAATATATTCGCTTATAATAAGTGGTGGTAAATGTCGATTCTTTTTCCTATAATAAGGTTCAATTGAATTTCTTCTTGATTTGTTTGCATCATAATCAAATACAGGAGCATTATTAACTGACATTCCTGTTTCTGGTAAATCAAGAGGAATTATAGCAAGAATATTCTCATTTTGGATTTGATTGAGACTGGTTGAATGATTATATGAAGTATAATACGGTTCTCTTACCATTTAACTGATTTAGAAAGAAGTAATAATACTTGAGAGTTCAAAAGGTGTTCCAACTGGAAGATATTGTCATCTATTTATTTGTATGTAAATTGACTGCAAAAAAAAGAGATTCTCTTATCTCTCTTCTCTTGTCTGAGATAAAAGATAAGAATTAATCTGAAATTCTGAATTACGTCATTGCATTTTTTATTTATATGTGACGAGACCCCCCATTAACGATCGACTTCTTATATAAGTTCACATCACTAGCGTTCTTTCCAATAATTCTAGTAGAATATGATTGCGAGTCATTTTTATGAGACAAGTTTGACTATGAAGCCAGTTCGGGAAATCTTTCCGAAAAAAAGACAGAAATAATACAGCTCCAGCCAGCTCCTTCAATATTCAAAAATAAGACTTTCCATGATCTCTTGCACATTTGGCAAACTTGGAAAACCAACAGAAACTATTCTTCACTTACTTTTGGTGTCTTTATCACTTTTTCTTTCAACGTCCTTATATTAGCACCACCGCTTTCACGTGACCGCAATAGCTTTTTTTCGGAGTCCCACTAACCGGCTACCAAAAAAAATCCAAAAGAAAAAAAAATTGATTTAGAAGATTTCGGATGTTGGACTGTTTCTCCATCTAGTTTTACCAACTAACCTTTATTCATTACTTTATATATTTATCTATATATATATATACATAATCACATCTCATACACAACATGTCAGCATTTAAGAAATTCACAGACTTTGTCTTTTCCAAACAATCATTAAGATATATGTGTACTACCCATTTCTGGGGTCCAGTATCAAATTTTGGTATTCCAATTGCGGCAATCTTAGATTTAAAGAAAAATCCTGATTTAATTAGTGGTCCAATGACTGGTTCTTTAATTCTTTATTCATTAGTGTTTATGAGATATTCTTTGGCTGTTACTCCTCAAAATTATTTATTATTTGGTTGTCATTTTGTTAATGAATGCGCTCAATTAGGACAAGGGTTTAGATGGGTAAATTTCCATTATTTTAGTGGTGGTAGTAAGCAAGAAGCTATTGAAGCTGCTCCTGTTGAAAAATAGATAAAAATAAATCATTAGAGAGAAATGCATTTGATATAAGTTATATTTATATATATTAGAAAGGAGGAGAGGGCTCGCACTTATGTGGTTTAAGCTACATGTATATTTATTCTTGTTTATCTTTTTCCAGATTAATAGAGAAATATTTAGTCAAATTCATGTCACTTATAACAAGTATAGTCGAGGGATGTACGTATATACTGATTATATTGACTGATCTTAGTGTATAAAATTGTGGTGTAGTGATTTGGCGGGATTTACTTACCTCTTTCCAGCTTTAGATTATCGGCTCAACAAAACCGGAAGGTTGCGCTAAAATCCACTTTTAGGAGTTTAAAACCGAATGTATTGGTAGCGCATGCAATAATGATGGATATATCAGTATCTCTCTTAACACAACCCATTCTTTCATTCCCAATGCATACAAGTCAAGGCAGGGTGATGCTGTATATGTATGCTCCTCATATTCTCTAACAACCGGAACATTCCTAGAGCCGAAGTACTCTTAGAGTCTCTATTTTTCTTTTCATTAAAGCACCAGTCGTAGAAGTCGATAAACACATTCAGGAGTTCGACTGTCTCTCTTGAAATGGTAGATTGTTGACTCCCAGGAAACACCCCCCCTATACCAGAATCTGCAATCCGTTAAAAATATGAATCGTGATTCTATTAATTCATTTCTAATCGCCGGTTCGTTCATAACGAAAAACGGGAAGTGCAATGCAACCAATTCTTGCAACAATGTAGAATGAACCAATTAAACTGATGGTATCCGGAAAGATAATGATGACATCAAGTCACAATAAAGGAAATACAGAGCTAAAGCAGAATACTCTGATTCAAATAACCAGAATTTGAATCATCTTTTTGAAACTCATTTCACTACGCAGTACTTCATGATACAAGTATTGTCTTCAGATTTTCTCGTTCAGCCTAAACTCAACTTCTTGGTAACCGATGCAAAGACAAGTAGCCTTAAGAAAACATACTCATTTTAAAATTTCTAATTCATATTCTTCTATTGTAAGAATCCTTTTACCGTTTTAGGTAAAATACTTTCTGTGGCTGGGATATTTTTCGCTTGGTAAATCAACATCCATAGATAAACTTTCAATCCTAAACACCAAGAAAAGTTTTAAAAGTTATCCTTTAAAGTCAAATTGATCCCTGAAGGAAAGAATCAAGAAAAGTTGCTGAATCTTCTTCGACCTCGACTGCGTCTTCTATTTCTTCGTCTGATGTTCTTCCCTTTTATAAACACAAAACAAAAAAATTAAAAGAAGGATTTTAAATTACTTATAATTACATTTCCGTTTCACTCTTTTTATTGTTAGCTTAGAAACACACCGTGTAAAAACCTCGGAATCAATAAATCTGGTTTCATTGTTTCGTTTCTTCGCTAGAACCTTTTATCCATTTATAATAATTTAAATAACACAAAAAGAAAACTGAACCTGAAAAAACGTTGGGAATTTTAACACAACAAAAAAAATTCATTTCATTAAATTTACCACTTAACAACAACAACCACCTGATCAATATCCATTCTGGTTTAACCCCCAACTAATATATACATAAGCACAACACAGACAAAGAAACAACATGTCATTTCTAAGTGGAGTTAAGTTTTATCTCAAGTCAGTCATCTTTGGATCATTAATTGCCGGATGTGCAATCTACGGTGTCGTTGCATCAATAATATTAAGACTTTGTAATAAATTAGAATATGCCCAATACAGTGTTGCTCGAGCATTTTATAATGTATTTGGATTAACTATGGGTCTTAAAATAAACATCAAGAATGAACATTATTTAAAAGCACTTCCTGCAATTTGTATTTGTAACCATCAATCTGCTTTAGATATCTTCGTGATGGGTAAAGTTTTCCAACCAGGTTATACTGTTACCAGTAAGAAATCATTGAAATATGTACCATTCTTAGGTTGGTTTATGGCCCTTTCTGGTACTTTCTTCTTGGATAGATCAAGAGGTGAAAAAGCTAGAAAAGTTTTAGAAACTGCCTTGGTATCATTAAAGAAAGAAAAGAGGGCTTTATTTATATTCCCAGAAGGTACTAGATCTGGAGCTGAAGAATTAACTATGTTACCTTTTAAGAAAGGTGCATTCCATATTGCTAAACAAGCAGGAATTCCAATTATTCCAGTTGTAGTATCAAATACTTCAACTATTTTCAATTCAAGACGTAAAATTTTTAAAGGTGGTGAAATTAATGTAGAAATATTACCACCTGTTTCAACAGCTGAATTGGAAACAAATGAAGATGTCAAGAATCTCTGTGATAAAGTTAGAGAAGACATGCTTGAAGCATTACAAAGAGTTGGATATTCAAAACCAACAGGTGAAGAAGAAGAGGAAGCAGACTCAAGAGAAGGCTCAGAAGCTCCATCGAGTTCAAGTGATACAGAAACTGAAGAAGTGGAAGTGGAAGTCATTACCTCAAAGGATCCAGTGATTTCTAAAGATTAGGGAATAACCCCAGTCTTTCTAATAATATTACAAAAAGGTGCTTTCTTTTAGATGATATATACAATTATTTAGATATTAATAATGTAAGAATTGACGTTCTTTTCAGATATTTATCAGTCCAAAATAATCGCTTTGCTTTTCTTTGTCTTTTTCTTTGGTTTTACCGTAATGATTGGAGTAGGTGACTGTTCACTTACTTGTTGTTCACTTCCATGCTGATTTTCACCTTCACTTGCTTTTGCAGACTCAGTCACTTCCTTCTTTGACTTGGATTTCTTCGTGGTAGATTTCTTCTTCTTCTTCTTCTTCTCGTCCTTTTCGTCAATAGAAGACTTAGCCAACAGTTGACGAAGAGCATCCAAATCAATCTCATACTCATGATCGTTCTTGCTATTCAATTCAGCAACTTCAGATGAAGTTAAGTCGAAATTATCTAAATTTGAAGAATCAATCTTAATAACATTCTTCTTCTTCTTCATTGATCTCGTTCTTTCCTTTGGACCCTCCAAATCAATTAAATCACTACCTGGGGCAGAAGTTCCAACAGTCTCTTCATTCAAGATCAATACTTTTTCTTTCTTCAATTTAGCCGGTTTCTTTGCCTTCTTCTTCCCACTACTCTTTACATCATCCGTACTTATCGAAGTTATTTCCGTTTGTGATTCAGGAGTATTAGTCAGTTCCTTAGATTTCTTCTTCCTTTTCTCGTCAGTATTATCCGAACCCAAATAATATGGATCATCTTTGAGTCGTTCCAATCTTTCCTTCTTCCTTTCGGAAACATCTTCACTAGTCAACTGAATCAATGGTTCTTGATATGCGTCTTCTTCTACATCGGATAGGAATAACTCATAAGTATCATTAGTAGTCACATCGTCATCATTATCTAATTGGAATGGTGGAGGGTTGATTTCGGTATCTAGATCCAAATCATCAGGAATGGGAATGTTTCGTTGTGCATTCCTCGCGACTGGATTTAATTGATATGATTTGAAAAATGAAGGTAAAATATGAGTTAGCAATACAGGCAATCTCTTGGAAGTGGCCCCCGTATCATTATCGAAAACAGGCTCGGATCCTTCAGCCACAGTGTCTTCAATTGGAACATCTTCGGCTGCAAATGGATTAGATTCAAATTCAGGCATAGGAACGATATGAGGTGCTTGAACTACTTCTTCATCATCCGACGATTCCAAATTATCATATTCCTCCGCACTTTCTTCCTCACTTTCATCAACTTCGCTATCTTCTTCCGACTCATCTTCACTAGATTCATCCACCTTTGGTTCATTTTTCTCCTTCAACCCCCTATAATACTCCAAATCCTCAGCTTCGAGACGTTTAATTACCGTCAAGTCATTACCAGTCATAGCTTCCAAGGTCAATCTCAAAAATTCCAACCATGACAATGCCCGTTCTTGAACTTCATAATTAGGATGAGTTTCCCAAACACCCAAAAACCCAATCAATTTATATAAATAATAACATAATTGATCATATTTCTCAATCGGAAGATCATTTTGGATCGTATAATTTTTGACAAAATCAGAAACTATCGAACTGAATAATTTGATTAATGCTTGTATCAAAACTGCCAAAACTTCAGGATGTCCCAATGATACCAATTTTGCCGAGATTGGGAAATGCAAACTTGTGGTTAATCCCAATGCCTTATCTATTTTGAAATTAACAAGAGAGTTGAAAATTTCGATCTTGGTACTAATACTGGCCACCCCATCTGCTTGTTGTCCAGAGCCTGCTTCATCATCATCATCATCATCATCAGATTCACCATTCTTCAATTCATCAATGTATTCACCCATAATCCAATAAAAATCCCGAAGAAGTATCGGACAAATATCAATAATCCTTGAATCTTGAACCAAGGGGAAAACAACCTTCGTAAGTAAAATTGGACGCACTGAAGGTACTTTAGTTGCCAAATTCTTAAATTCATTACCTAATTCATTAGCAATCGTGGTTGCAACTTCAGGTGAAACAGTAACTTCATTAGCAGAAGAAGGTAATGGTAATAATGTCAAATTGATAACATCCTTTAAGACGGCAACATACCATCTAAAATTTGGAATATTGGTATAATTGTCTTGAGTTGCAATCGTAAGAATCTTTAATGAAATTTCTTGTTTTAATACTTCTGAAACTACATTGGTTTCACTTGGGACTAATTGCAATAATAATAATTTCACCAATTCGGTAATATTATCTTCTGTGACTAAATAATGACAAATTTCTAATGCTTTTCTCTTGATGATCATATCGCTATCGGTCAAACAATCCATTATTACCGCTGACACACCTTCTTCCTTGTGCATGAAAACAGGGAAGATTTTCAATATATTAATCAATGCTAATAAACCAACAAACTTTAAATTTGAGTCTTTTGTTTTGAAAAAGTTCATTAATTGGTTAATACAGACTTTGGCAGTACCTTCATCTTTTGAAGACTCATTGTTTAACATTTGCCCATTGACGATACAATTGATACATTCATAAATCAATGATGATGCTTGAGTCCTTAACATTAATTCCATAATTGTTGGCAAGATCTTCTTTTTCATCCTTGGTTCTACCTTGGATAAACTTTGGAAAAGTTTAAGAATTCTAATAATAAGCCAATTATTTCGAGTTTCTTCCAAGATATTGAAGAATTTGGGTAAATAACTTATAAAGATATTTGGATTCTTTTTCGATATTTCACAAATAACATTAACAGTAGCACTGACAACAGCAATATCAGGATCATCCAACTTCTCAATTACTCGATCAAAATTTAATCTTAAACTTTCTGGATATTGTAAGAATATTTTATACATTGCAAGAATGGCTTTCTTTCTAATATATGGTTTTGAATGACTCAATTTCATTAAAACATCATCATTAATATCTTTTGCAAGATTTGGAGTAACAATTGTAGCAATTCCACTCAATGCAAGTCCAATTTCTACATGATTGTGAGAATTAAGATCCTTTTTAAATTGATTCGTAGCCAACAACAACAAATCCTGTTCATTCTTAAACGATTGAATAGCAGCCAAATATCCAATTCTCTTTTGTTGAAATTTATTTGATGCCATAACTTCCAAGATTTGAAAATTACACCAAGACATATCAAATCCATACATTTCCAAATATGCCAATTTCAATATTGCCATTGCTTTGGTTTCTAAATCGGTAGTTGATAATTCATTCTTACATTCTTGAATTGCAACATCTAAGAATGAAGCTAAACTATCTGATGATTCTTTTGAATGAGCTCTGATTCCTTTGATTAAATCATTTAAAGATTTTTCAAACAGAATCCCAAATGGTTTGAGTCTAGCCAATACTTCAGAATTCTGTAGCTGGAACGACATTTTCTAGTTTACCACACCGGTCTTCTTCTTTTCTTTGTAGTTGAATTCACCAAGGGGGGAGTGTTGCCAAATAAGTTAAGTTGATTTGCTGGGATCAAAACGTTCACCAAAAAAATACACTCTCCCTGTCAAATTGTTTTAGCCCTGCGGTTTTTGACAACACAGGGAAATACATAGACAGGGGCAAAGAGAGTTAAAGATGCACCCTCAAGAAGCTAATAGCAACGCGGTGCTATCTGAGCACGACTACGTCTCTTCAATTGATAGCTCTTTAGTTCCAGAAGAAGGCACATCGAATCCTGTAAATGGACCAGTCGCTCCAGAAGCATTTCTTGATAACAATGAGCTCAATCAATCTTCAGGCACAGATGATGATGACGACTACATTATAAGTGATGATGAAGAGATAAGTTTAATGTTAACTAGATCTCAAGATTTACCGAATCCTCATTTACCATTTTCTGGAAGTTTAGTTGATCATGCTAATTATTTTTCCAATACATTATCTCGTGCTTTGGATTCAGTGGAAATGGACAAATCATTAGTTCTTGAAGCTCAAATAAGTGGTAATCTCAATAACGAGAACCAGAGGATATTAGAGAAGAAGAAAGTTTTAATCGAGAAGTTGAAAGGTTTACAGCAAATGTGTTTGGAAAATTTTGGAAATCAAACGGCCACGGGTGAGTCAAAACTAAGTAAGATTGAACAAATGAAACATGACATATTAAACATTGAAAATAGAATAGAGATTTTAAAGAATGGAAAGAATGCTTCATTCAAGATTCCACTATTCAAAAAGACATCTACTTCTAAATCTATAGGGGTAGTCTCTAAATATCCAATAGAGTACAACCAAGCAAAAGATAAGGTATTAGAAAGACAAATCGACGACCAATAATAAAAACACACACCCAACTATAGCTCCTCAAAAATTGCTCCTAAACCGTCAAGCCAATCACCTAAATAGAAATACATCCCCACAATTCTATGACGATCACTAGGTGCTTCAAGAACTGATTCATGACCTCCACCTGCATTTCCAAACATAGGGGAACGTGTTCCCTTATTGGTTTCAAATTGAATCGCATCTACCCACGCACCATTTCTAAGGATAAATTTGGTTATGTACTCGCCAGGATTCACAACATATTCGCTATAATCAGATTTCTCATGACCCACGAGACTGGTTCTTTCCACACCACCGTTTGATGGTGATGACGATCTATCTCCAGAAACATCAAGCTTTTTCATTTTATCAACAAATGAACTCAAGTAGTTTCTTGGAGGTACAGGAGGCGTTTTACCACCTTGTTTAACTTGTGGTGCTGGTGCTCCACCTCCTAATCGGAAATAAAACTTCACACCATCTAACGCACCTCCGTGATAAATTCTAACTTTATAGACTGATTCAAGATTAAATCCAGCAATTTGCATTTGTTTATCTTTAGATTGACCTAACAAATCACTCTTGAAACCGATTATAGTACCTCTATTTAATCCAAAATCACCCTTAATGACATCACTTCGCTTTTTGGAAATGGTTTCTTTAAGATTATTAATATAGAGATCCTGGCCAAGTGATAAAATTCGAATATCATAATCTTCTCTTGCGGCACCACTATCTGCACGTCTAAGCTCATTTAAGTATTCATCATAGTTAATAGTTAGCTGTTTTGGAAGTGGTCCTCCTCCATATGCGGGTGGATACCATGCTCGATGATATCTTGCCAAACCATCAGTAATTACTTCGACCAAGAAAATCCCGGCATTTGATTTAATAACAATACTATTCAGGGAAATGACACTCAGAGAAGGAGTTTGATTATCGGGATACTCCCGATTTGGACGAATCGTACTTTCAAATATCTTTGGAAATTGATCAATAGGTAAACTAAAACAATCATGATAAAAAAATCTTATTAGATCCAATTTATGCCAATGACATTCTTCAGGCCATTTCCCATCTGCTCCAATTTGTTTCCCGCTAGATCCAGTTCTTTTACATTCTAATTCACGAGTCATGACCGATCTATTAAACCGAACATAATCCCTCAACATCATCCCATTGACTTGATGTGGACATCCAAGCAGATGTCCCACTTCGTGGAAAAACGCCCCAAAGGTAATATTCAAACATTCCCAACTAGTTCCGCATTCATTACAATCATTGGCAACTTCTTTCTTGGATAACGGGGTGCTATCTAAGAAACAAGGGGTTATTGATGGGAAATTATGAGGCCAGGAATGTAAACCATGAGAACCAAATATTCCTAATTGTACTTCCCCAGTACCACCTCCTAATGCTGTATGAGTTAAGATCAAATCCATTTTGGTATCAAATGTAGAATCCAAATATATACATGCACATTGAACAGCAGTATCTCTACCTCCATTATATATTTCCGGAGTACGTTTAATTAATTCCACTGCATGCCCGAAAAGCCAACCTCCTTGTTTGGCTTTTGGGTTTTGTTGGGCATAATCTGGATCTCTTAATTCTGCAACAGTTTTATCTGAAGTCAAGACATGAATTTTAACTTCTTGATGAGGAGTAGGTGAATGGACATCATATCCAAATATTCCTTGATGACTGACAGTTTCTTCAACGAATTGGAATGAACGGTTGCTTAATCCAAAAGTTCTCATTTCTTCTTGGGTAAATGCTTGCATTATTCTTCCCATAACTTTCATTTTCTTGATTGCCATTTCTAAAGAAGGAATTTCTCCTCTTTGTAACTTATATTTAGGCATATCATACGTGTTTCTTGAATCTTTTCCTCTTATTAAACATAAATGAACTGGTTTATTTTGAGGAAGAGGATTAAAAGTTAAGGTTAAACTCCCAGAGTCAACAATTCTTGGACCACGACCACCATCATATTCAGGGAACCCATAGGGTGAAATACGACCATTATCAGCAACTTCTACCTTGAATTTATTACTTTCGCCAGGCGAGACATGGACAACTGCTTTGAAGTTCCCATTGGTATTCACTTCAAAATGTTGGGGAGGAAAGACTTTGTTGTCATTGTTTGTGAAGGAAATTATACCCCTTGATATTCCAGTGGATGTTCTACCATTGATTATTACTGTTGGTGATGAAACAATTTCATCATTGTTGTAATTAAATGTTATAGCCATGACGACTTAGTTTAGTTGTATCAAATTCAAATAAGAAAACAAGAAGAAATAGTGTTTGTGGATCAAAAGTTGTAAGGGATGAACACCGTGGTTGATTTTACACGGTTTGGGTAATGAAAAAGAAGGACAAAATCCAAATTGGGAAACACCGAAGATTTCGCAGTCAACACAACGGAGTTTGTTTTGTGACATGACATCACGGAATGGAGGCAGTGCCTCCATAGATAGACACTTGATGGTTGCCGGTTACTAGCTGACAATAAACAAGTCCATTACTTTTCAAAAACCATTACGGCATCAGTGAATAATAAAAGTGTCTTCTATAACCAGTGATGAGATATCAACCCAAAGAAATATCCTCTGCAAAGTAGATTCCCTGAGATTAGGGCCAGTCGTTCTCGAGGTTGGCAGTGAAGAAAGAATGAGATAATACTTTTGAAGTCACAGAAGCCAAATGAAGGCATAGAGATATTCGCTTTTGAGTCAGCACACTGGTACTAATACTTTCCTTTAACTAACTTTGGCTAGGCTCTCTGTGGTGCGAATACATTGAAAAAATGTTTAACAAAACTCTCTTAATGAACTCTTCTTCGAATAGCAATGGTTGCTAACCTTCTAAACTTCAATCCCGATTTCCTTTTCAGTTCATACTACTGAATATTCCCTTTTATTCGCAGTGTCTTCAATTAGAAGTTCATTACGATATTTACAACTCTTCTACAAGATGTCAACCAAGCGAAATAGTGACGCGTTTTTAGCAGCATCAGCTCATTGGGCAAAGAGAGCAAAGCATAACGATAGCAACAACGACAATTCAAAACCCCAGAAAACTCCCGAAATAATAGAAATATCATCAGGAGAAGAATCAGAAGAACCTGAAGTTCACACTGGATCTACAAACATCAATTCCCCGAGTTCTACCCCAACCAAGAGCGCTCCATCACCATCACTACGATTACTATATGCCCCAAGCTATCCTGAAAATGATCTTGTTCGAGTCAACAAAGACACAGTCCGGATTGGTGATTTAGTTGGATCTGAAGATTTATCAGAAACTTATCAATTCAATTTCTCTGTCGATTTGGGGTTTTTCTTCTCATTCCTACATCCCAAATTTATAACCGATAAACGAAAGATCATGTTCATAACGGGATCCAAGCTACTTGATCCGTCTAATGAAGATACAGAACTCATAAAACGACAGTATAATATCCTGGAAGTAACTGCTGATATTCCGAATCGATTCGGGACTCATCATACCAAGATGATGATTAATTTTTTCAAAGATGGTAGTATGGAAGTGGTGATAATGACAGCCAATTTAAGAAAGATTGATTTTGGAGGATTGACACAAGCAGTGTGGAATTCGGGAAGACTTCAAAAGAAAGAATCAAAAACAAAGATACCCTTGAGAGGTGAAAGGTTTCAGAGAGATTTAATGAACTATATGAAACGATATAATAAGTCTGAAGTATCAAAATTAGCGGAGCGTTTGAAAGATTATGACTTCCTGCCAGTGACAGTGGAATTAATTGGTTCAACTCCGGGATCTTATGATCTCTCCGAAATGACGGACGAGAGTGATATATATGGATATGGTAAACTATATCAAGCTCTCAAAAGGAATTCACTATTGTTGGACAATTCAGCCACTAATGATCATAAAACCTATAATGTCCTAGCACAAGTTTCAGCAATCTCATATCCATTCTCAGTTGAAAAATGGGCCACAGCAGGAATATTTTCTCATTTATTATGTCCATTAATATTTTCCCAAAAGGAACCTTTCAAACTCTTGGAACCAGGTAGCGGAAGTTTTCGAGATCATCAAAGAAAACATAATTATTGTCCAAGTATAGTCTATCCAACAGCAGCCGAAGTTGCATCATCCACTATAGGATTTGATGCGGGACAAGCGATTCATTTTAATTATACCCAATCGTTCGTACATAAAAACTATTATAATCAAGCTATAAAACCATATTTACGAAAATGCAATTCGTCAGGCAAGAATAAGGAAATCACGGGAAGGGAAATTCTTATGCCTCATATCAAGATGTACATGTGTGACAATGGGGATAATTGGTCTAGTTTAAGATGGGTCTATACTGGAAGTCATAATCTTTCCAAACAGGCATGGGGTAGTAGGAAAGGAAATAAGTTTACAAGTGATGATCCTTCCAAATATGAGATAAGTAGTTATGAATTGGGAGTTTTGGTGTTTCCTGAAGAAGGAAAGAAATTGGTGCCGGTATATTTGAATCATGACAATATAGCAGACAAAGAGAGTACAGAGATTCCAATTAGAATGCCATTCAAGTTACCACCTGTCAAATATTCATCTAATGATTTGCCCTGGAGTTATCATGTTAGCTATGGCGATAGCTTGAAAGATAAATACGGAGAAACATTTAATGTCAATAAATAAGAAAGGGATATGCATTCTGAATTCTATAAATAATCATTCAATCCAAGAGAGAAGTTACTCTCTTATTCCCTTGTGTAGGACCCAAGAATTGGTCAAAAGGTCGTTTTCTTTGTTTTGGAAGTTCTCCTGTATGTTTATCATCATCGGAATCACTATAATCAGTATCCGCCTTGTGTGCATCATCAACATTGGTGAATGCAGAATGTTGTCCAAGCCGCGGAGAGTCATCATCATACGTAACCATATCATAATTAGACTCAGTGAATGAGGATGGAGCTTCCAGTAGGCGTTCATTATCGACTGGTCTAGTCCTATTACTTTTGTGAATCGATTTAAGTCCCAGCTTGGGGAGAAGTGTGACTCGATCGCGACGAACGGCTGTGGTTTCATCAACACGCAATGGCATGCGAGAAGAAGTGGTGGATAAAATAGAATTAGATCTGGATATTGGTCGAATATCTTGATTTTCAATTCTTTGTATTGTATGTGACGGTATTGCCAATACGTCTGAATTATTCTTTGCAGCATCCACTGTGACTTGCTTTGTTTCCATATCGGATGACGACCTATCATCCGCTGTAATTTGAATATATCGAACACAGATTTGGTCATTACTTTGACATTCAAAAAGGATAGGATCACCTGGATTTCTGAAAAATATTTCAAAATGATCATTATTTGATAGGGTTAGATAATTTTCATCAAATTGTTCTGTATATGTAGATGATTGACCAAGGAAAGTGATCAAGTTCATGAAATTCTTAAAATCACGTAATCGGAAATTAATGGATATTTTATTCAGTTGTTCTCCTTCGTCTCTATTTGATGTTGGTTGGATATTGGTACTTGTAAGTTCATCCAAACCTATCGTAACCGTGACAGACATAGGCTGCTTCAAAAAATCTCTTTCTTTACTAATTTGTTTTGTATATCCGCAGAACAGGACTTTATTACCTCTGATATCAAGTCTAAAATCTTCAGCTGCTGGAGGGACCATTTCCAAAAATTGTTTAGGAATTATGTATTGAATCATGATATGATTAATTCTATTTCCATTTCGAAAATCTTCATCTGGATTATCACGTAATTGTTTCTTATAAATTGAAGGAATTTTAATTTCTCCCCGTAATACAGGTTGATAATTTGTTTGATATTTCTTGACAATTAATTTATTGGTTTTGATTTCTATAAAGAACTTATATCGTTGTGTCATGGGAGAAGTTAGATTCCAATTTATTCTAAAGCATACATATTGCATATTATTAGCATCAAGATTCTTAAATAAAGTAGCTAAATGACGTGAATTTATAATAAAAGAATATGAATGTTGATTCATTTCAAATTCTTCATCCAAATCATCATATCTTAACGCGTCTGTTTCGAAACCTTCAGGGAGAACACTACTGAAGTCAACCATATATTCATTAAAGAATGATTTCTTGAATATGATTTCTGCATGAGAAGTACGAGAATTATTAACTGCTGATATATAAAATGAATCTTGTAATATTACAAATTTAATAAATTCTGAAACAGCTGCAAGTGATAATATTGATTTAGACCAAATTAATTTATTCTTCTTTGATTCAATAGATGCAATAAATGACATTTGTTTGTATTCTTTATATGAAAGATCAGATCATAAGATACCTAATTTGTTTTTCAATATTAATTATGATTTGATAGATGTTTGATAAGTTTCAATAAGTACCCTATAAAAGAAAAAAAAGAGTCTAGATTCAGTTCTATTTATTTTTTCTTTCTTAATTCGTTTTGATGGCGAGTAAATGTTGTTAATCATTTATTGCAATTGTTAAAGAGAAAGAATAAACGAATAATATACTCCAGAAGATGACACTGTAGTAGAAGAAGAAGAAGAAGTAATAGGATTGCAGTAAAGACGATATCTTGAAATGATCATTGGATTCTGCTGAAATAATTGACTAACCAGAACAACCTTATTCTTAGATGTCTTGTAGAAAATAGATTACGATTGAGCGCGGTGCGTTTAAATTTGTGAAGATCTGTCTATTATTTGCAACATTTTCTAGTACAACAATATTGCTACTATCTTACCATCTGGTATCCCTAATCTATAGATGATGTGAAAGTATTACCTTATTTCTCCCTTATTTATAGTAGAATATAAATCTAATTACCATCAATTTGAAAGGCAATTAAGAGTGAGATCTTGCTTTGTACATTATTACATTAAAAAAATTGTTCTCTCGCACAAAACTTTTTCATTTCAATCATTCTTTAACTTCTTTCCCCCCCCACACAACTTTCTTCTTCTACTTCTTCTTCTTCTCTTGCTAATTTTATCATCACCACAGTTAACGACAAACTTTACAGCGAGATACTCAAAAAGATTTAAAAGATCACCTGACTGAATTCTATCACAAATATTGGATACAAGATATCTATACAATTGCAAATTAAACCATTTCAGATTTCTCTCCCCCCCCAACCCCCTTACAATTTCTAACAGTTATTTATTTTTCTTCAGGTTTTTAAGTGGTCCATACAGACATCACATATTACTAATTAATCCAATTTATATATCACAATGTCATTTTTGTTTAGGAAAAGTACAGATTACCCTTCCGAAAGAAAGCTATCTGATTCAGATTTAATCGATATGTCAGATAAGGATAATTTAGAATCCTCAACATCCGGATTAATTGATGAACAGATTGAAAAAGAGGATGATCAAGACACGACAACAAAAGAACTTCCCAAGAAAGTAGTAAAAAAACAACCCACGTTCCTCAGAAGAATACTCAGTGGTGGAGGTGGTGGTATGGATTCAAAAGAATCGTCGTCACCTTCTCCCAGTCCATCCTCTTCCTCATCAATCCAAGAAATAGGATTAGGTCCATTAACATTGAAAGGTTATAAAGATAGTACAAAGCATAGATTGCTAGATGTAGAACTAGCAAATAATATTAGAAATTTGATACCTGCACGATTACAATTATTTGATTCCTGGGATCTTGTTTATTCTATGGAACAACATGGTATATCCTTGAACACATTATATCGACATTGTAATCCAGAATATCAATTACAACAACTAAAGAAACGAAAGAAGGCAGAAAAGGGATTCGCCGATTCTATTGTTTCCGGTATGATGGTGGTGGGGGGAGATACCCCTTCATCCCGATATAATTTCGAGGCTAGAAGACCTCAAGCATACGTCCTAATAATCAAAGATGAAAACAATTGCAAATTTGGAGCATATTTAAACCAGAATTTAAAGCCAATGGAACATAAACGATACTATGGAAATGGTGAATGTTTCCTTTGGAAATGTGAACAATTTGATCCTACGAAACTTGATCATTATTCAGAAAAACCCATAAAGGGCGAGAGTGATTCGAATAATAATTCAGATACTAGATTTAAAGCATTTATGTACACCGGTATTAATGACAATATAATATACTCAAACCATGACTTTATTGCCATTGGTTCTTCAAATGGCCAGAATGGAATATTTATTGATAAGTCCCTATACAAGGGAGTGAGCTATAGTTGTGAAACTTTTGGGAATGAAATATTAAATCTGCATATTGATTATGATTTAAAAATTGGCAGATTTAAGATCATGGGCTTAGAAATATGGAGAATAGGTACAATAGAGTAAGTTCTAACGATTTCTATGATGGTAGTATGTTAACTACAGTATAACATGAGTTCTTCAAAACGGGACACAGGGACCAAGCTGTTTGATGCTTATACTTTTGGCTTGTAAAGGGTATAATGTATAATGCTCTCTTTAATACGAATCGATATTCAATGTACAATGACACATAAGATTAACCTGAAAAGTTACTCTTACTCAAAATACTGAGTATAATGCAGTACTAGATCTTCAACTTCGAGTTAGTAAAAGCTCTGTGGTGAAGTCCTTTCAGCTGCAAAAGCCACAGTTAAACAGTGTCTTACCAATCTAATCAATATTAAAAGTGCACATTCGATCGAAATCTTCAAGCACAACGTTGCCAAGAAATGGATTTCCAAAATCTGTTTCAGAATTGGATACTACTTATTGGAACGCTCTAACATCAATAGATTTCATTACCAATCTTCTCCAGTATGTTATTCGCTACTACCAAATACAAACCGGGATAACTTCTATGTAGTCAAGAAGCTAGCCCAGACATATGAGAAAATACTTAGGTTTCGATTATCCTTCCAGAATTGATACCAAATTTTTAAAAAGCAGATTTTTTTGCACTATATTGTAGGAAAGATTTGATATTTAGATGACGTATCTTAAGCCATCACGTTATATCATTTTCTAAAACAAATATGAATTGGTATCACCAATTTTTTATTGCACACTTAACAATTCATTAATAGATTGCTTAAGATTTCATTGTACCTTTACTATTTCTCGAACTGTGTAGGAACTCAGGTCTTCCACATTGGAGGGGAACCTAAGAACGTTAGCTTGATGAAACTCACACATTATTTAGGTATCCATCTTTCATGAAACTGCATGCATAGAAAATTAAAAGACCATAACCAATCATTTGTTTCATCTTTCAAAATGAAACACACATTTAGTTATTTGACACATCTAGGATAGTATGTAACACATCTAACGAAATATGTAAAACAATTAAGTTCCAGTGTATATGGGTGTTCCAATACTCTATACCAAACCTATCTAAGGTTTCAGTCTTTTGTTTTGAAATCCTTAACTGAAACGTAACTTGAATTCAGATAAATTAGAGATTTACCACGGGTCACAAACAGTCACTTCTGTCACAGATTTTAAGACAGGATAATCGTGTCTAACTACAAGAAGATCTGTATTGTTACCAAATTGGATTGATCTTTTACTTCGTTTGGTTGAAGATAATCGAGAAGCCCTCAAGTAGTTGTAATGAAGAAGACCATAGTCCCCAAACAGAGCACAAAATTTGACTTGGAACATTTTTTTTTGCAGCCAAGAATTTTTTTTCCTTTGTGTGCTGAAACATCCATCACACAAACATGAAACAGATCTATTGATTCTGATACAGCCTTGCTTGGTTTAGATCTCGGGTTTCATCTTCAGAATTCGAAACTCTTCGAAACAGTATTTTGGAAACATCACTAATATATGAAGATGATCTTCAAACATTGGTTTGTCGCAAATCTTTGAAACAACAATTTAAGATCTGGCACGCAAAAAAACATGTTGAAACTCACATCTAAATTTTGCAACACCTAAACTTATAAGCAACTTGAAACTTTTCAGTTGTGGCTGGTTCAGTTCCAAACGATATGGATTGTTTCAAAAAGATGACTATATAAACAGGTCGATTTTTCCCTTTCGTCACGAACAGAATTCAACGACCATAAACAAACTAACCAATCATGAAGTTAATTACCATTGCTTTTATCTCAACTATAATTTCCATCTGTGCCGCCTCTCAATTGGATGATTTTGAATGTGCCATTGGAGCTAACGGCAACTATGAATGTTCTGTCAAGCGTGATGCCGTGACAACGTGGTCAACAGAATGTACTCCCACAACAATAGCTGGTACAGCCACAACAGAATGCTGTTTAGTTCTAGCTGTTTCTTATGCTGCCAGCACAGCATCTGGATGTGTGACTGATATAGATTCATCATGCACAGTCTCCATGAAAGCAAACGTGTTGGCAATGAAGCAGTGCCCAACGACGGTTTGTACTACAGTTACCAGCATAGATTGTCCAGAAGTTGGCAGTACATGGGTATTCGAAGTAGTGGAGACTTTCGTTGGAGAAGAAGAAGACATGATAGCAACTACATCCTCCAGCGAGGAAATTCCAGAATCAACTACAACCTCCAGCGATGAAATTCCAGAATCAACTACAACCTCCAGCGATGAAATTCCAGAATCAACTACAACCTCCAGCGATGAAATTCCAGAATCAACTACAACCTCCAGCGATGAAATTCCAGAATCAACTACAACCTCCAGCGATGAAATTCCAGAATCAACTACAACCTCCAGCGAGGAAATTCCAGCAGCAACTGTCGAAGAGCCTCCCTTAGTTTATCTCCCTCCACCTCAAGATGTTCTACCAGAAGTGGAAACATCTACCTCCGAAGAACCAATAGAAAATAGTATAGAGATTCCTCCATCAGTGGAAATAAGTACGGTAGTAGTGCAAACTACAGAAGTAGTAACTAGTACCATAATGGAAGCATTAGAAGTTGAAACACCAACACCACAAATTGAAGTTGTGACAATAGTAGAAACAGCCAAGACAACAACGGTCATGACAGTAACCACATGTGAACTAGATGCATGCACGACTGAGACAGTTACCACTGGTGTTTCTATAGTTACCTTAACTACTGATGAAACTGTTACAACTTATACCACATTCGTTGAATTGACTTCAACACAAATTCTGTACCAAACCATCAAAGCAGTTGCTCTTGTTCAAGAAGAGGTGCTAATAGTCCAAAGCGTGGTATCATCTGTTTCTATTACTACTACATCCACATCTACATCAACATCAACATCTACATCGACATCGACATCTATATCTACTTCCTCGGAAGTAGTAACCATCTCCAAAGCAATCACCAAAACAACTCTAGAAACCGAAGAAACCACCGAGCAAGTTATCGAAACAATTGAGGAAGTAGAAACTATTGAAGAAGTAGAAACCATTGAAGAAGTGGAAACTATAGAGGAAAGCACCGAAACCACAGAGCTTCTCGAAACCACCGAAGAACCCGTGACCACACTGGAAATCATTGAAACCACAGAAATTCCTGAAAGCACCGAAGAAGAACTCCAAGAAACTCCAGAGCCCATACCAGAAGTTGTACCCGAAGAGCCCGTTGACTTTATTACACCACCTTCACCAGAAGCTCCAGTGCCAGAGACCCTAGTTCCAGAAGCCCCGGTACCAGAAGCTCCAATACCAGAAGCTCCAATTCCGGAAGCTGTACCTACCACGCTAATTCTGTCAACAACAATTCCAGAGATTCCTCCCTCTGCTACACCAGTAGCCCCACCACATCTTCCAATCTACGAAGACAAGGCAACAATTGCTTACTCCAAGCCAAATATGTGGTTGTTGGTATTCATCACAATAGTTTTAATATAGTTCAAATCTAGTTCGTTACCGATTTTATACAGTTTTATAGAAGTATATGCGTTCATATGCTACAGACAAAGATTGATGACAAGATTTCCTTTTGTATATTTATTTAGTATTTTTATATAATTAACCAATGTTTTTTTGATTCTGACTAAACATAGTAAGCACGGTATTCTTATGATTAATATTGTAGTTTAGGCTATTCAAAGTCCAAATGATACGTTACCAAACTGACAACATGTAGTTAGGAACCATCCCAACCGTTTCTCTTTCAAACCAACCCACATTTACTTTCTGAATGACAGTTTAATTTGTTGATTTTTGGTCCCTTCTTGCAGATAAAGCAACACCTCCATCAACAGGCGAGCATACGCTATTCCAACCGGATCTAACGCAGAAGGTCCTCAGAAATAAGTTCTTTATAACGAATTTAAAATAGTTCAATTTTTTAGTATAATTGAATGTTCTCCCGAGTCAGAAGGTAATGTAACTCAAGCCCATAGAGAAAATTCTTTTCGACTAACGGGTGGGAAGGTGATAGCTCCTGCACAATATAAATCTGATTTTTTGTAAATCGTCAAGAAAGACTGTTTCCTTTTCAATTGGGTTCATTTTAAAGATTCTAGTTCTAAACAACACTACTGTTAACCGGATTAATTAAGTAGTTGTTTTGAAAGAATAAAGTCATACCAATGGAAATAATAGCACATGAATTCAAACGTTGCCTGTATATTTATTATTAATGTACAATGAAGAGGCATCATATGTATGTTGTTGGGGCCATTTGAGCGCAAGTGAAAAATTCAGTCAAGGACTTTCCCACCAACTCAGGCTCGGCGAAGACAGATTTTTGTAGAATTAGTTCATTGAAAGTGTATAAGAAGGGAGCGATAAGCTAAAGTGCTTTTGTTAAAAATATTCACCAGTTCTCGATATCACTGAGATGGATATGGATACTGGTCTACATGTTCTTTCCAAAGTTTGAACCAGGAATTTACTNATTTACTTCTTTAGTTGGTGCGAAGATCAATACTTGAATCCAGACACGCCCAAAGTATATATAAATTTAAGTTATACTTTTAATTGTGGGAAACTTCAAAAGCGAGTCGTACCATTCAATTTGACGAAACCAAAACAACGCAAGCAAGAATACGATGATTTGGTTAGGAATACAACAATCTGGTCCATACAGAAAATCAAAACCCCAAACTAGCTTTTAACTTTATTGATCGAATAATCGAATGATTTACTAAATTTTCGCAAATGTAAACATCTCACATTTTGGGATGAAACTACCAAGCTTTTGTAGAAGTAACTATTTACTAATTTAGGTGTAGTTGCAGACGTATGCGAACGCCCGTATACATATAATTAGAAGCGGACCATGTTTTCAACTGTCGATTGTGGTATGTCACCCTTCAACCGAACCAAATTTTTATAAGAATCCAATGATAGTCCCCTACTACTTGAAGGCTAGGGTCCAATGATGACCTAATCTAAAACAAGTATAATTATTGATTAAACTATGAATAAACTGTGTACAAGATAAATTCTTTCTTAAAAATCTTTTCCCGCTATGCCTGCGCATTGACCCTGTGCGGGTAACCAATCTGTAAGAATCCAAGTTGGATGCAGGATGCCGGATTCTTACATTTTTTTATTATTTAATCTTGAATGCTTAAACATTTCTAATAAAGATATAATTACTGTCGTTTGAAAAATAAAAATTGGTGTCTGAACCCCCCCCCCCCCTAAATGTAAACCAATGCAGGAACATTTTAAAGTGTTTCTGAGGAGAATTTAAATAATAGTGGGCACATCATCTGACCAAAGAAGATTTTCCATGAAGATCTCTCTTGGGCATCAGCTTTCCCGGCGACAGACGAATGCCAATTCAAGAATTTGCCACCATGCAACCACTTCAAGCAACTTAGAGAAACATGTAGGGATCTATTGCAGTTTGTTGTTTGTTCAAGTTAAGGACCCTTACCAATTGTGTATGGGCATCAACGATGACTCAAGCGATGTGACTGCACCACCGGAGTCTCAAACATTTACCCTTTCAAAGAGAGTGATCATTCCCAATTGGAAACAAATTGTCTATTTTAAACTTTTTGACGAAAATAACCGTTTCAGAATATCGTCAAAAAGCAAAAGAAGCAATAGAAAAAAAAATAAGATTTTAGCGACGACTTTTTCGCAGCCATATTCAATCTCGAGAACACATAAATCGAGCATTTATTCTCGAAATTGGATATCAAGAGGATAGACGAAAGCTTATTTTAGCTGA